TCTTCGTTGAAAAATGCGAACCAAGACATGAAAAAGAAGAATTCATCGAAGTCTGGTTTACCAGCGCTTATTCCATTGCTGAAAAGAATTGATGTGATCGTCTTTCTTTCATTGACATTCATTTGGGGCATGTCATACGCAGGTCTTGATCCCGTAAGTAATTTTTTCAACAACCGATAATAGTGAAACGTAGTTTTTGCCATCATACAACTTTGTCCGATTCAAGAGCAATTCTCGATTGTAAAAGAAGCCAAAAGTCAATGAGAAATATGATCTCGAAAGCTAGAAAAGATCTCTCAGACTATCTTGTACTTTGCTCGAACAGAAAACTTCTAAAAATACTCTTTTCTTTCTTGATTTCAGTACGTTTATTTATACATCGATGAAATCGCACCATGTCAATCTCGTTCCATTGTTGGTTACATGTCATTTATATCTGCATCCTCAGAAATTGTTGCTCTTTTCCTTGCCGGCAAAATGCTCGAACTCTTGGGAGTCAATATTAATTCCATCATCATTTTATTAGCTTTTGCAATTCGATTCGCTGGTTATTATTACATTCGTCGACCATATTTTCTCTTATTCATGGAGACAATGCACTATTTTAATTTTGGCATTCTCTACATACTTATTGCTCAAAGAGCTGATGCCATTGGTAGATTCTATATCTTTGTCTTCACACTTTCGAAAAAGAACAACTATTTCTTGTTTTATAGCACCACCGGGACTTGCTGGTACACTTCAAGGTGTTGTCTACGGTCTTTCTTTTGGTTTAGGTGCGCATTTCACATGAAAGAGGAGCGATGAATATTCACTTCGTTATTCTTTCTGTATGTAGGTCGTGGAGTTGGTTTAATTGTTTCATCATTTATTTATACGCGTCTACAGTCAAGAACTTTGTTTCTATTCTTTGCATTGTTCAATACAGCAGCTGCCATCATCTACAGTCTCATATTTTTTATACTAAAGAAACGTTCAGAAAAGAATGTTCGATCGAATCACAATACCAATGTACCCAAAATCGTCATCGATCCAGGTAAATCTGATCTGAAAGGAGGGTCGTTTCTGACATTTATTTCCTACGTTTAGACACGAGTGTCCATGAAGATCCATTATTAGTTCCAGGATCATCTTCAACAGGGAAGACAGATAATAAATTTGCCGAACAGTAGCAGACAAGCGAAATCTGTTTCGTCTAAAATGACAAAAAGAAATTTTTTGCATTCAGATATATCGATACAGTGATGAAAATAGACAAAAAAATCTTTTTTTTTTCGATACTTTCCGTTTCATTTTCTTCTTCAGTCTCTTTTTTCTTCATGTTTTGTTATTGGCTTTTTATTCTGTATTCTTTTGTGGGTGTTATATCTGTGTTATCCGAATCTTATGACTAAACAGGCAAATGAACAAAAAGAAAACTAAATAGAAAGCGGGCAGAGACATTCGATAGTGATATATTAGTATTTTTTTGTCATTTGGCTTTTTTATGAATAAACATTTTGGAGGCCATCATTGATGATTTCGCTCACTTATATGAAAAGAATGTTGTGATAGATAATCTCTCTTGAAGATAATCCTTCATTAGAACGTAGATGCAAAATGATTCATTCCTATTATCAAAGGCAAGGTTAGAGTGATCGTTTTATTCTGAGATTTTATACAAATTGATGCACAATAGTTTAATGAGACCATTGACGCAAAACCTGAGATTCATTCGGAAATAGACGTTTAATGTTCAACATTGTCACACAGAGGAACTATCTGCATATCAAAATTGGATTTAATTATAATTGATCATGTCCATTTTCGTGAATATCGCTTGATATTATCTAGGATTTCTTTCCATTTTGTCAGCAAGTTTTCTTTCACTTGCTTGTTGTGTTCTTTCATCTTCTTACTGATCAATGGAAAATCTGTTGTGGTCAGTTTTTGCACAAGATCATCCGTTGAATCATAGTAAGTAATATGTGGCCATTGATAGAAATCAGAAAAGTTCAACCAGTAACGAACAGATGTTCGATCGCGATCATTATTCGGATCGGGAACACTCGACAGCACACCACGAATATGCGAACCTTGTGGCGTTTCTCCAAATAGCGCTTGATCCCATGTTTTTTCGTTGACTACAGAGAATTCTAAGTGCCATTGTGTTAGAAGATCTAATGAAGGAAATAGCAATGGAATGTTCATTCGATATTGTTCGAATAAACTCATCACAGAAACTTGATAAGGCACATAGATAATAGCGGGATGTTTAGCTAGATCGGAATATTCATAATTAGAATAGAGTTCTCTGATTGGTACGACTTGTATAGAGTGTGATTGTAAAGAAATACGAAGTAATTTTTTAAATAGAACTTCGAAATCTTTGACGTGAATTGGAGCGATTAAGAATTCTTCTCTACTGAGATTGTAGTCAACATTCGTATAGTCACATAAACTCGGTAGAAGTATAGCGTTGATTCCGGTGAAATAACGAATGTATTCCACATCATAGAGATTATTTGCAGCAATGATATTCTTGGGATATTGTGCAATTTGTTTGAGATTTTCATTGAGTTCCGTCCATGAAGGTGGATCGAATCTCCAGAGTTCATATCGTGTTGAGGCAATGATGATGATGGTTCGATTGAATGGCATGTAGAGTTCACACATGCCAACGGGATGGAAGCAAACGAATGCATCGACGAGATTCATTTCGAGTTGATCTTTGTAGAATTCGTAGAATTGCATGGCAAATTCTTTCGATGGTTTTTCTGCATTCTCTCGATTTAATATGCGAAGGTGAGAAGCGCATGTTTTCGTTCGTGAACAACTATTTGAAAGACTCGTATCAAAGAATTTGACACCGAGTGGAATGAGAATAGCCTTCAAATCTCGAATAGGACTGCAATATGAATAGAATATTCCAAAAAGTTCAATTATAGTTAAACAATAACATGGACAAACCTGATGTGAAAGTCAGTATTCCATATGGTAATGGAATTTGCATAGGATTGTATATCTAGCGTTTGGATATATAATTCATAGCTAATTATCTCCGAATACGGTCGGATAAGGATAAAAAATATTAGAATGAGTAGAATGCTAGAATACCATCGAGAAAACCAACGATAGTGGCGTCGTGGTCGACGGTAAGTACGCATAATTTGACGAAAAGATCAGCATTTACAAATCGAGCAAAAAAAGCATGAGAATACGAATAAGTACAAACACATGGATGAAAAGTACCGAAAAATATCAAATAGAGCGACCGTAAATTTGTTGAAAAGACTTCTATGTGTATGCCAAGAAAAGTGCAATATTTTTCTTATAAATTACGTCTACGTTGAAAAGCAACCGTAATTCTTTTCTCTCACCTATCCTACGATCAACGAAAATTGTTTAAACTGTACGTGTAATTACAGACGGTTTCTTTTGTTGTCATGGTACTCCTAATGTTCCTTTTACACCATGTCGATCATTACTGAAGTCATCTGACATATATTTTATTAGCTCCACAATTAATTAAACAGAGTTGACTTTGACAAATTTGATTTATAACTGTCGCTCAACATTTTCAATTGGTAATCACGCAATATGTGACATATTTTGTTGTTCATCTTCCAACAGTCATGCATGTGCTTTCATGAACCCAATTCTCGACTACTTATATACAAAAACAGCAGTATCAGTATAATAGAACGTACACACCTATCTATTCAATGATTCACTGATAGATAAGCGAGCTGAATATTGTTTGCTACGCTGATGATAAGCGTTTTCTTCGAAAAAATACACCAAAAGTGTTGCTCTCGTTCAAAATCGAATGGCTAATCCTAATAACAAAGACGTATACGAATTAGATGATGATTATTCTGTTTCGTTAGAGAATAAGTCTGTGGACTCATCCATTTCTACACAAGTAGAAGATAAGCTGGCTGGATTGTTTTCAGAACAGTGGAGTGGTGTGAAAATGATAATAGAAAATTGAACATTAGATGAGATAATGGCAGGAACATATCAATCAATTCAAACTTCAACCAATCTTATCTCTTCTCTCATTTCAACTGTCGCTGTTCATTAGATCACATTTACTAAAGTGATACAAAAACAAATATTTTCTTTAACCCTTTGAGTCCCAGTGGTACATATATGTACCACCTAACAAAAGGTACATTTCTGAAAGAAATTCAAAATTATTTCAGATTTCCACGATCTATAAGGAATATTATCATCCTTTTTTCGTAGTTAGGATCCGAGGGAAACACCTGACAAACTTTTTCATTCTGATTGTTCCGTCTAGCGCTCTGCTCTGAATACACATATTAGTAGATAAACACAGTGTTTGTTGTAGCTTAATTGGTGGTCTTAAGCTACCATCTGCTAAATTAGCATAGTTTCATCAAAAATGAGCTGCATAAAAAAGTCGGGACTCAAAGGGTTAAAGATCTTGGAGAATTCAATTGCTGAACGTGAATTATTTATCTTTTTATTCACACAATGAAGATTGTGGTTGCCAGAGAGGAACGGTTTTTGATTGAATTTGTGAATAGAAGAGAAATCTAAATGGAATCGATGTGTAAAATGACCTAGAGAAAAAGCGGTATTCAACTCCGAAATGTTATTGATTTTCTGTCCATTACAAAGTCTTGTGTGAGATGCTGATCTAGAGTGATTGTAGAATAGAATGTTTTCATCATCTTATGAATCATCATTTCTGACGAGATGGGTGACGATGACGGACTGACTGACGTTTCACCTTCAGTTAATAATCAACTACCGGCACTTCCACTGAACTTTCGTCTCAGAACAACCCACTTTCACCGGTCTTTCTAAGGTGATTTCATTGTTTTGTTTGGATTGATAAAATACGATTCTTCTTCATGCTAATATAAATGTTTATTTGTTCAAATGAAATAGAATTCGAAATGTCAAAAAGAAAGAGAAATATCTATTTGACATGAGCACGTATTTTTTCAACGAAAGCATCGTCAATAAAAAAATTAAAATACAACTTTTTAATCCAATGTTGGTTCTCCATGGCCATATTCATCATGTAATGATGCTTGACTAAAAATAGAATTATCCAATGGTCCACCTGTTAATTCGTTTAAAATCGAGACATGTATTGGACTAGTGGATGGAATTGGTCCTGGTTGACTGTTCAAAACGTCATGTATCGATTGAAATAATATGTCGAAAGGATCATCTTCAGTTTGTCGTTGATCAGAGTATAGATTGATTTGACAGAGATGTGTATTTTCTGTCGCAGAGTTCTTTTCAGATGACAGTCCGTTAGTACATTCCATTTTCTTGCAATCATCACCTGTTAATTGTTATGGTAGATTATTTGAAAATAAATGTCTCTACGAATTACGTGAATCAGGTACATTTTGCTCATGAGAAGTTAATTGCATTGATGAAGAAGTATTATTGATCAGCATATTTATGTGTGTAATTAAATCACTCAACAATTTCTTCACATTTTGTTCGTCATTAAATCTAAAAGAAGATGGCAATACATATCTCGAATGAATATCTATGTTACTTGAGTTCTCCGTTGTCCAATTGAACATCTTGAGTTAAATCAAATGTGAGTCTTCTATTAAAATCGATATTATTATTCTAAAATTGATAACAATTTTCTTCTCGTGTTTGATTCAAAGATATTCTTCTTACTTCCATTGTTAAAACTGCTCGATTTCCATTACGTTTAAAATATGTTCCAATTCGATTATCATTAAAACGGAAATCAAGAGGGGTCCACGAAAAATTAGTTTTATCCCGGTGTATTTTATATTTAATCTATAAAATTCTTTAGGCCCTTTACTCCCTTTAAATCCTTTACTCCTTTTACTCCCTTTAGGCCCTTTACTCCTTTTACTCCCTTTAAATCCTTTACTCCTTTTACTCCCTTTAGGCCCTTTACTCCTTTTACTCCCTTTAAATCCTTTACTCCTTTTACTCCCTTTAGGCCCTTTACTCCTTTTACTCCCTTTAAATCCTTTACTCCTTTTACTCCCTTTAAATCCTTTACTCCCTTTAATTCAGCGAATCCTCATCGTCACCCACACCCTAACCATCTCTCTCATTCTCACACTCTAAGAAGACTAAAGAGACTAAAAAACTTCATAAATTATCTATAAAGTTACACCAGGATAAAAATAATTTTTCGTGGACCTATGGAAATCAATCGCGTATTGTCGACTACGATGATGACTTGCTAATACAAGAATATCGGCAGATTCCTTACGAACAAAAAGAAATAGGTATTTAATGCGGACTGTTCATTTTTTTTCTTACTGCTGATTTATTAGCTTGAAAGTTGTTTTGTTCAAAATATGTAAATACAGTGAAACCTCCCTTAATGAACACCTCTCTATAATGAACACCTCTCGTTTGAACACGTTCATCGGTCCCCCCGAGTGATTTTTGCTGTGATTGCACCTCTACATAATGAACACCTCCCAACTCTGAACAATGAACGCTTTTTTTGGCCCCNAAGAAACATTGTATAAAAACGAAAACGACAAAATACGACATTATAAGCTGTTGGATCAATTGAATAACCAAATGCTAATGTCATATATACTGTTGATGTATAGATTAAGAGTAAACCGTTAATATTTGTTGCTATTAAATATATTGTGCATGGATTTTTCCGTAAACTTTTTCTACCAAAAACACATAAATTAAAAATACAACTAACACTTCCGATAATCATTAAAATTGGTCCACCGATTTGATGGAAATATTTTAAAATTGCTGATAACAACGCTATTATTTCATAATCTGAAGACATTTTGATTAATATTTCTAAAGAAAAAGAGACAATATGTTGAGTTATTGTATAGTTTGAAATTACTTAATCGCTGGAGAATTTTGTTTAATTGGTATTTTATGTAAAAGTATATTTTGACCGACTAACTTACAGAGTTGAAGAAAAAAGCAACAAGAAAATTCACGCAGGCACTTTTTCAATAAAAATACGCCTTCGCGTACTATTTTTCTTGCTCCGAGTGTTTGACGTAAGCAAAAACCTCGTTAAATTCCCTTTTTTTGCGTCGTGGTTTACTGTCAGATTGGGAAAATTCAAGAGCTGAAAAGCATTTGCTCTGATTAATATAAGAGTTCACTATGATCAATTAAAACTATTTTATGCGGAGGTTTTGACCCCAAAAGTGCAAATTTTTATGCACTCGCCAGGTTGAGATCCGTTCTTGAATATAGCAGCCTGCCACAAGGCCTCAGTTTTTCGTCGAAATTTGCATTAAATCTTCACTTTATATTCTGAAAGTTTGGAATAGAAAATAAAAGAACAATATGCAGAATCTTTTCTCAATTATAAACTCTTCTGAATTATAAATCAGTCGATAAAGAATTTCAAGCGCTACATCTTTGCCCGTTACAGATTCACTCGATCCTTATGTTTGAAATTCATCAAAAGTACTGAAAACTTCGGATTCTTAGAAAAACGAAATTCAAGTGTTACATCCCGCCATGTCCACAGGCTTAAAGTGGTTGTGATCATCACACTTTTTTCTCGTATCTACTACACAGCAGAAACGAGAGGAGACGTCGATAAAACGCCGAGCTGCATAATTTTATTATCAAAAAAACTGACTATGCGGATCAAAAGGATTCCAGCGAAAGCACTCAGGTTCTTCATTACGTATTTCGTATCAACGATGAGGTATTCATAACTTTTGACTTCACAGAGCCATGTGTCAAAATCCTGTTGGCTTTCTACTAGTTTCATTGAGGTTGACAATTCAGTTGCCTCTTTCGTGAACGTTCTTTTCCTTTGAAAGTAAAAGAAAAAATTCTCAGAAATACGTAGAGATGACACCATCATCAATATTCAGCTGAATGTGTTTTGGCTGTTCGATTGGTTTATTCGGCCGTTTCAGACAACAATCTGTCATTAATACAACTGCTTTTCCATACTGTGGTAGAACTTTTGTTGGAACAGAAACTCTACCCGGTGCCACTCCATACTGACCAGCTAATGGAAGAAACCAAAACCAATTGAGATCACGCATATTCGCAAAGATATAAAAGCAAGCACCAACAAAGAAGATGATATCTGCCTTCGTATACAATGTATTACCATCATAATCTTCTGGATGGACCAGAACTTGAACGTTGTATACCACATAAACTATGGCACCTAGCGTCGTCATGGAAAATGCGATTACATCGGGATCATCGAGTGAAAAACCACGACCAAGTGTACGTGTGTATGTCATATACCAAGACATAATCCTATAAAGACATTCAGTTTAGCGATATGGTTTTTCAGTATTGTTTACATACCATCCAAATGTTGCGAATACATCGATAACACCGGCCGTTGTTTCAATTTTATGAATGAACATTGTATAGTAACCTCCAAGTGTGTCTAGTCTTGGATACCAGCTAGTTGACCAGATATAAAGTCCAGCTTCGATCATATTGAGATATTCAGGTATCATAATCACATCACGCCATGATCGATCATCCCATGCCCACCAATAGAGAATAGCTGAGACAAGATGAACAATAGCAAAACCTCAATATTTCAATGTGGATCTCGTTACAACGATCTAGAAATTGTGACTCACTAAAATACATTTTATTAACTACTGGTGGATCACCAGCAGGCTGATCAAGAATTGCAGTTGTCATCACTGCTGTACTGTCCGATATATTCGATGTCTCATCGGTCGATGCATTGATGGGAAAACTAAAATCTGCTACGAGAAATCCAATTGTATAACCCAAGTACACCAAATTAGCGAGCATATATCGACTACGGATTGTCTTCTTGAAGCAAGTTGGTACACGTCTACGAATGTGTTTCCATCGTAAAGCGTCCCAGATCGAATGAAACACTTCGGTTTCGTTATAAGGTATTGTTAGGTCTTTTTCATTATCATCATTGATAGGAAATTCGCGATATTGTAAATCGTCTGTATTCATCGATGATTGGATGATTTATATTGTTCGTGTTCGACAGTTGAATGCACTTTTTGTGTAAATTATGTTTTTCTGTCTTTCTTTCGTTATTTTTATTCTCTCTTCTCACATACTACATTGAATGACAATCAAAGTTTCGTGCTTATGAATACAAAATCAGTCACTTAATTTGGCTTCGAGAGTAAATATAGAGAATAAATTCATGTGTCTATAACAAAAGAAAAACATTCACTCATTTTTTTCAGTTATAATATAGGAAATATGACTGTGTGGTCATTTTCGCTTATTTCAGCCCTCTGGTCCTCAATACTGTTGTTGTAGAACAGCCATAATTCGAGGTAAAACGTCGATAAGTGACGCTTTCCAACATGCCCAGTCATGTTTTCCATCACAACCATGTCCGATGGATTTTCCATCACCATAATCATTAAAATAAACAGATATGTTGAATACAACCAATAAATCATGCAAACGAGAACAACCTGGAAGGAAAGCCGAATCAATATAATCATTATTTCCATTGTAAAGTGCGATGTTGATATCACGTAATTGTGCAGCTCGAGTAAGGGTATTTTGAACAAACCACCCATTAGAAATTAAAGGCTCAGAAGGATAACCGAATGGACCAACGAGCGGTTTGTCGTCTATCGTTGTTAAATGAAGAATGAGATTTTGAACTGGAGGATCAAATATATCCACAGCACCGGAAAAACTGGCTGCATAAATAAAGTTATTCGTGTATAATTGAGCATAGTGAATCGCACCATAACCACCCATGGAAAGACCAGCAATAGCACGACCTTGTTTTTTTGCTACCGTTCGTAAATTCACATCAATCCATGGAACTAATTGTTCCATATGAAATGTTCGCCAATTTTGTGGATAGAGACTACCTGGAANGTATAATTGAGCATAGTGAATCGCACCATAACCACCCATGGAAAGACCAGCAATAGCACGACCTTGTTTTTTTGCTACCGTTCGTAAATTCACATCAATCCATGGAACTAATTGTTCCATATGAAATGTTCGCCAATTTTGTGGATAGAGACTACCTGGAATAACCCAATTTGTATAAAATCCAAATCGACCACCATTTGGCATGACTTTAATCAATGATGCATTTCCAGTTATTTCTTCAGCTGCACCTGTCCAGTCAGCTGCACCGCCGGTCGCTCCGTGTAATAGATAAAGAACCGGGTAACGACGGGTATTACCACTGGTGAAATAATCATTTGGAAGAAGAATTCGAATTGTTTGATTGTCCAAAACCTCAGGTGTAGAAACAACAACTTCATAGAGTTGATCACTCAATTTAGTTGAAGAGCAAACTGTCAGTCCGAAAGCCGAAATAAAATCAGGTACATCACCTTTTGAATACTCAATAAGATTACAAAAAATGAAAAATAAAAGTTGATATCTCCTCATCACTTCGAACTCGAATGGAAGATATCGATTTCGAAGCCATTGGTAGTTTTTTATATTCGGCAAACCAGATGTCTTCTCTCTCACATTGCTTCATTTTCAAATACATCTACGCGAGTTTTCTATTGGTCCCAAAGCAAAGGAATATTAAAAAAATTTCAAAAATGTGAAGAGTGGTGAGAGAATATCCACACTCATAGGTTTTTTCATCGAAGAATTTGTAAAAATCATCAATCAAACACCAATAGTAAAGTAATTTCGTTGTTGAGCTGCATGTTGCAATCTCTTCTTTCCTTCGGCTGATATGCTACAGTCACGAACATTTAGGTGATGAAAATAATGAAATGATGATGTCATAGTGCAGATGAAATCTACACTCGCATCAGTTATTCGTTTGTTGCCTTCGAAAGTTAATGTTTTGAGACAGTTCTCACAAGATTCAATTGTCACAAGTAATACTCGAAGTCCTCGATTACCAATCTGATTATCGTTCAGATAGATATGGTAGATGGAATGATTCACTCGAACCATTTGAGCTAAATATTGACAACCGACATCGGTCATTCCAACAGAATTTAATTTGAGAATCCGAACAGCAATCATGTGACCTGATGCGTTCTTTGCAATCGCTTCAACACCTTTGTCTAAAATTTGATTTCCATCAAGAATCAATTTCATGAAATAATTATAATACTTAAACATCTGAGATAAGATCGAAGCACCGACAGATGTGATTGCATTGTTACAAAGACTGATTACAATACATCGCTTGTCACGAACGCCTAATTTCACAATGATTTTCATGTCTTTATCATTCAAATTCATCGAATCTAAGGATAATGTACCATTTTCTTCGGTTNGTTCTTCGGTGCATTGGATGATTTCTTCGAGTTTTGGATTGTGATATTCAGTGAGTAGTAAATCAACGAACGAGTTAATCTCACGCAAATGAATAATGTGAATTCCATCGGAATGTTTCGATGATCCAATCACTTTTAGGTTAATTCCAGGTAAAAGAAGAATTTCGTCATCATTTTGCAGATGTGAATATTCTCGAATAGATTTACCATATTTCGTTTCAATTTCAAATATCGTTTGTACTTTTTCTCGACCCAAATACATCGGTGATTGAAGAACATCGAACGAAGATGTTACCGAAGTCAATGTCCACCATGTCATTTCATCTCCTTCGCAATAATCGTCACAAACATCTTTGGAAACACCACGCCATACTCGATGACATTCACCATATCTACACAATTCCAATCAACTTCGTGTTGATAATAATCCNACAATCTGTCATTAATACAACTGCTTTTCCATACTGTGGTAGAACTTTTGTTGGAACAGAAACTCTACCCGGTGCCACTCCATACTGACCAGCTAATGGAAGAAACCAAAACCAATTGAGATCACGCATATTCGCAAAGATATAAAAGCAAGCACCAACAAAGAAGATGATATCTGCCTTCGTATACAATGTATTATCATCATAATCTTCTGGGTGGATCAGAACTTGAACGTTGTACACCACATAAACTATGGCACCTAGCGTCGTCATGGAAAATGCGATTACATCGGGATCATCGAGTGAAAAACCACGACCAAGTGTACGTGTGTATGTCATATACCAAGACATAATCCTACAAAGATGTTCAGTTTATGTGATATGGCTTTTCAGCATTGTTTACATACCATCCAAATGTTGCGAATACATCGATAACACCGGCCGTTGTTTCAATTTTATGAATGAACATTGTATAATAACCTCCAAGTGTGTCTAGTCTTGGATACCAACTAGTTGACCAGATGTAAAGTCCAGCTTCGATCATATTGAGATATTCAGGTATCATAATCACATCACGCCATGATCGATCATCCCACGCCCACCAATAGAGAATAGCTGAGACGAGATGAACAATAGCAAAATCTCAATATTACAACGTGGATCTCATTACAATGATCTAGAAATTGTGACTCACTAAAATACATTTTATTAACTACTGGTGGATCACCAGCAGGCTGATCAAGAATTGCAGTTGTCATCACAGCTGTACTATCCGATATATTCGACGTCTCATCGGTCGATGCATTAATGGGAAAACTAAAATCTGCTACGAGAAATCCAATTGTGTAACCCAAGTACACCAAATTAGCGAGCATATATCGACTACGGATTGTCTTCTTGAAGCAAATTGGTACCCGTCTGCGAATGTGTTTCCACCGTAAAGCATCCCAGATCGAATGAAACACTTCGATTTCGTTATAAGGTATTGTTAGGTTTTGTTCATTATCATCATTGATAGGATATTCGCGATATTCTAAATCCTTCTTGTTCATCGACAATTGCCTGGTTTATATTGTTCGTGTTCGACAAGTGAGAATGCACTTTTTTTGTGTAAATTATGTTTTTCTGCATTTCTTTCGTTATTTTTATTCTCTCTTCTCACATACCACAATGAATGACAATCAAAGTTTCGAGCTTATGAATACAAAATCAGTCACTTAATTTGGCTTCGAGAGTAAATATAAAGAATAAATTCATGTGGCTATAACAAAAGAAAAACATTCACTCATTTTCAGTTATAACATAGAAAGTATGACTGTGCAGTCATTTTCGCTTATCTCAGCCGTCTGGCTCTCAATACTGTTGTTGTAAAACAGCCATAATTCGAGGTAAAACATCGATAAGTGACGCTTTCCAACAGGCCCAATCATGTTTTCCATCACAACCATGTCCGATGGATTGTCCATCACCATAAGCATTAAAATAAACAGATATGTTGAATATAACTAATAAATCATGCAAACGAGAACAACCTGGAAGCAGAGTCGAATCAGTATAATCATTATTTCCGTTGTAAAGAGCGATGTTGATATCACGTAATTGTGCAACTCGAGTAAGGGTATTTTGAACGAACCATCCATTAGAAATTAATGGTTCAGAAGGATAACCGAATGGACCAACGAGCGGTTTGTCGTCTATCGTTGTTAAATGAAGAATGAGATTTTGAACTGGAGGATCAAATATATCCAAAGCACCGGAAAAACTGGCTGCATAAATAAAGTTATCCGTGTATAATTGAGCATAGTGAATCGCACCATAACCACCCATAGAAAGACCAGCAATAGCACGACCTTGTTTTTTTGCTACCGTTCGTAAATTCACATCAATCCATGGAACTAATTGTTCCATATGAAATGTTCGCCAATTTTGTGGATAGAGACTACCTGGAATAACCCAATTTGTATAAAATCCAAATCGACCACCATTTGGCATGACTTTAATCAATGATGTATTACCAGTTACATCTTCAGCTGCACCTGTCTAATCAGCTGCACTGCCGGTCGCTCCATGTAGTAGATAAAGAACCGGGTAACGACGGGTATTACCACTGGTGAAATAATCATTTGGAAGAAGAATTCGAATCGTTTGATTATCCAGAACTTCAGGCGTAGAAACAACAACTTCATAGAGTTGATCACTCAATTTAGTTGAAGAGCAAACTGTCAGTCCGAAAGCCGAAATAAAATCAGGTACATCACCTTTTGAATACTCGATTATATTACAGAAAATGAAAAATAGAAGTTGATATCTCCTCATCACTCCAATTGCGAATGGAAAATATCGATTTCGAAGGCATTGGTAGTTTTTTATATTCGGCAGACCAGATGTCTTCTCTCTCACATTGATTCATTTTCAAATACATCTACGCGAGTTTTCTATTGATCCCAAAGCAAAGGAATATTTAAAAAATTTTAAAAATGTAAAGAGTGGTGAGAGAATATCCACACTCATAGGTTTTTTCATCGAAGAATTTGTAAAAATCATCAGTCAGACACAAATAGAAAAGTAATTTCGTTGTTTAACTGCATGTTGCAATCTCTTCTTTCCTTCGGCTGATATGCTACAGTCACGAACATTTAGGTGATGAAAATAATGAAATGATGATGCCATAGAGCAGATGAAATCTACACTCGCATCAGTTATTCGTTTGTTGCCTTCGAAGCTTAATACTTTGAGACAGTTCTCACAAGATTCAATTGTCGCAAGTAATACTCGAAGTCCTCGATTACCAATCTGATTATCGTTCAGATAGATATGGTAGATGGAATGATTCACTCGAACCATTTTAGCTAAATATTGACAACCGACATCGGTCATTCCAACAGAATTTAATTTGAGAACCCGAACAGCAATCCTGTCACCTGATGCGTTCTTTGCAATCGCTTCAACACCTTTGTCTAAAATTTGATTTCCATCAAGAATCAATGTCCTGAAATAATTACGGTACGTAAACATCTGAGATAAGATTGAAGCACCGACAGATGTGATTGCATTGTTACAAAGACTGATTACAATACATCGCTTGTCACGAACGCCTAATTTCACAATGATTCCCATGTCTTGATCATTCAAATTCATCGAATCTAAGGATAGTGTACCATGTTCTTCGGTTGATTGGATGATTTCTTCGAGTTTTGGATTGTGATATTCAGTGAGTAGTAAATCAACGAACGAGTTAATCTCACGCAAATGAATAATGTGAAATCCATCGGAATGTTTCGATGATCCGATCACTTTTAGGTTAATTCCAGGTAAAAGAAGAATTTCGTCATCATTTTGCAGATGTGAATATTCTCGAATAGGTTTACCATATTTCGTTTCAATTTCGAATATCGTTTGTATTTTTTCTCGACCCAAATACATCGGTGATTGAAGAACATCGAGTGAAGATGTTACCGAAGTCAATGTCCACCATGACATTTCATCTCCTTCGCGATAATCTTCACGAACATCTTTCGAAATACCACGCCATACTCGATGACATTCACCATATCTACACAATTCCAATCAACTTCGTGTTGATAATAATCCTGAATGGTACTTACGGTACTTTGAAGAGGGCCGTGAATAATAATTTGAGATATTTCAGCCACGGGTGAAGTTGATTTTCGTTCGAATGGCAAAGTGCTTGATTGAGAAGAATATGAAGACTATTTTGTGGTTGATCCCATTCCATTGTGTATAAATAGACCGATGCAGCTTCATCTTGCGAGAGTTCATGTTTAGGTTGTTGACAATTCAATTTGGCAACAGTGACGTACAGTGAAAGTTCTGCACCAAGTAGAGTTTCAAGTGGTTGACAAGCTTGTTCGAGAGAGACAAGTTGCTCTTGTTCATAATCTTGAATCGATTCGATGATTTGTTGAGAATACTGATGAGGAATATCGATGAGAAAACGAGGATTGCTTTCGAAAGATACCGCCATCGTATTCAGTTTTTCCTTCTTTCCAACTTTAATGTGCTTTGATAAATGATGTTTTTTTGTGCACGTAGAGCTCGGTAAAAGCCAAGAACAGAAAAAAACATCTGACGTGTACAGGTAGTGTACGTGAGCGATATATATGAGAAATGAGAGGAGAACGAAAAAAACATGTTTAACATCGCCCACGTTCAGTAAAGAACAGTATATGCTCTTGTACGTTTGATTCAAACATGATTTCAATCAATATTGACGAAAGCACGGGGTCTTCAAGATCTGTAGCACGTGTTTTTCCTTTATGGAGCGTTTGAGTTCAAATTTCAGCATTTGTCATAACTATTTTTCTGAAGTTCTGCAATGTATATCCTAACCCTGGTCCTCTGCTTTAGAATTTTCCTCCAGCTGAGTATGATTTATTATAAAATTTTGTTTGGCACATCAAACTGAGCTATTCGTCCTTGATCCATCACAAGTATTCGATCACTCTCGGCTACGGTATTCAGTCGATGGGCGATCGTTAAAATCGTACGATCTCTAAATTTATCAGCGATGACTTTTTGAATTAATGCGTCTGTTTCATGATCAATATTCGCTGTTGCTTCGTCGATCAATAATATCTTACTATGCTTAAGAAGAGCTCGAGCTACACAGATGAGTTGACATTCACCAACACTAAAATTTTTGCCGTATTCAGTTACAGGCATATCGAGACCAATAAAATGATTGAGTTGTACATCTTTTAGCGCGTTGAAACATTCGTCATCTGTATATATATCAAACGGATCAAGATTGTAACGAAGTGTGCCACTAAATAGAATAGGTGTTTGAGGAATAGCACTAAGATGTGATCGAAGGTAACTACGTTTGAGACGGCTTATAGCGATACCATCAATAAAAATTTCGCCGTTAACAGCTGATCTCTCAACCAATCGAAAGAGTGCCTGAAAAAGAGACGATTTTCCAGCTCCTATCAAAGACAAATGATGAACAATAAGTAGAAAATTCTATGTACCTGTACGACCAATAATACCAATCTTTTCCATTGGACTAATGTGTAAATTGATATTACACAATACCGGTTCTAGCTCAGGTCGATAGCGCATGGTGTAGTTTCGAAATTCGATTGCTCCCAGACTTGGCCAATTACTTTCTATTACTAACGTTTCTTGATTACCACCACCATCGTCTTCCTCTGGTGATATTTGAGCATATTCGTCAATTCGTTCCACACTCGTCATATGAATTTCAGTTTCAGCTAATTGCTGCATACCTCGTGCAAGTCTTTGTGATAAAGTAATAGCATATGCCAAAGCGAGAGCCAATGCTGCTGATGTATTTGCATTGTACGTCGCCACACCGATTATGATAGTAGCAATTTGAAATAGAATAACAATGAGATCAAGATGAAAGCCAAGCCAATGATTACTAGCTAGCATCGGGACGTAAGCACGTGTATTTGCATCTGTCAGTTTGAAAAATATTTTCATAAAATCTTCCTGAACTTTGAAAGCTCGAATGGTTGTTAGACCGTCTAGTGACGATGAGAAGAATGCATAGATAGGACTACGTGTTACACTTTCGAGACGTCTCAATTGTCTACTGGGAACTATATGAAAATTTCGAAGATACCATATGGCAACAATGAGTGGAATAACAACAATGGATATAAGCGGATTGATGAGAACGATAACAAGGACTGAACCCAGCACAGTCATCAATACCTGGACAGCGTCGAAGAATATCGCTGGTATTATTTCTTCTATCGTCAACTGATCTTGACTTGCTCGGTTCAGAATCCGACCACTTGGATTACTTTCGAAAAACCGCATTGAACTATATACGATTCCTTTGAGCATACGATTGTGTAAACTAGCTGAACCATTCAATAGAACATAGTACCAATAATCAGCACGTACATACGATATCAATACTACACTTAGTACTAGGACAACATATACGTAAGCAAAATATGTAACAGTTTGTTGTGTAATATAAGTTTGACTTGTCCATTCTACAAGCCAGTAATTCGAAATATTGTAAAGAAATTCACCAACAACAAGCAGAAATATGAGAATGTAGAAACCAAAATATCCTAAAGATGTTTCAGTAAATAGACGATATCGAATCTTCCAATTGGCGTGGGCACTGAACGATGTTTCATTATGTATGATTGACTGACTGTCGGCAACGGCTTTTTTGAAATCTAACTCAACGATACTGATTTCTTGTGCGTTGTCTCTATGCGTACTTCTTTGAATATCATCCTTAATTTCACTCGTCGGATAATAACGCACTGATAATTCTTGAAAAGGACCTTGTGCTTCAATATGACCATCAACAAGTAAAACTGATATATCGGATGCAGCTACAAAGCGTCTTTGATGAGTTATCAATAGTCGTGTTTTCTTACTCAGAAGTCCTTGAGAACTGATGCAAGCATTGAAGATTTGTTCGGCTACTTTTGGATCAACAGCTGAAAGTGGATCATCGAACAGATAAATATCGGCGTCGACGTAGATTGCTCGTGCCAGCGAAACACGTGCCTTTTGTCCACCACTTAGATTAACCCCTCTCTCTCCCACGACTGTCAAATCGCCAGCATTTCCTAATGCTTTAAAANACCACGCCATACTCGATGACATTCACCATATCTACACAATTCCAATCAACTTCGTGTTGATAATAATCCTGAATGGTACTTACGGTACTTTGAAGAGGGCCGTGAATAATAATTTGAGATATTTCAGCCACAGGTGAAGTTGATTTTCGTTCGAATGGCAAAGTGCTTGATTGAGAAGAATATGGAGACTATTTTGTGGTTGATCCCATTCCATTGTATATAAATAGATCGATGCAGCTTCATCTTGCGAGAGTTCATGTTTAGGTTGTTGAGAATTCAATTTGGCAACAGTGACGTACAGTGAAAGTTCTGCACCAAGTAGAGTTTCAAGTGGTTGACAAGCTTGTTCAAGAGAAACAAGTTGTTCTAGTTCGTAAGCACAACTTGACTCGATGATTTGCTGTGATTGATGAAGAGGAATATCGATCAGAAAACGAGGATTGATTTCAAAAGATAACGCCATTAGATTCGCTTTTTTTTCTTTTTTTCCAACTTTACTGCAAGTACAGCTGAAGAAATATTAAGAACAGGAAAAACAAAATCTGACGTAAACAGAGAGCGTATGCGAGCAATGGATGTAAGGTATGACGGAGAGAAGAACGAAAAAAACGTGCTTAATAGCGCCCACATTTACTAAGGAACAAAAACTGATATTTGATGTTTCATTCAAAGATGATTTCAATCAAAATTGGCAAATGTACGGAATCTTCAAGATCGCTAGAACATGTTTTTTTTCCTTTGTGGAGCGTTTGAGTTCAATTTTCTCCATTTTTCATAAGTAATATACTTAACTTCTGTATGCATGTCATAGAGAAATAAAGTAAAGATAAAATGCCATCGTTCTCTTCTTCTGTTTTAGAATTTTCCTCTAGCTAAGTATGATTTATTATAAAATTTTGTTTGGCACATCAAACTGAGCTATTCGTCCTTGATCCATCACAAGTATTCGATCACTTTCGGCTACGGTATTCAGTCGATGGGCGATCGTTAAAATCGTACGATCTCGAAATTTATCAGCGATGACTTTTTGAATTAATGCATCTGTTTCATGATCAATATTCGCTGTTGCTTCATCGATCAATAATATCTTACTATGCTTAAGAAGAGCTCGAGCTACACAGATGAGCTGACATTCACCAACACTAAAATTTTTGCCGTATTCAGTTACAGGCATATCGAGACCAATAAAATGATTGAGTTGAACATCTTTTAGCGCGTTGAAACATTCTTCATCTGTATATATATCAAATGGATCAAGATTGTAACGAAGTGTACCACTGAATAGAACAGGTGTTTGAGGAATAGCACTAAGATGTGACCGAAGATGACTGCGTTTGAGACGGCTTATAGCGATACCATCAATGAAAATTTCGCCGTTAACGGCCGCTCTCTCAACCAATCGAAAGAGTGCCTGAAAAAGAGACGATTTTCCAGCTCCTATCAAAGACAAACAAATGATGAACAATAAGTAGAGAATTCTATGTACCTGTACGACCAATAATACCAATCTTTTCCATTGGACTAATGTGTAAATTGATATTGCACAATACTGGTTCTAACTCAGGTCGATAGCGCATGGTGTAGTTTCGAAATTCGATTTCTCCCAGACTTGGCCAATTACTTTCTATTTCTAACGTTTCTTGATTACCACCATCGTCTTCCTCTGGTGATATTTGAGCATATTCGTCAATGCGTTCCACACTCGTCATATGAATTTCAGTTTCAGCTAATTGCTGCATACATCGTGCAAGTCTTTGTGATAAAGTAATAGAATATGCCAACGCGAGAGCCAATGCTGCTGATGTATTTGCATTACACGTCATCACACCGATTATGATAGTAGCCATTTGAAATAGAATAACAATGAGATCAAGATGAAAGCCAAGCCAATGATTGCTAGCTAACATCGGTACGTAAGCACGTGTATTTGCATCTATCAGTTCAAAAAATGTTTTCTTAAAATCTTCCTGAACTTTGAAAGCTCGAATGGTTGTCAGACCGTCTAGTGATGATGAGAAGAATGCGTAGACAGGACTACGTGTTACACTTTCGAGACGTCTCAATTGTCTACCGGAAACTATATGAAAATTTCGAAGATACCATGTGGCAACAATGAGTGGAATAACAACAATGGAGACAAGCGGATTGATGAGAACGATAACAATGACTGAACCCAACACAGTCATGAATACCTGGACAGCGTCAAAGAATATCGCTGGCAATATTTCCTCAATCGTCCGCTGATCTTGACTTGCTCGGTTCAGAATCCGACCACTTGGATTACTTTCGAAAAACCGCATTGAACTATATAAGATTCCTTTGAGCATACGATTGTGTAAACTAGCTGAACCATTCAATAGAACATAGAACCAATAATCAGCACGTACATACGACATCACTACTATGCCTAGTACTAGGATAACATATATGTAGGCAAAATATGTAACAGTTTGTTGTGTAATATAAGTTTTATTTGTCCATTCTACAAGCCAGTAGTTCGAAATATTGTAAAGAAATTCACCAACAACAAGCAGAAATATGAGTATGTAGAAACCAAAATATCCTAAAGATGTTTCAGTAAATAGACGATATCGAATCTTCCAATTGGCGTGGCCACTGAGCGATGTTTCATTATGTATGATTGACTGACTGTCAGCAACGGCTTTTTTGAAATCTAACTCATCGATACTGATTTCTTGTACGTTGTCTCTATGCGTACTTCTTTGAATATCATCCTTAATCTCACTCGTCGGATAATAACGCACAGATAATTCTTGAAAAGGCCCTTGTGCTTCAATATGACCACCCTCAAGTAAAACTGAGATATCGGATGCAGCTATAAAGCGTCTTTGATGAGTGATCAATAGTCGTGTTTTCTCACTCAGAAGTCCTTGAGAACTGATGCAAGCATTGAAGATTTGTTCGGCTACTTTTGGATCAACAGCTGAAAGTGGATCATCGAACAGATAAATATCGGCGTCGACGTAGATTGCTCGTGCCAACGAAACACGTGCCTTTTGTCCACCACTTAGATTAACCCCTCTCTCTCCCACGACTGTTAAATCACCAGCATTTCCCAATGCTTTAAAATCGATATCGAGACAACATGCGCGTATAACAGACGTATAGCGTTTCTCATTCATCTCCTTACCGAGCAGGATGTTAGCACGAATGGTGTCAGCAAATATCCAAGGGGATTGGGCAGCATAGGAAACCGAGCCATTCACTTGCATCTGTCCACTGATCTGTTTCATTTCACCCAACAGAGCGGCAAATAGCGATGATTTTCCAGCACCGACAGATCCCATGATACCAACTAATTGACCAGATTCTATGTGTATATTAAGGGATGATAGATCAGTCTGATCATTTCCCCACGAAAATGAGGCATTACGTAAAACAATGATGTCATTTTCGCTCTTATATATGCTTACATTTAACATTGAGTTTTGAGGTTGAACTTTTTCAAGCTTCATAAATGAATCAATACGTTTCGACGCAACTGACACACTACTCAACTGTTGAATATTCAATGGAAGCAATCGAAACAGGGAAAATCTTAATTGAATAAAATAATTCAGAGTAACAAAAACATCTGCTGCATTCAAATGATAACCAAGAAACCAAAGACTAAGAAAAGTGACACAACTGAACAAACACGGCGAAGAGAAAAATAGACATTCATTGATTGCTCGTAAATGGTTTGCACGTTTTATAGTAGCTAATTCATGTTGACGCATATCAGCCACTCTTTTCTCCATAGGTTTTTCCCAATTATATATCTTAATAAGCTGACATCCATGAAGAATTTCACTAAATACTTGAAGACGCTTGTCAGCATGCGTCATTTTTACAGCACGATAATGGGCGAATAATCGACTAAGCACGAACTGTATCGGGATTAGTAAAAGAACCGTTATAACACTGCATATTGTTGGCACTAAACCGACAATCCACCACAAAATAAGAAACGTAAATAAAGTTTCTAGAGGTCCTACCCATAGAAAATGTCCATCAGTCCATAGTTCGTCGAATTTACTGATGTCATCAGACAACAAATTGATTATTTGAGCCGAAGTTGTTTGTTGAATTGCAGATGTTTGAATCGCGAGCACGTGTTGATAAATAATCGATGATAGCGCATGACGAATGCGACGTCCTAATAGAGCTGAGCGAAAGAAAAATTGTTGGAAAACCATTGCATGTATAATTGTACACAATATTAATCCAAATACTGAAATGCTGATCGATTTCAAATCCAATGAAGTAGATTCCATTGAATTTATTTGCTGTATGATGTCACGTAAAAATAACGGCTGTAGCAGACGAACAATAAGAAATGGCACGAGAATAAGACCAACGAAGAACGTTTCGTTTCTAAATGCACTTAAAACTATACGCCATGTCGTTGTTGTAGTTGACCAATCGTACATAAGCAGCTTTTGAAACGAAGGTAAACATTTCTCCTGACGAGGTAAATCTTCAAGATCGTCATCAGTCAGTATTTGCTTGTGACCTAAACGAAGAAGTGGATTGAGCCACCACCAAAATATTACATGTGTCCATCGAGTCCATGATGATTGTGATGCTTCGAGCTGTGATGAATTTCGGTGGATTTCACACTTTTCATTACTCATATTCATAAAGGAAGTTGTTCTACGCTCGTTAAGAAGCCGATCGTTGTTATTAATACCCAACGAATCCGTGTCTTGAAGTAATGGTTTTCGTTCTTCATAGTCACCTATCATCGTCACGTATAAAGGTTTTGAATTGTAGTAATACGGAGCACGATCACAACTTAAATACACGAACGGATGACGAAATCGAAAGAAGAAAAAACAAAATATGAAAGTAAAAAATAACATGTGTTACAAATGTCATTTCACTTTCTTGCCGAAAACTACAATATGGAAAAATCGATGTTCAATCGTTTGAGAAAAAAATTAAAATGACACCTTTATCAATAATCATGTTAGTAAAAACATTAAGACATCTTACATAACGTAGGTGCTACTACGAACCTGAACTCAATTTGTTTAGCACAATATTAATATTGATAACAAACATAATCAAACAGCTCAGTAAGAGCTGAAGTAAATCGAAATCGGAATTGTAACAGTTTGGTGTTATATTTTCTTACCTATGAAAAACTAAACATCAAGTTCACAGTTCTATACTCATCTATATAACTACCAAGGTTTATCAATACCATATTTGAATCTTTTAATGGATTTATATCTCTTATATTCTCGCTTAATCATTAGTTGAAACATATCTGTGTATAAAGAAAAGCTACTCACGTGTCTATGTAAATACAAAAGAAAGAAAATGATATGAGACACTACTGTTTGTGATTCTCTATCATTCGAAATTTTCTCAAACATCGCTCAAATGCTTAGTTACTCTTTTGTTTGTCGATGAGAAAGAAAATATAAATTATACCATCTAATCAACATACTACTTTCGTCATACCATCTCAAAATATCTTCTTGTCTTTTATGTTTTTCTCAGCAGCAAAACAAAACGATCTTTTCTTTTCTTTCAACTCATCTACGCATTTCTGCATGCTTCTTGTGTCCTTCATACGAAAGTAATATGCTCTATGCATCAGTGAGCATCATTGTGATTCAGAGTCAGAAATTTACGACTTGTGTACTGTAATACTTGTATAGCAAGTGTGGTTCTTGAGAGTGACGATATTGATAACAAAAAGGCTCATATTCATATGTTCGTTCATACTATCACCTTCAGTCGTTATCGAATCTCGGATTCTGTTTTGATGAAATTATATTGTTGTTACTAAACGATGATTAACTTCGTCAAGCTTATTTTATTATTTTTCGATTCATTTCAATAAAATGAGAGTTCGATTACTGTTTCTAGATGTATCTCAGTTGGATTGATTATGGAGTTTCAAGTATAGTTTTAAGTGAGTCAAAAGATGAAATATTCATCTTAGCAACAGCACGTATTTATCTAATACTTATAGTTTTATCTGGCGGTATTGGCATTCACTATGCATGTAAACGATCAAAACCAGCATCAACAAAAGAATATCTTATTGCCGATGGTCAAATGAAAGTAATCAAGAGCATTGTGCGGAAATCTTGTTAAGACGTTCATATTTATTTCTAGATATTACCAACAGCAATGAGTCTATTAGCAAGTTTTACCTCTGCAATATCTCTACTTGGTACACCTGTAGAGATATACTATTATGGAACAATGTATGTCTATTCTAGTACGTTAACAAGACATTTCTTTCGATGTAATCCATTTGATTTGATTGTTTATTTGAATAGTATTTGCTTGGTTAATCGCAACGTTGGTAACAGTGAAATTTTTTATACCTAAATTTCATTATGTTGGAAGTGTTAGTATTTATGCTGTATGTAATAAGATAAAGTTCTGATTATTACAGAATGATAAGCATCTTTGATTAATAGTATTTCGAAAAACGATTTTCACAAGAAGTTCGGATTTTGATCACTTGCGACTATATCTTACGAGGGAACATATTTAGGTGATTAAGCGATTTAGATCCCATCTTTTGGTGATAGATAGACCTCAATGAGGTATGAAAAACCTCAAGAGGATTNTTTCACCTGAAAACTCTACTGTTCTATAAAAACGATCATCCTTCATTTCAGTCTCTTTTCGTATACATCCTGAGAACTCAGTATCTTTGAAATAAAGGCGCGAGGGCACGAATCCTCTTGAGGTTTTTCATACCTCATTGAGGTCTATCTATCACCAAAAGATGGGATCTAAATCGCTTAATCACCTAAATATGTTCCCTCGTTAGTAACAGTAAGTAAGATATTCAATCTTTTCACACTGATAGTTACTTGATCATGTATTAAGATTCTTTATATATCTGTGGCTCTTTATGGACCTTGTTTAGCAGTTAGCCAAGTGACTGGAATCAACATTTGGATGGCACTTGTGACATGTGGAGTTATTTGTACTATTTATACGAGTATTGTCTGTATAAATATATTTTGAATTTCAAAAATATTCAATGTTATTTTAAGGGTGGAATAAGAGGAGTAATTTGGACTGATGTAATACAAGCATCGGTGATGTTTCTTGGTCTTAGTCTATCAATCATTTTTGGTATATATCAATTATTTCATCGTCAATGAAAATGACAAGTTGATGTACTTCTGTAGCTTAAAAGAAACTGATTTGAGTTTCTCATTTATCAAATTCCATTAGAGATTGTGCTGAATGCTTTTCTTTTCTTCAAGGTTTAATCGATATTGGTGGATTATCAAAAGCATTTGATATTCTAAGAGATGGAAATCGAATACAATTAGCAGTGTATGTCTATGTATTGTAAAAATATAGATGTTATTCGAGATATTTTAGTATAAATTTGAATCCGTCAATACGCTATACAATTTGGAGTATTCTAATTGGTCACACATTTTCTACTATTGCACAATATGCATGTATTCAGACTCAAGCACAAAGATATATGTGTGTTAAAGATACAAAAGCAGCACAAAGGTATTTTAAGAGAAAAAATTCTATGATTAAATGATGTTTTCATAGAGTGATATGGAATGCTTATATAATGAATGTGATAATGTACATGTTTTGCATATTCATTGGATGTTTACTCTATGCAAAATATAGTCAATGTGATCCACTTCGTGCTAAATTTATTTCACGATCCGATCAAGTAAAAATAGTATTGACAAACTTGATATGAATTCGTCTCTCTTTAGATGTATCCGTTGTTTATCATAGAAACATTAAGTCGTTTTCCCGGTTTACCAGGACTTTGGATCGCTTCAATATTAAGCGCAACACTAAGCACATTCTCCAGCGGAGTAAATAGTCTTACTACGGTCATTATTGAAGATATTTACAAGCGATTAGTAAAAAAACATTCAACATCTGCTGATCGAGAACTCATCATCTCTAAAGTCTTGTGTAGGTCTTATTATGTTGTCACTTGATGACCTTTTTCTGTTATATAGCAACAATAATTGGATGTTTGATCATATTAGTGACATTTGTTGTATCTTATACAAAAAATAACATAATTACAGTGAGTATCGTTTCGAATTTGACATTGATACATTTTCTTTTTCAAATTTAGATTGTTATACGAATCAACGGTACATTCTCATCTCCAATTCTTGGTGCTTATTTACTCGGTTTTTTTTCATCACGAGTTAAAAGTCGAGTATGTCTATCGACGGTGTTCATACAACATATGATTAACAACAATCTTTTTCCTCACAAATAGAGTGTTTTGGTTGCTATCTGTCTTTGTTTTATATTTCAAACCTTCATGCTTGTTGGTTCAATGATTACTGTCCCACCGACAGATCAACATGGAGGACGTTTACCGACATCTGTTAATGAATGCGTACCATCAGTTAATGATACGATGCCAGTGACAATAAATCAACGGTATTAATGTTGAAAACAATTGAGAAGATCAAATAGTCAGTCGTTTTATTTTTTCTTTTGTCTATTAGACTTAGTTTATTAGAATCATTGTTTTCAATATCTCCTCTTTGGTTTAATTTTAATGGTACAATTATGATGATTATATCTGGATTAATCTTTACATTTATTTTTGGTGAGAATTTTATAGTTAAACTTACTTAAAAGATTCTCATTTTTTCGGAATATAGATTCAAAAGACGCGAAGGAAATCGATCGATCATTATTAGTGTCCCGAAAGGAGATTTTTTCCTGTCAACAAACCATGGAACAATCGGATACACATCATAATGGTGAAGTTTTATTGACCGATGTCATGATTGAAGAAGAGACTCAATATTAATCTTGAACTGAATTCTATCTTTTTAATTTAACAAATAAATCAATTTGTCGGTTTTCCTCTGACGAACGAGAGAATAATTTCTAAAATTAACACAACAATGATAATCTTCAAGATGAAGTCAACAATAAATCGAATGTATATTCTTCACAGATCATTCTGAGGTGACCAAATAATAATGTTGTCAAGAATGAATATGACTATAGACATTGTCCAATCACTCGTTCAATTCTGATTACGCATCCAAATTATCGAATATAACAGAAGAGTTTATTATGTCTTTGTTAGGTGAAGGTGAGTAATATAAAGCGCGAGGTTTGAATATATGACTGTTATTGTTTCCCGGGAAATTCGTATAGATGAATTGAAGAATATCTTACGGTGACTAAATAAACCAGCTAAACTATTAGTATCACTTTAATCGTCAATCATTGACAATTTGAAACTGGATCACAGTCAATGGACATATCAATCATTGTAAAAAATTTCATCTTCAGATCGTCATGAAGTTTCAGAATTTGTTGAAAACATAAAGAGAAATGTGGATTACGGATATTACTTTAACTTTACAGTTTAACTTTAACATGATTTTACTGTACTCTATATTTTCAAATCAAAGTGCCACTCGATTTGACTGAATTATTTCGTTTTCAATAAATGTATTACTCATATCTCTCATAACACTTTACTTCAGCTCCCGTTCTTCGAATCTTTTCTAAGCTAAGATCTATATAATACATAAAATAGCTTTCAGATAGAACTCATCATCTTCTATCTTAATATAACATTGATCTAAGTTGATCAGATGTCTTAGTGTGTCAAAATAATGATTTTCTCTATTATCATTGGTCTGGAATCGATCCAAAAATATTTCTATTCGATGTAATATATCGAGATCTATCCTACAGACAAATATATTCTAGAAAAAACTCGAATTCTAATTCATAGGATATCCTACGTATTATTTTTGTATATATTCTCCGTCAATAACGAATTTGATTCGATAGTGACATCATTCGGTCATTTCCTTTATTCATTGTTTCTTTGTTTCTTTCTTCTCTATATATGAACAATCGAAGATAGATCGACGAATGCAATGCAATGAATGATAAACATGTTCAACTTGATGTGGGAATAATCGGTTGTGGTTCAAGTGGATTAGTAACATTAAAAGAATTATTAGTTGAAGGTCATCGATGTACAGTTTTTGAAAAATCAAATTCACTTGGTGGATTATTTGCACGAGCATATGAAGAAGGAATACTTGTATCAAGTCATTTATTAACAATGTTTAGTGATTTTGTTGGAAAAGATGAAAAAATTCTTCATAAACCTCGAATGTTGTCTTTTATGGAATATGTTCAATATTTGAATGATTATGCTGATTATTTTCATTTAAAAGATTTTATTCGATTTGAAACTGAAGTGAAATCTGTATGGAAAGATTATTCAAGTCATAAATGGAAAATTTCTGTTAATGATGAAATTTTTTCATTTGATCGCATCGCAATTTGTTGTGGAATTTATGAAAATACGAATATTCCATCATTTCATAATCAACATCTATTTCAAGGTCAAATTCAACATTTAAAAACTNAAGGACCTTGTGCTTCAATATGACCATCAACAAGTAAAACTGATATATCGGATGCAGCTACAAAGCGTCTTTGATGAGTTATCAATAGTCGTGTTTTCTTACTCAGAAGTCCTTGAGAACTGATGCAAGCATTGAAGATTTGTTCGGCTACTTTTGGATCAACAGCTGAAAGTGGATCATCGAACAGATAAATATCGGCGTCGACGTAGATTGCTCGTGCCAGCGAAACACGTGCCTTTTGTCCACCACTTAGATTAACCCCTCTCTCTCCCACGACTGTCAAATCGCCAGCATTTCCTAATGCTTTAAAATCGATATCGAGACAACATGCGCGTACGACAGACGTATACCGTTTCTCATCCATCTCCTTGCCGAGTAGGATGTTAGCACGAATGGTGTCAGCAAATATCCAAGGAGACTGGGCAGCATAGGAAACCGAGCCATTCACTTGCATCTGTCCACCGATCTGTTTCATTTCACTGAGCAGAGCGGCAAATAGCGATGATTTTCCAGCACCGACAGATCCAATGATACCAACTAATTGACCAGATTCTATGTGTATATTAAGGGATGATAGATCAGTCTGATCATTTCCCCACGAAAATGAGGCATTACATAAAACAATGATGTCATTTTCGCTTTTATCTACGCTTACATTTAACATTGAGTTTTGATATTGAACTTTTTCAAGTTTCATAAATGAATCAATACGTTTCGACGCAACTGACACATTACTCAACTGTTGAATATTCAATGGAAGCAATCGAAACAGGGAAAATCTTAATTGAATAAAATAATTCAGAGTAACAAAGACATCTGCTGCATTCAAACGATAACCAAGAAACCAAAGACTAAGAAAAATGACACAACTGAACAAACACGGCGAAGAGAAAAATAGACATTCATTAATTGCTCGTAAATGGTTTGCACGTTTTATAGTACCTAATTCATGTTGACGCATATCAGCCACTCTTTTCTCCATCGGTTTTTCCCAATTATATATCTTAATAAGTTGGCAGCCATGAAGAATTTCACTAAATACTTGGAGACGCTTGTCCGCATGTGACATTTTCTCGGCACGATAGCGGGCGAATAATCGACTAAGCACGAACTGTACTGGGATTAATAGAAGAGCCGTTATAACACTGCAAATTGTTGGCAGTAAGCCGACAATCCACCACAAAATAAGAAATGTAAATAAAGTCTCTAGAGGTCCGACCCATAGAAAATGTCCATCAGTCCATAGTTCGTCGAATTTACTGATGTCATCAGATAATAAATTGATTATTTGAGCCGAAGTTGTTTTTTGAATTGCTGATGTTTGAGTCGTGAGCACATGTTGATAAATAATCGATGACAGCGCATGTCGAATGCGACGTCCTAATAGAGCTGAGCGAAAGAAAAATTGTTGGAAAACCATTGCATATATAATTGTACACAATATTAATCCAACTACGGAAATGCTGATTGATTTCAAATCCAGTGAAGTAGATTCCATTGAACTTATTTGTTGTATTATGTTACGTAAAAATAACGGCTGTAGCAGACGAACGATAAGGAATGGCACGAGAATAAGACCAACGAGGAGCGTCTCATTTCTAAATGCGCTTAAAACTATACGCCACGTCGTTGTTGTAGTTGACCAATCGTACATAATCAACTTTTGAAACGAAAGTAAACATTTCTCCTGAAGAGGCAAATCTTCAAGATCCTCATCGGTAAGTATTTGCTTGTGACCTAAACGAAGAAGCGGATTGAGCCACCACCAAAATACTACATGTGCCCATCGAGTCCATGATGATTGTGATGATTCGAGCTGTGATGAGTTTCGGTGGATTTCACACTTTTCATTACTCATATTCATCAACGAAGTTGTTCTGCGCTCGTTAAAAAGACGATCGTTATTATTAATGTACAACGAATCCATGTCTTGAAGTAATGGTTTTCGTTCTTCATAGTCATGTGTCATCGTCACGTATGAAGGTCTTGAATTGTAGTAATACGGAACACGACCACAACTTAAATACACGAACGAATGACGGAATCGAAAGAAGAAAATTAAAAAACAATATGAAAGTAAAAAATAAAATGTGTTACAAATGTCATTTCACTTTCTTGCCGAAAACTATATTATGGAAAAATCGACTTTCAACCTTTTGAGAAAAGAAGAAAGTGACATCTTTATCAATAATCATGTCATAAGTTAAAAAAATATTAAGACATCTTACATAATGTAGGTGCTATACTACGAACCTGAAGTCAATTTGTTTAACACAATATTAATATTGATAACAAACATAATCAAACAGCTCGCAGTAAGAGCTGAAGTAAATCGAAATCTGAATTGTAACAGTTTGATGTTATATTTTCTTACCTCTGAAAAACTAAACATCAAGTTCACAGTTCTATACTCATCTAAATGCAATTTTTAGTTGAAATCTAGTCTATATAACTATCAACCTTCGCGAATTCCATATTCGAATCTTTTAATGAATTTATATCCCTTATTTCCTTCTGTGTATAAAGAAAAGTTACTAACCTGTCAGTGTAAATATGAAAGAAAGAAAATGATATGAGACACAACTGTTTGTGATTCTCTATCATTCGAAATTTTCTCAAACATCGCTCAAATGACTGGTTACTCTTTTGTTTGTCGATGAGAAAGAAAATATAAATTATACCATCTCAAAATATCTTTTTGTCTTTTATGTGTTTTTCTTAGCAGCAAAACAAAACAATCTTTTCTTTTCTTTTCTTTTCTTTCAACTCATCTACGCATGTCTGCATGCTTCTTGTCTCCTTCATATGAAAGTAATGTGTTCTATGCATCAGTGAGCATCACTATGATCCAGAGTTAGAAATATACGACTTGTGTATTGTAATATTTGTATAGCAAGTGTAGTTCTTGAGAGTGACGATATTGATAACAGAAAGGCTCATACTCACCTTCAGTCGTTATCGAATCTCGGATTCTGTTTCGATGAAATTATATTGTTGTTACTAAACGATGATAAACTTCGTCAAGCTTAGTTTATCATTTTTCAATTGATTTCAATAAAATGAGAGTTCGATTACTATTTCTAGATGCATCTCAGTTGGATTGATTATGGAGTTTCAAGTATAGTTTTAAGTGAGTTAAAAGATCAAATATTCATCTTAGCAACAGCACGTATTTATCTAATACTTATAGTTTTATCTGGCGGTATTGGTATTCACTATGCATGTAAACGATCAAAACCAACATCAACAAAAGAATATCTTATTGCCGATGGTCAAATGAAGGTGATCAAGAGCATGGTGAGGAAATCTTGCTAAGACATTCGTATTTATTTCTAGATATTACCAACAGCAATGAGTCTCTTAGCAAGTTTTACCTCTGCAATATCTCTACTTGGTACACCTGTAGAGATCTACTATTATGGAACAATGTATGTCTATTCTAGTACGTTAACAAGAATTTCTTTCGATATAATCCATTTGATTTGATTGCTTATTTGAATAGTATTTGCTTGGTTAATTGCAACGTTGGTAACAGTGAAATTTTTTATACCTAAATTTCATTATGTTGGAAGTGTTAGTATTTATGCTGTATGTAATTAGAGAAAGTTCTGATTATTACAGAATCATAAGCATCTTTGATTGATAGTATTTCGAAAAACGATTTTCACTAGCAGTTCGGATTTTGATCACTTGCGACTATATCTTAGTAACAGTAAGGAAAAAATCCAATCTTTTCACATTGACAATTACTTGATCGTGTATTAAGATTCTTTATATATCTGTGGCTCTTTATGGACCTTGTTTAGCAGTTAGCCAAGTGACTGGAATTAACATTTGGATGGCACTTGTGACTTGTGGAGTCATTTGTACGATTTATACGAGTATTGTCTGTATGAATATATTTTGAATTTCCAAAATATTCGAAGTTATTTTCAGGGTGGAATAAGAGGAGTCATTTGGACTGATGTAATACAAGCATCGGTGATGTTTCTCGGTCTTAGTCTATCAATCGTTTTTGGTATATATCAATTCTTTCATCGTCAATGAGAATGACAAATTGATGTACTTGTGTAGCTTTAAAAAAACCGATTTGAGTTTCTCATTTATCGAATTCCGTTAAAAATTGTGTTGAATGTTTTTTTCTTCTTCAAGGTTTAATCGATATTGGTGGATTATCAAAAGCATTCGATATTCTAAGAGATGGAAATCGAATACAATTCGCAGTGTATGTCGATGTATTGTAAAAATATAGATATTATTCGAAATATTTTAGTATAAATTTCAATCCGTCAATACGTTATACAATTTGGAGTATTCTAATTGGTCACACATTTGCTACTATCGCACAATATGCATGTATTCAGACTCAAGCGCAAAGATATATGTGTGTTAAAGATACGAAAGCGGCACAAAAGTATTTTAGGAGCAAAAATTCTATGATTAAATGATATTTTCATAGAGTGATGTGGAATGCTTATATAATGAATGTGATAATGTACATGTTTTGCATATTCATTGGATGTTTACTCTATGCAAAATATAGTCAATGTGATCCACTTCGTGCTAAACTTATTTCACGATCCGATCAAGTAAAAAACATATAGTATTGATAAATTTGATACGAATTCGTCTCTCTTTAGATGTATCCGTTGTTTATCATAGAAACTTTAAGTCGTTTTCCCGGTTTACCAGGACTTTGGATCGCTTCGATATTAAGCGCAACACTAAGCACATTCTCCAGTGGAGTAAATAGTCTTACTACGGTCATTATTGAAGATATTTATAAGCGATTAGCAAAAAAACGTTCAACATCTGCTGATCGAGAACTCATCATCTCTAAAGTCTTGTGTAGGTCTAATTATGTTGTCACTTGATAAATTTTTTCTGTTATACAGCAACAGCCATTGGATTTTTGATCATATTGGTGACATTCGTTGTATCTTACACAAAAAATAACATAATTACAGTGAGTACCGTTTCGAATTTGACATTGATCCGTTTTCTTTTTCGAATTTAGATTGTTATACGAATCAACGGTACATTTTCATCTCCGATTCTTGGTGCTTATTTACTCGGGTTTTTTTCATCACGAGTTAAAAGTCGAGTATGTCTATCGATGGCGTTCATACAGCAGATGATTAACAACAATCTTTTTTGTCACAAATAGAGTATTTTGGCTGCTATCTGTCTTTGTTTTATATTTCAAACCTTCATACTTGTTGGTTCAATGATTACTGTCCCACCGACAGATCAGCATGGAGGGCGTTTACCGACATCCGTTAATAAATGCGTACCATCAGTTAATGATACGATGCCCCTGACAAGAAATCAACGGTATTAATGTTGAAAACAACCGAGAGGATCGAATAGTCAGTCGTTTTATTTTTTGCCTTTTAGACTTAGTTTATTAGAATCATTGTTTTCAATATCTCCTCTTTGGTTTAATTTTAATGGTACAATTATGATGATTATATCTGGATTAATCTTTACATTTATTTTTGGTGAGAATTTTGTAATTAAACTTACTTGAAAGATTCTCATTTTTTCGGAATATAGATTCAAATGACACGAAGGAAATCGACCGATCATTATTAGTGTCCCGAAAGAAGATTGTTTCTTGTCAACAAACTATGGAACGATCGGATACACATCATAATGGTGAAATTTTATTGACCGATGTCGTGATTGAAGAAGAGAATTGACAGTAGAATTTAACAAATAAATCAATTTGTCGGTTTTCTTCTGACCAACGAGAGAAGAATTTCTAGAATTAACACAGCAATGATAATCTTCAAGATGAAATCAACAATAAATCGAATTGTATATTCTTTAAAGATCATTCTGAGGTGACCAAATAATAATGTCGTCAAGAATGGATTTGACTGTTATTGTTTTCCGAGAAGTTCGTATAGAAGAATTGAAAAATGTCTCACGGTGACTAAATAAGCCAGCTAAACTTTTAGTATCACTTTGATCGTAAGTCATTGACAATTTGAAATTGGATCACAGTCAATGGACACATCAATCGTTGTAAACATAAAGAGAAATGTGGACTAGAGATATCACTTTAACTTTAACATGATATTTTCAATCCAAAGTGCCATTCGATTGGACTTAATTATTTCGTTTCCAATAAATGTATTATACTCATATCTCTCATAACACTTTACCTCAGCTTCCGTTCTTCGAGTCTTTTCTAAGCTAAGACCTTTATAGTACATAAAATAGCTTTCCGATAGAGCTCATCGACTTCTATCTTGATATAACATTGATCTAAGTTGGTCAGACGTCTCAGTGTGTCAAAATAATGATTTTCTCTACTTATCACTATGGTCTGAAATCGATCCAAAAATATGCCTATTCGATATAGTATGTCGAGAACTATCCTAAAGGCGAAGATATTCTAGAAAAAAAAACTTGAATTCTAATTCGTAGGATATCCTACGTGTTATTTTTGTATATATTCATCGTCAATAATCAATTTGATTCGATAGTGACATCATTCGGTCATTTCCTCCATTCATTGTTTCTTTGTTTTCTTTCTTCTCTATCTATGAACATCATTTTATAGATCGACGAATGCAATGGATGATGATAAACACGTTCAACTTGATGTGGGAATAATAGGTTGTGGTCCAAGTGGATTAGTAACATTAAAAGAATTATTAGCTGAAGGTCATCGATGCACAGTTTTTGAAAAATCGAATTCAATTGGTGGATTATTTGCACGAGCATATGAAGAAGGAATACTTGTGTCAAGTCATTTATTAACAATGTTTAGTGATTTTGTTGGAAAAGATGAAACTATTCTTCGTAAACCTCGAATGTTGTCTTTTATGGAATATGTTCAATATTTGAATGATTATGCTGATTATTTTCATTTAAAAGATTTTATTCGATTCGAAACTGAAGTGAAATCTGTATGGAAAGATTATTCAAGTAATAAATGGAAAATTTCTGTTAATGAGGAAATTTCTTCATTTGATCGCATCGCAATTTGTTGTGGAATTTATGAAAATACGAATATTCCATCATTTCATAATCAACATCTATTTCAAGGTCAAATTCAACATTTGAAAACTATAAAATCCTATGAAAATTTCCATAAGAAAAAGATTTGCATCGTTGGAAGCGGAGAATCAGCCAGTGATATGATCTTAGCTGCTGCAAAATACGGCGAAAAAGCATTTCTTTCAATTCGAAAAGATCATGGATTTCTCATTCCTCGGTATATCTACGGTAATCAAGATGAACCATCTGATTTAGATACAACACGAGTTCATCATTCGATTCCACGAGCATGGGGAGTTTTACACACGTATATCGATATGATGAATAGTTTAATCAAATCTTATTTCAAATCAATTTGTTTCAATCAATCGCATGAACATGGTTTCATACGAAGAAAAGGAATATTTATGAATTTAAAACAAATTTCAACGAGTCATATGTGGTCAACATTTGGAACGAAAAATTCTGGTTTAGTTGAAGCTTTGGTTAAATATAAAGATAAATGCTTCCGAAAACCAGCCGTTAAAGAATTGAAACAAAACTCGATTATTTTCGATGATGATTCCGAAGAATATGTTGACGAAATTATTTGTTGTACAGGTTTTCAAATATCATTTCCATTTCTTGAACAAAACCCTCAAAAACATCCCGAAATGCAACGTCTTGGCAATGAAGCGAAAATTTGTCATAATTTATATAAACATTGCTTTCATCCTGATTTCGGTGATGAAATTGTCTGGATTGGTTTTGCTCGTCCTGCATTAGGTTCAATTCCACCATTAGCAGAACTTCAAGCACGTTGGTTCGCTTTATTATGTTCAAACAAATTAAAATTACCGACAAAATTAGAAATGAAGAAACAAATCTTCAATTATGTTAAATATTTGAAATGGCAGTTAACATCTTATCGAGTTGAACGCTTAACGAATTTAACGGATTTTTTAATTTATTCAGATGATTTAGCGAGAACGATTGGATGTCGACCAAATCTTCTGAAAATCTTTTTTCGTGAACCAAATCTATGGCTGAAATTGATGTGTGGACCATTATTAAATGCACATTATCGTCTAAATGGTCCACATGCTAAACCAGAACAAGCAAAAGAGATTATTTTNCAGTTAACATCTTATCGAGTTGAACGTTTAACGAATTTAACGGATTTTTTAATTTATTCAGATGATTTAGCGAGAACGATTGGATGTCGACCAAATCTTCTGAAAATCTTTTTTCGTGAACCAAATCTATGGCTGAAATTGATGTGTGGACCATTATTAAATGCACATTATCGTCTAAATGGTCCACATGCTAAACCAGAACAAGCAAAAGAGATTATTTTGAAAATTAAATGGGTTAAACAATCAAATATTTTGTATCTTATTATGTTAATATGTTATGCATTTTTTTGGTTGATATTTGGAATTGAATCATGTAAACCTGCTTCGTGGTATCCATTAGAAAAATATTCATTTTCTTCTTAAATTGACTTTTTTTTACTCGGTTGGATAAATAATATAAAATTTCGGTGAGGATGTTCGGAGGAAGATAATGAATAGAATCATCTATATTCTCAAGAAAAGAAGTTTGTTGATTTCGTTCGAAGATAAATTTAAATGCATTGTAAAATGCTAATGCTGTTCGAACCATAATTAGCGACTAAAATACCACTCATGTCATCGAAATTGATATCGGTGACTACAATTGTATATGGATATAACTGAACGGAGTAGATGACATGATTACAACATCTGCTTAATTGCTATCGTTCACATCTACTACTGCTACTAATCGTGGATGAAATCGAGTATAATAGTTGGGTGAAGTCAACACAACGTTATTCCCATTAGTAAACTGGAGAAAACGATTATTTCTATCAGAACTTAAACCTATTCGATCCGGATTGCCATCATTATTATTCAAATTGGCTACCTTTACAGAGTTAACCGAGTCGCCATTGCAATCATAATTATGTGAATTAAAAAGAATACTAACAGTTGTGCTCCTCACATTTCCGATAATGGTTCGACTGATAAATGTTCAATCACCTACATTCATCAGAGCATCAAGGTTTTCCGAACCATTATTCACTCAGACTATACTATCATTATTTTTATTGGAAAAGGTAATGTTCGAAGGATGAACTGTCAGATATTAACAAAAATTTCATTCCCATCTACGTGTTTTTCCTGATTTCTATGTACACACACACACTGTGTACTGCACTTTGGTTAGTAGTTACAATCATTGTATCGGTGTCTGTGTCTACTGACATATTCTGTTTGATGATATTATTAGTGAATAATGCACAATTGAATGCGATGAGATGAAAACTGGCGGTTCTACATTGAACTTTAGCTAAACATAACATGTGACGTTTAGGAATGGAAAACAATTTACACTAACACATTGGAATCGCCGATGAACCATCAACAATAGTTCAATTGAACACATGTTAACAATTAAAAGAAATCAGGAATAGTTTCGTGGACCCATAAATAATTTGTTTTTTTCGATGAATTTACAGTATATGAGGACATGTTATGTTAATGAAACCGAAATTATATGAGTTCAAGATCAGGATTTTCTACTTTCAAAATTTGATGCACATCCAAGAAAATTCGTTTCTCATCTTCTGCTATACTAAAGAGATGTGGTCTGAATAAGAAAAAAAAACAATTCAATTTAACGTCTGTATTTGATTTGTCAGTTACAAACGAAAGAAGTTCTTTCTTTTTAAATTAATGATTTTGCAGAGACCACTTCGGTGATATCAAGTCAAACTTGCAACTTTTGAGACCGGTGTTCTGTTCTTGGCATAAACATGAAACAGAATTGCATATACACATCTGTACATGACAATTCTACGAGGTTGAAGAGTTATCACATATATATACAATGGAGATTCTCCACTAGTTTTATATCTACAACATATCTATAAGCATCGATGAACAACAATAACAATAGTGTTTCACCAGGTGGTGGTGTTGGAATGAGACCTCCTCCTCCTCCTGGGGGTGGTGGAATGGGTTCATCTGCTATAACACCTCTACAAAGAAATGTCATTTTCTATGGTTATTTAATTCTTTTCGTCTTTGGTTTCTTCGGTCATATTGTAAGTTTCACAATCTTTCATCGTGAAACTCTTCGCAAAGTATCAACAAGTACTCTCTTCATCTATATGACAATATCCGATTTTATTTATTTACTCGCATGTTTCTATACATTTATTTTCATTGGTTTCAATATTTCAGTAACAAACAAGAATATGATGAATCAATTATGTCGTGCTTATTCATTTCTACAATATTTTTGTATGTGTTGCACAGCATGGCTTTTGTTAACGATCACCATTGATCGTTGGCTTCGTGTTCGATTTCCATTTCGAGTGAGAGAACTATGCACACGAAAACGAGTAACTATTGGTGCATGTGTCATTGTGATCGTTTCTGCTGCTCTCAACTCTCATTTGGCTTCACCATTCATAGAAGTTGTTCCGGGAGCGACTGTTTGTTCTTCTAGTCGAACATCGAATCCATCATATGAGTATTTCTATATGACCGTCAGTTTCTTTCTTTGAAGTGTAAAGAATATTTCTGAAATTTTCTTTTGAAGATTTGGCCAATCTTAATAACAATTCTTCAAATAGTTCTACCAACAATCCTTCTGTCAGCATTCAGTATCAGCCTATTTGTTGAACTTCGCCGACAACAACAACAAAAATCTCAGATGAAACGTGGTCGTCGTGTTTTTCTCGATCGACAAATCTTATTAATAATGATCTCGAGTATTTTTCTCTTTTTCATTACACAGATTCCATTGAGTCTATTCTACATTCTCATGACTTATACTTTACGATCAAAACTCACAATAGAACAATTGATTCAGTTCAACAATTTTACCGTTTTAGTTGCTTCAATCAATTATGCAGTAAGTTTTATATGAAAAAAAAAGATTTTTCTTCGTAGTTATGCTCGTTATTTTAGGCATCTTTCTATATTCATTGTTTATCAAGTCGATTATTTCGTCAAGAATTTTACCACGTCATCAATATCCTTCGAAGTCGTCGTGTGGGTGTTGTCACACACATTTTAGGTACTGATGCTACTCAAACTCAACTAGTCCGTTTACGCGAAATAAAGTAGAACCAAGAATAATCGAACTTTATTGTGAAAATCTCGATCATAATAGAATTCTAGTCACGATCATCTGCATCATCCCATATAAATAACTTTAAATGAACATTTTGTCTTAAAATTTTCATAATCTGGTATTTGAATATTTTTCCTATTTGATTCCGTCGTATATCTAATGTTTCCAATGTCTCAAAACGTAAAATAACTTGTAAATAAAAAAAGAATGACTCGAATCGAGAGCTTACTTGATTATTCTGAAAAGCAGTTGCTATATCAATCGCACCTTCGTCTCCAATATTATTTCCAGCAAGATCAAGATAAGTCAATGTCTACAAATACAAATATTCAAAAAAAGAAAGAACAAGAAATGTACTCACCCGATTTGTTTTCAAAGTATTAGCTAAATAGTGAGCTCCTTCTGCTGTAATTTTATTCCCATCAAGATGTAGAGAAATGAGTGTCTATATGTAAAAGCATCGAATATGAAAAGAAAAGAGTTCAGATTAAATATGTACCGTATTATCTCGAAATGTCATCGCCAACTCTTTGATACCTTGATCTCCGACTTTGTTTCTCGTAATATCAAGTTTCACCAGACTCTATAAACAGAAATATCTCGAGATTATCAAGAGAATATAAAGCAAGATTATTATATACTTTGTTGTTTCTGAGAGCTACAGCGAGACATTCAACTCCTCGATCTCCAATTTGATTCTTGAAAAAATTGAGTTCAGTCAAAGTCTGCAAAGAAAAAGTATAAAGATGAGAAATACACTGCAACCGGAATTAACCTTATTATTGACCAAAACATCAGATAAATGGAGGATTGCGTCATCATCAATCATATTATAGCTGAGATCGAGTTTGGTCAAAGTCTATACAGAGAAATTTATGATATAAATACCGATTAGAAGAACTGACTAACAGTATTGTCTTGTAAACCGGCGGTTAAATATTTTATTGCTTCAGCATCGAGCTCATTACTGTGGAGAATGAGTGTGACAAGTGTCTATACAACATGAGTAAGATAAATTTAACAAATGAAGAATCTGTCCATGAGACGTACTGTGTTATTTTGCAAAAACTGATTCAAATGTTTTATGCCTTCAGCACTAATCTCGTTGTCAGCAAGGTTTAGTGTGGTTAGTGTCTGTATGAAATAATATTGATATCGATTATAGTGAAAATGAAACTTACATTGTTATTTTCCAAAGCTTTTGCTAAGTGTTCAAGTCCTTCGTTCTCAATTTCATTATCAGATAAATCGAGTTCGACAAGTGTCTGTATACAATGATAATATCATAAACAAAAGACCTTCATCCACAGATTGAAACTTACGTTATTATTTTTAAATGCTTTAGCCAAGTGCTCTGATCCTTCGATACCTATGTTGTTCTTGGCAAGGTTAAGTTTAACTAATGTCTAAATGAAAGATCTGTAGTAAAACAAGTAAAAGATGATTGTCATGTTTACGTTGTTATTTTCTAAGGCTTTAGCCAAATGCTTAATTCCTTCGTCACCAATTTCATTCTGGCAAAGATTGAGTGTGATAAGTGTCTGTGTGATGTATCAATCATGTTGGAAAAGAATTATTAACTCGAACTAAGAATTACGTTGTTATTTTCGAAAATTCTCGCTAGATGTTCAATTCCTTCATCACCAATTGAAGTATTAGATAGATTGAGTGTAGTGAGTGTCTATATTGAGTAATATGTTGACAACGAACAGATCATAAAATTCGAAACTAACTAAACAGTGTTGAAAAGCATTCGCCAGATTTTCGGCTCCTTCAGCACCAATATCGTCATTTTTCAAGTTCAATGTATTCAGTGTCTATGGAGACGATCAACAAAGCATTTCTGTATGATGCATTCAGAAAGGAAATTACCTTATTGTTTGCAAATATATTGACTAAATATTGAGCTCTCTCAGCACCTTTTTCTTTTTCTTTCAAATCAAATGTGGCGATTGTCTATTCGAATTATTCAAACCGACAAGCTTGGAAAACAGGACTAGGCGAAGCTTACTGTGTCATCTGTTTGATCCTCGTTCTGACGAGTTTGTTCGTCATCTGAAGTTTCAGATGATTTGTCATCAAACGGAACAAGTATCTTTACAAATTAATCGAGATTTAGTTCGAGTAGATAGGAGAAAATATTTCAATTTTACATCTTCATCGGGCAAAGCATCAGTCAAGTTATCTATTCCCGCTTGCGTGAAATTGTTTTTCCTAAGATCGAGAGAGGTGAGTGTCTACGAAAATGACCGACAATAGAATAGATGAAGAGGATATAACAAAAAAAAAGAGCTGTACAGTATTATTTCGGAGGGCATCAGCTAAATATTCTGCACCTCGATCTTCGATTTCATTTCCATAAAGATCTAGATTGGATAGAGTCTAAAGAAAATCAATAGAAGCATTATAAAGATTCCAGTAAGACTCACCTTATTACACCGAAGGGTATCAGCTAAATGTCGAGCACCTTCATCAGCGATATCATTATTGTATATAATAAGTTTTGAAAGAGTCTAAATGAAACTATGACGATGTAAATACGAGAATCGTTGTGAAAATGATTCACATTATTGATTTGCAAAGCAGATGCCAGAGATTCCGCGCCTGAGTCACTTATTTCTACGGTAATTATATTGAGTGTAGTTAATGTCTGTAAGAAATTATTGTTATATAAATAAAGAATATTGTTATTTAACCTTGTTAGTTTTGAGAGCATTTGATAAAAATACAACTCCAGCATCACCGATCTTATTTACTGAAATATTAAGTTCTGTAAGTGTCTGTAGAAGAAAGCGATAGTCGAACAAAAATAATTATGATAATATCTAAGACTAACATTGTTATTTTCAAGCGCATCAGCTAAATGTTTAACTCCATCAACATTGATTTTATTTCTGGATACTACGAGTGTTGTAAGTGTCTAATTCAAATAATCATGCCCAAACATAATTATATGAAGCTTGACGTTGTCTTACTGTATTTTTATGCAGGACTTTAGCTAAATGTTCGGCACCCTCTGCATCAAGTGCATTACCAGTAAGATTGAGTTCGGTGAGCGTCTTTATGTGAAAGTGATCAGCTAAGCGAATGGAATAGAATTACATGAAGACTTACACTGTTGTTTTCCAGTGCATTAGAGAGATGTTCAGCTCCTTTGCCCCCAATTCCATTGTAGCCAAGTTCGAGTGTCGCTAGTGTCTAAATATAAATGATGACAATAGAATAGGCTAAGTCAAAATGAACTCTACTACTTGATTTTTACACAGAATTTTAGCTAAATGTTCAGCGCCTTCGTTGCCAATTCGATTATTAGTTAGGCTGAGTGTAGTAATTGCCTATACGGTATGCTTGATATACATACGGATAAAATACAGATAAGTGAAAATTTACTGTCGTATGTCCAAATAGATTAACTAGATATTCAATTCCTTTGGCTTCAATTTGATTCTTATCCAGTTTCAATGTGGTTAGTGTCTATGAATGTTTGTAATAACATCTATGACAACAAGAAAACATTAATATTCACTGTGTTGTTTCGAAAACCATCAGCTAAATATTTCATGCCCAAACATCCAATTTTGTTTTGTCCGAGATTCAACATATTAAGCGTCTAAGTGAAAGAAAGAGTTCTTGAAAGATATTTAACAAAAAGGTTGAAATTCACTCACTCTTGTATCTCGAAAAGCGTCAACTAGATATGATATTCCTTCTCCTTTGATTTTGTTGCCGGCAAGATTTAAATCAGTTAGCGTCTATTTGAGATATTAATAATATGAGAAATAAGAATGATTTACTTTGTTATTTCGAAATGCATCGATCAAATATTCAAGTCCTTGATCGGCAATATCATTATTGCTCAAGTCGAGTTCAGCAAGTGACTACGAAAGAAAAACGAGAATAAAAAAAAATGAAGAATATAGAAGAAAGTTGAAACTCACTGTATTACTACTAATAGTATCAGTAAGATGCAAAACACCTTCTGCACGAATATCATTCGCTCGAAGTTTGAGTTGAGTAAGTGTCTATTTGAAAATCGAAAGAAATGTACATTTCACAATCAAGAAATTCTTCTACTGTTTTATTGCGTAGAGCTTCGGAGAGATATTGAGCTCCTTTAATACCAATTTGATTGTCATTCAGATTGACTATGTCGGGTGCCTGTTTGAGAAATTTGATCAATTTTCGAATGAATCAAAGTGTGTGACGAATATTCACCTTAATATATCTTAAAGCAACAGACAGAAGTCGAATCTCTTTATATCCGATTTCCTCTTCTTCAAGACTAAGTGTTGATAGTGTCTACATGGAAACTAACATTGCAAAACAAGAGACTATGTGACAAATGAGCATTACTTTATTCTGTTTTAACGAAGTAGCCATTTCATCGACCCATTCGATACTATTGTCATTGTTTGTGAAAGTGGATGTGGTAAGTATCTGTACATAAGAAAAAATAAAGAAATGCTCGTAAGTATCATAGAAAGACAAAGGTATAATTACTAGTTTGTGTCGTAAAGTTTGAGATAAGTATCTAGCCGCAGTGATCGTAATTGGATTACCAGTCATCTCTATTCTCGTTACGGTCTAAACAGAAAGATGAACTCAGAATAAAATCAAATGAGAATTGAGAAAATATCGTTCTTACTGCACTCGATCGTAAAATATCAGCGAGATCATATGCACCTTGATCTCCAATTCGATTATAACCAAGGTCAAGCGTTGCGACTCCCTTATATTATAAAAAAACACATGTTTAAAGAGACGATGAATAGAGAACGATACTTTACCACATTCATATATTCCATTAAATTATAGGCCAAAGTACGTGCTCCTCCATTGTTAATCTTATTGAATCGAAGAATAATAGTTTTTAGTGTCTATGAATTGCAGAAACAAGTCCTGTGATATGAACTAGAGAGGCAAAACTTCACTGTATTTGACTCGAAAGCTTCTACTAAATGTTCAATTCCGTTATTTCCAATCCCATTGTTGGAAAGGTCAAGTGTCAATAGCGTCTGAAAAGAAAAAGAAATCTATGTATACATTAGGGAAGCATTGAGCTTATAAATTAAACTTCGTTAGTTAGTAAAGCATCAGCGAGATGCTTTAATCCAGTATCAGCTATTTGGTTCTTGGAAAGATCAAGTGTAGTGACAGCCTAGGTCAAATATATGAATGTAAAAATGAGAAATAAAGCATTTTCGTAGTATACAGTGTTAGTTTGTAAAACATAGGCAAGATGCCGCGCTCCTTCATGACCGATTCGATTGTTTGATAGAGACAGTGTAGTCAATGTCTATGTAATCAAAAGAAAATAAGTAAAAGAATAGAAAAACTATCGCTTAACTGTATTAAGTCGTAAAGTAGGAGCTAATTCTTGTATTCCACCCACTTCTAATTGATTGTGACTAAGGTTGACTTGGACAAGTGTCTATATTCAACAATGACAGTGTAAAAAAAAGGCATCAAGCTCAACAATGAATTTCACCGTTGTATAGCCTATAGTTTCAGCAAGATATTTAGCTGTAACAGTACCGATCTGGTTACTGGAAAGATTGAGTGTGGTGACCGTCTACATATACCATACATATTTAAAATGCGCAATAAATGACCTAGACGCATTTACCTTGTTGCTTTTCAAAGCAACCGCTAAATGTTGGATTCCTTCATCTCCAACCCCATTGCTTTCGATATCGAGTGTGGTAATTCTCTGTCGAAAATATAAACACGAAAACTGCTAAAAACATCAAGATAAAATGAAATTCACCTCGTTATTACTCATAGCATCAACCAAGTGTTTGATTCCGTCGCATCCAATTTCATTACTTGACAGATTGAGTGTAGTAAGAGGCTATATATGAAAATTTCGAAAAAAGTAAATGAATGAGGCAACTGAAGAAAGAACCTCACCGCATCGTTTTGCAGTGCATTAGCCAAATGTTGTGCTCCTACATTTCCGATTCCATTAAAACCAAGATCGAGCGTTGTTAGCGTCTATGAGAAAATGTATAAGTAAAATACGAATGGATGTGCATAGAATGATAGCTACTGTATTATTTCGTAACACCTCAGCCAAATATTGAGCACCTTTATCGGAAATTTTATTCGACGAAAGATTGATCATAGTGAGTGTCTTTATACAAATGTGAACATATAAATGACAGACAACGGAGATTAAGCTGTCGATTTACAGTATTGTTTGCTAATGCTTGAGCTAATTGTTGGGCTCCGTGTGCTTCGATCTGATTTACTGCGAGACTAAGAGTAGTGAGGGTCTATTAAAAAAAACGATAACCATATTAATAAAGATGATTAGAAGATAACCGAATTTAACTGTATTGTTTCGTAGAATATTCGCTAGACACTTGGCTCCATAATCTCCTAAATGATTATTATCCAATTTCAGTATTGTTAGTGTCTGACAAAAGTTCCATATATTATAAAGATCAATCAGAAAATAAAGTTACTGTATTTAATAAAAGCACATCTGCAAAATATTGAGCTCCATTGTCTCCGATCTGATTGTTCGAAAGATCGATACTAATCAATGTCTACAAAAAAGAAGTAGAAATTCTAATTAATCAAACGAAATAAACACGAGACATGCCTTGTTGTTCCGGCAAGTCTCAGCCACATATTTAGCACCTTGAGCTCCTATGTTATTGTCCGAGAGATTAAGTATAGTGATGACCTATACATGCAAGTTTATGTGTAAGATGAAAGAAAGACAAAAGTCACCTTGTTATTCAAGAATGCATCAGTCAAATATTGGATACCATGATTGGAAATGTAATTTTTGGATAAATCAATTTCAGTAAGTGTCTATATATGAAAATGAATGTTGAAAATAAGATTAACGTAGCAAAATATTGTTTACTGCATTTTTACGTATAATTTCAGCCAGTTGTTGAGCTCCCTTATCGCTAATTTGATTGTTGCTAAGTGCGAGTTTTGTTTGAGTCTATAGTGAATCAATAGTATGATCATATTTGGAGAAAAAACGAATACTGTACTTGAAATATGGGGACGCAGGAATTTCGGCCCCAGGATTTTTCGGCCCAAACTTTCGGCCCTAATTTATTATTAAACGTATTTAATTAGTTATTAACTATTAGTTGCATAGTGCTGAGCAGTATGAATTTCAAAACGTCAACCTGCTGAGCACTATGACATACTGCCGAGCGGTATGAATATTGAGAGATTTCGTCCTGCTCAGCACTATGTCACACCGCTCGGCATCATGACACGGCGCTAAGCAGGACGAAATCTCTCAATATTCATACCGCTCGGCAGTATGTCATAGTGCTCAGCAGGTTGACGTTTTGAAATTCATACTGCTCAGCACTATGCAACTAATAGTTAATAACTAATTAAATACGTTTAATAATAAATTAGGGCCGAAAGTTTGGGCCGAAAAATCCTGGGGCCGAAATTCATGTAACTCGAAATATGATGTAGAGTGATTGATAATACTCATGATTCTGCAGAGTTTTATCCATATCTACATTTTCTTTGTCAAATCTATAAAGACAAAAAAATAGACCATTGTGTAAATATCGTTCATACACTGAGATTATATGTGCTAATAGTGTCTTATCAGATCTGTAACCCTGAGTCTATAAACTGTTCAAGCTTTATTTACGTTTTACTTTGTTTTTCTCCATCGAAAATATCGTGCCAATAGGATTCGGCGATGACTTTTTCACGATTTATGTGACGAGTGTCGATTGATAGATTTTGTCGAGTTGATCTGTCTAGAAATACAAGAAAATGCCATGACAATTAATCGATGTGCATGGTCGTACCATTATTATTGAATAAATACGATTGAATAGGAATTTGTTCATCAATGACAACGGCAGATAATTCGTCAGATTGATCTAATTAGAATGAAAAGATATTTATTGAATTTAGAGTTAGAATCCATAGTTTTACTAATATTTTCAGTGTGTTGAGATGATTTGGATCGATTTTTGCAGCAACAACAACAAACGTACTTCATAAATTCGGCTAGATAACATAAAATGTTGAATGGTGGAGGTAATACTGTCTTATCTTTGATTTCATAAATCAACCAAAAGCGTTGGTATCGCCATATTTCTATTGATTTTTCTTGTATGCGTTGAATCTTTTCACTAGGTTGAACGAAAGATAAATCATTTGTGAATATCATCTTTACTGTAAACTCACTTAAACATCGCGATAAGTACATTAAGAAGAAGTATATTGGATATGACTGTGAAACCAATAGCGAATAAAAAGACAAATGTACCATAGGCATCATTTTCTGAAATAACATGAATCAATTGATTGATTTTGTAAAATATGTCAAGAAATAAGATGATTCCTACCACTAACAGCGTCATTATACGGTTCAGCTACTTGTCCAAATACTTTCCAAATACCCCAATTAAACACATCTCGTAATATTTGCCATTTCCACAGTCCATTACCGGTTTGTAATGCTACACTGGCGTTTGGGAATGATCCATTTATTGAATTTGTCCATGCAACTTGTTCTTTAGTTGTCAGAAGAGACCAAGAAGCAACAGAAAAGCCAAAAAGAATAATAAGGATGAAACAGATGAAGATCACGATAGCATCTTTCATCTACAGTACGAAATTCAGAGTCAGTTGAATATGCATATACAAAAACATATGCTGTGAGAAGATTTTCAATGTAGATACCATCGTGAGTTGTGATGAATAGAGTAATAAAACTTACCATTTCATAGATCATCGTTAGCTTTGGTCCGAGAATTCTGGACGCAGCAAAGAGATAAAGTATTCGAATATACCAAATAACACAATCAATTGACATGAGTATTCTATAGTCCATAAGAAAAAAAAATATATATTCGAATGTGTACTAGAGAAGAATAATTTACTTTGAACAAATGAAAAATGATTCTTGACCGAACCAACGAGTAACAAATGCTATCAAATAGATCAGAATCGCCGCTTGATCCATCCAATTCCAAGCATTACTACTGTACTCATAACCCGATGTCATTTGTGATATATACTATATGAAATAGATACAAATTTGACACAAAATAGACAAGGATAAAAACCAACCTGATATAATTCGTCAATAATTAAGCTCCACATACAAATATGAAGAATTAATTCAGTGATTGGAATTGGCAAATGTCGAGATTCAGATCGATGTTCATCGGAAATATTCACTGGAAGATAATCCAAAAGAAGAACATAACTGAACAGAGCCAAAAATAGAATGAAGAATATCTATTGAAAGAAGTGAAATTTTCAAATATTCAACCAAACAATGATGAAAAGTTAATACATACTAAATTATAATAAAATCGTATGACAGGTGCTTCGTAGAACCATTTGATTCGTGTAATTATTCCATGAATGTTAAAGCGTTTTGGCAAACTCTCTTGTACTGGTGGTGGTGCATGTATCACTACTGGACGATACGGATTCCATATTTTTGATTCCTTTATAAACAAAAACTTAAATAATATGTTTAAGTTCTATTTATACCGATTTTGTTTGATCAGATTTCTTCTTATACAGAGCTGGAACTAACACTGATGCAATGGGTAGAAGAGGTAATATTAAAGCTGAGAAAAAAATCTAACGAAAACATTCAATTTTGCAGAAAAATATCCTTTGCAAAAATTTCACAGACCCAAATGGAGATTTTAATTTGCAATAAGCGATGTTGATGGTCAAAATGATGATACCATAAACTTTTGAGATGTTTTTGTATTGTATTACTGGCGAGAAATATTCGACAATTGGCTCGTTGTGCTACATCTAGTGGAACACATTTGTAAAAAGCCGTCGCTTTACTTTCGAGTAGTTTGAGAGCAAATTGTTCATCTTTCGCGAGACATTTGTCTATAATACCTCTGGCATGTTGATCAAATTCTCTTGAAATAGATAGATTAAGAAATATTCAAATATTTCCTTGACTTACTGTGAAATCGCTTTTAAATTTTGTCTATTCAATGTGTTGAATGCAGCTGATGTATTATAAATATCAACGGCGAGTAAACTTGCAACTATTTGATTCTGATATTTACCATAAGGAAAGGAGAACGATAAATACGAAATGAAATTTCAAATGAACATCATACTCGACATCTTGAACAAAGATACTTCGCCATCATTGGTTGATTCATGAATATAAACCAAAGATAAAGTGCTTCAGTCTTACGTTCATTGAAGATTTTCGAAAATGGAGTAAAACTTGCATTGATCTTATGTTGATTTTGATCATCATCTAAAACTGCTCGGCGCATTTGCTTATTTTCTCTCATATTATCCTTTGTAACCTAAAATATTCTAATCTACAATGATCTGCAATGTTGTTAAATATCGAATATTTACATAATGGTTTAAATATTGTCGAAGATAACCATTATATCTTTGTTCCACATATGTTTTCAATTCACTTAATACAGCATCACGTTTGAGAGACAATGAATCAAGGGACGATTTATAGAGAATGAGAGCATCATCATTCTTAAAAGTTTAGAAACGAAGTGTAATGCAAAGAATTCAGATCGATCTGAGAAATATGATTTACCATAGTTTTAACACAAATAATGATAAGTTGTTCATCATTTAGTTGTTCGATTGATGCACCATATTCCATTAACAAACTCACGAAAAGCACATTATTTCGATATAAAGCTTCGAACAATAATTGCTGTGCTAATGGAATCATCTAGTAAAAAGTTCCATCGATTACATATTAACAGTCAAAATGATTCTATCGTTCTTCGTAATTTTCTCACCTGATTTTGATTTGCTTCTGCTTGACCTATTGATACCAAACTCTCATCTTTGTTGTTAATCAATAATTGCCGTGCATAATTAGCTTTGTTCCATACCTAATAGTATTTTTCGGAAGGTAATAAACATCGTTATCTAAAAATTAAAATATTGTCTTACTGTGCACCATAGAAGAATCGGTGCTCGGGTATCCGGACAAAAAAATTGCTCCCAATTATTGACTTCATAGGTTATGCCTGTTAACATTGCGTCGGCAATGGCATCTTCTAGTTTAGCATTAGGTTCGATGGCGTCAAAGACAATAACAAGTCCTTCCATTTCCCTTAGAATATCAACATATTTTTCAATATCGTCATGTTGTTCTGTGGTAATGTCTTCGTTTTCAAATAGTTTTTTAAAGTCATTTTTACATTCCTCAGTATATGTTTTCTTTCGAAATGACGCCAGTTCATCAGTCGTAGACGATTTTCGACAGAGTTGAGCAATGATATCAGCAATACCACCTGTGTTCTAGAAAACAGATTTATAAGCCATCAAGCGTGAACTTTACTAAACATAGGAGCACATACTCGAATAACAATAACTGGTGTTCCTACGGTTAATCCTTCACATATCGCATTTAATGTTTCGAAATCACCACCAATGAGTAACATAATAATTGGAATATCATGGTCCGATACTAAAGTATATTTTGAAAAAAATGACAAGATTTGATAGATAAGTTTTTAGCATCGGTAGAACATACCAACATTTTTAGATAGACAACCAGGTACTGGAGATCTCAGTACTTTACTAATACTAAGTTCATGTTCAATTGCTTGCCGTTTCAAAAACATGTTTTTCATATCGTTCGATCCAGCATCAAAAAAGAAGAAATGCGTGTGATTAGGTTCGAGCTGATTTTTAACACTGATTCTTTCATCATCTGTACTTGTTGTCAGTACATACTGATGAATAGGAGGATATTCATTATCCAACTAAAAAAGTAGGATGAAATAACTATGTGAAAAGATATCCTTTTTATCTATTAGATTATTTTGATTACTCGATATACCAATTGTTTGAACATTGACTTCGGTGTGTCTTGCTCATCTGAATAAGAATATCTGACATTTAAAGAAAGAATCGTAATTTACGATAGTATTTACGTGACACAAATTTCCAATCGCAAAAACCTAAACAAGGAATATCACTTCCACATAAATCTCTATCCAATGCATTTCCCAATAACTTCATAATGTCTTGATTAGCACAACTTGTTGTTACCCAAGGTTCTGAGTATTCAAATATAAAACTTACAGAAACAAATTACTTTTCTCTTTACGTGTTATTCTTGCTGTTTCAGTTAAACCATGTTGAATAGCATGTTCAGTTTCTGCTTGTATGCCAGAGATTTGTTTATATGAATCGCTTTTCTGAACTCTGCCTGTTTGGATTGACAGAATGAAATCAGGTGCACGAAGTTGATACGCTTCAACAATTTTTGCTATCCACAAACTTTTTGTATTAGCAGCAACATGGATAAACTAGACGAATAGAATATGAACATTACTCGCAAAACAGTCTTTTATTGTTTTTCCAATTGGGATTACAATGACTTACTGATGATAAACGATCGTTTTCTGCAGCATCATCGATATTTTTCTCCGTAGTACTGGGATATTTAAATTCCAAGAAGCCGAAACATGCTGGTTCACTAAACATATTCCAAAATGATTAGTAGATGATAAAGTTATTCACTGAGTAACTTACTTCGACTGATCTTGAAGGCGAAGTTCCAATGTTTTGATAACCTACAATATGAAAAACAGTTCAACTATAAAGTTTGACAGATCAGAGTTGTCATACATTTTTCATACGTTGATTTAACTCTGATGCTCTTGACACATTTGGTGTTAAACCTAAAATTTAATCATTCTGAGATAGACTTGAAACAAAATACGACTGAATGATCGCTTTGGAGCTTAGATTTCATACATAAAGTGAATCCTATGAGGAATATTAGCATTTTTTATCCCTTAATATAGTCGCAGTTCCATTGATGAACGAATTTACAAAAAAAAAGTTTTGAAAAGCAAACTTGTAATATACAGTAACAACTTACCTTGTGACAGTATTTCCATTTCATTCGAACGCAAAGCAATCGACTCATGTTGATCCAAACCACTAATGTCTGCATCTGTTAATGCTCTCATTTCACTTTGCATGATATCGTTCGATTCTTTTATTTTATATAAGGTGATCTGAAATATTAAATTACAAAAATGAACTAGTTAAGGATAGATGTGAGGGTTAAATAAACACTCATACATTCGCATATGCTGTGTATAATTTGAGTATTTAATAGATTCAATTTTACCTCTCACAACGATATTCAGTAGGTATTGTCAGAGAAGAAGTTTTCCTTTGACCTTCAGGAAGATTTGACAATCTGTACTTTCAAAATATAACTTAACAATAGATTCAGATCAGTAGTAAATACGTAAGCTTCGGATCTTCTCAGAAAGCTAGACGTACTGCAAAAGCGAATCAGATTATTTGTCCAATGAATTTCATCAGGATTTGTCATGTAGACAAATGGATAGAAAACACATTAAATCATTCTAGTTTTACGCTCACTTTCCAACAAAACTACACCCGCAAGAACATTTTAAATCTATTCTCACTTGAAGTCCGAATTTCAGCTCAACTTGTGGTTTTTGAATGGTTTTCTGTACTTTACGTCGAAAGTATATCACTTAATAGGTAGCGCAAGATGAAAGTTTCTATATTAGAGATACAAATATATGTTCCTACGAAATCAACAACACTAAATTTACACAGCAGAATAGAAAAAGGAGAAGTCTAGACTATGTAGTATGATAACATGAATTTTGTCCTTGTTCAACACACAATTCTTATCTCTTTTTACTACTCTTTCAAAAGTCTAAACGATCACATAAAATAGATTTGTAAGAATTGTATAATCTTTCGTATTTGTTTAACAAAATTCTATTTTGCTATAAAGAACAACGATAAAAGCGAGTGCTTCGCGAAATGCAAAGAAAAATAATAAGAGATGTTGTAGTACACAGAAACGACAGATCTTCCCATACAGGAAAAATATATTACCCGAATTTTTATGACGAAAACTATCTTACGTTTATGCTAATTTGTAAAAGTAGATGTGATAGTCTTTTGACTTGTTCGCTACACACATTTTTAAGATAGACGGAGAGAAACTTTCGAATAATAAAATATATTTACTTACCTTTTCGATTTTAGTTTGCCACGTGAGATAAACATTTGCATCAATATTTACCACAAGTATACTATCATATACAACTTTTATATTATCAGATGAAATTGACAATTAGCTACAACATTGAAACTAACTTCAATGTGGTGATTTTTAATTGAAAAAGTGTCACTGCTGATAAGTTTATATCGTCATTTGTTTTTTCTACCTTGAACTATTCGTTTACTAAAGAAAAAGAAAGAAAAGACAAAAGAATAACGGAACGTGAGAACGAATAATCAATGTCGAGGTAAATCATAAATTCTAACATACTGAGAGAAAAAGAACAACATCTTCATCGAAAAGAAATATTTGAAAGAACAACAATCATGTGGAGATTCTATACAAACAAGAATTTCTCAATCAGAAGGGTGAGGGTGGGGTGAAAATAAGGTCTGTGGTAAATGTCTGAAATTGATAAGGAACTACGATGGAAGAAGAAAATCGAATAACTTTGATGAGAAAACTAACTTTGATAATGACTTTTTAGCATAAAAAGATATATCCGACATCGTCGTTTTATGCAATTGATGCCAAGAAAGATTAAGATCACAAATGGAGAGATTTGAAGCATATTGAAATTTTTATGTTCTACAGCTTTTCAACATATGATGTACGTAGACATTTTTAATCGCTACGACATACTCCCGCTAATAATGGATTGTTAAACTATAGTTAGCCGTACAGCTGAATACCAGTAACAAAGAACATCTAGCTGAAGAAGTCATAATTGACTCTTATTGTTGAGGATTCGATAAGTTTGAAAAAAAAGTTGGATTCATTAGAATCTTCTCAACTATTGTTTAATATCTTCTTTGAAAAGTGTTACCATTGGTCACATATTTTCATTTTTTGTTAGTGTTCATATGAAATTAATCATTATAGCTGAAGTTAAAACATACGAACCATACATATTCTCCACATCGATCACTATTCTATGAAGGACCAACTGTCATTTTACCAGATTAAACAAATTTAATATTATCGATTGTAAAGTTTTCTTTAACATTCATTGATTGTTCTTACTTTCATACAAAGTGAACCATAAGAACATAAAGGTTATGCAAGAAGCATCTGATATGATACAATAGTATAGAAAATATCTTTTCTTCGATTAAAAAAACGTGCTTGTATACTTTGAATTTTATTATGGAACAGTTGGTGCTTTCATATAAGAATAGAAATCACTCTGTGATATTTAACTTTTTGCAACAGATGTATGTTTTGAATATTGATCACTTTATACATTATATTTATTTTCTAATATTCATGTGCTTCACGCATAAATAATCATTGTAATCAAGAGAAAAGATAAGTGTACACATGTGTATTTCTGTTCTTTTCTTCATAATCATGACGCTGTACGTCGTCAATAGCGAATCATTTATTACATATCTTCGTCATCATTATTATAATATCCAATTTCAGAAATTTTCTTCGGTACATTCTTACACCACAAGAGTTATTTGTTTGAATTTCTTATTAGCTTTAAAAATCATTGTATTATTATTGTACAATCGTCGAATCGATGATCGGTGAAATTCATTGTTTTAGTATATTCACTGTATATTCGTTTCGAACAATTAAACTTGCGCAATATTTTTATTTCTCTTGTTACATCGTAAAACTTCGAAACGAAATTCTTTCGAAGTGAGATTTTGTTACAATGACGAATTGTACTATAGATTCAATTTAAAGAAAATATTTTCTTCAATGTCTGTTGATCTCTAAGTTAGATCACAGAATGAATAATTACATTTTCTCATTTTAGATAATTACATTTCGAAATATGACATCCACTACTGACAATTCTGATGTTCATATTACGATGTAAGTCGTTGTGATATACTGACACAAACGAGATGAAGAATACTAAAAATGATGTTCTTGATGTTTTAGATCAGCTATTCCAGAGTCTAAGTTGAATCTTGCCGTACGACGTAAGCTGAGAACATTGATCATATTCAACTCGGTTATTCTAATAGGATGTTCAATTGTTTTCTTTGCTTGTATCTACATAAATGTTGTTAATGCGCGCAAAAAGCAGAAACATGACAAGTGGAGTTATTTTGTGTATGAGATGTTCGTCACATCGTTGAGTAGTATCAATGCAATTCTTGGTCTTGTTTTGATCATTTATGAACAAAGAAAACATGAAGATCAACAATCAAACTATAAATTGGTCAATGTCATTCATCTCGTTTCGAACATTGTTTGTACAATTCTTTTTTCATTAGTTTTTATCATCGATTTTATTTATTGGTCTGCTGATCTATCGAACACTGATCAGGTCTACAATGGTGTTCGATTGGCGGTTATGGTGCTTACTCTTATTATTGGTATATGTCAAACAGCATGTGCAATTGAAAATCGTGTTCTTGCTTGGAGTCCGAAATATCGATATTCTCGATTCGTGCTCTGCTTTTCATCGACAGTTCTCATGGCAGTCTCCATTGCTTCGATAATTTTTAACGCACGCATCGGTCGTCTACAACAACGTATCGAAGCGAATAGTACTGTACCACTTTGGTGTTATACAACATTTCAAGCAAGTTCAAGTTATACACTTTTATGTGGACTTGTTGGTGTTTGTTTAACTTTCGTCTATGGGAGAAAAGAAAGTGGACCGAATCAATTTCGAAAACGTCTTCGACAGCTTTTCAACGTCGTCTGCGGCATTGGTCTGGTGTTAATTGTCTCGTTTACGATCAATCTTTTGTCTTACCGTTCAGAATCTGGTAATGGAACCAATCGTCCTCATCTACACACATTAGTTCAGTCGGATCCAATTGTTTCTGCTGTACAATGTATTCTCTTGATATTCGCGATGAGATCGTTACATATCTTAGTTCGTGCAACACGACCTGCTCGAAATGGGTTGACAATCGAGCGGATTTGGCTGAATCAGACATCTCCTGCTTGTATGACGCACTGGGCGGCTGGGATTGATGCATTTAATGGAACATTAGACGGAATGACAGGTGAAGCAGCTCTACAGTTGATGAAAGCATATGAAAACGGTCAATTGGAAAGCACCGAATGTGTGGTGTTACGTATTGGTCGATCTGGTCAACGAGTTCAACTTGAAAACGATCAATGGGACGATACGGAAGCACTTGTTCTTCTTACTATTATTCATAAGTATGATGTGATGAGTAAAGCTAATTTCAATGGCTTTTGGGGTAACATTCTTCAGCGAACACTCGGTTCAAAGAATTGTACTCCACGGTTTCGCCCACTTTTACTTCGACTGGGTCTCATTGGTTATCAATGGCCATTTCGAACCAGTATTTTCTTTACTACACCCCATCAAGATCCGTTAACACGTGCTGCTCACGTCTTGGAAGCAATTATCGATTGGAATGAAATGCAGAAGTCCAACACTCATTGTAATGTTCTTCTCTTGCCAACTCTCAGCACAGAATTAGTTGCAAAAGCGATTCCTGCAGCTGGTTTCTTTCCCTTTTCCCTACCACCCACACATTTAGTCGATGTGAGACCGCACCATGGCAAAACATGGGCCGAATACATGAAAACACTGAAAAAAGGTAATCGACGACCTTATATTCAACAATTTCTGACAAAAGGCGGTACTATCGAAGAAATTGATCATTTAAGTCCGAGCGAGGTTGGCGACATTGTGTGTCAACAATTTGAAAACATCGTCCGAGTCCGAAGAGAAAATAAAGAACCACCACCATTAGTAAAACCCTCGGCTGAATTCATTTCTTCGATGGGTAACAATATGAATGTACCGTACCGTTCGGTAGTTTTTCTTCGTTTCAACGGTGAAGTTATTGCCAGTTCGGTGATTTACAAATTTCCATATAAAATTTTGACAACTGATATTCAGGGCTTGACACATGAGAAAGCTCGACCACTGAAAGCTTACTTTGTTATGTTACAATGGGTACTCAGAGAAGCATTGGAGAAGAAGTACGATTTTGTCGATTTTGGTCCGACAACACCGGGACCTAAAACGGATCTTGGTTGTGTCAGTGTCCCATTAGAAGCTGGTGGCTATGCAGGAAATCCAATTCTTGCTTTTGGCATCCAACAAGCTGGAAGAGTCGTAGATGTTATTCACAATAAAAAAGATAATCAGCAACATAAAACATTGGATCATGATGGAGATCAACAGAACGATACTCAGCTGAATATACAACCACCAACGGACAACATACAAACTTCAGACAATGTTCAGGCTTCTCGGACGGACAGTTCTGAAACTCGATCAGCCGTTCCTCCTTCGAAAAAAGTCAAACCACCGGCGAAGAAAGGACGTAACTTAACGGGAAACGAGAATCAATCCCGTCCAAGTCTGCCGAAAGATAAACAAATGATCGATGAACCACAGCCTTTCGAATCCACCGACATTGTTTCTAGTAATACTTTAGTTTTGTAAAGAGTAATATCAATGAAAGACGTAACCTTATCTAATCTTCTCTGATTGTAATTATTCATATTTAAGATCTTGTACTTCGACTATGACATCAACAAAGAATTCATATCGTGACCGATAAAAGCTCAACAGTTGAATATCATGTCGACGAGAGACTGCATTAAATATAAATATGCAGCTTACCTGTTTACACACATACTTTAGATTGCACCGTTTAGGAAATCATGCTCAAAAATCAATTGAACAAAAGAAAAAGAACAGTGGCTCGATGTCAAAGCGCATCAATAGACGTCAGTTTCTCCTCAACAGCTTGAATTTGTTGGTTCTTCTGTTGAAAATTACTTTCCATGTAAAGTGTCTTGGCCGTTATTAAATGAGTACAGGCTTGCTCATATTGATGAAGCTTAATATACACATCAGCCAATTCTTCGTGACTAATAGCCAATATTCTTTTTGCAAAAGCACTAGGTCCTTCATTGGTATCGGCCGCAGTCTTATAAATATTCAACTCCTTTTCATGCTGGATTAACTTGTATTTTAGTGCTGCATCACTATTTTCTATATGCTCGAGATACATTAGAGCGACACGGCCGCAAAGTGTTGCTTCGACTGTCATAGAGAGAGATGGCTTCTTCAATACTTCCTATTCTGTGAATGCACTCAGCAGCTCGAGAAACTTCACAACTATCCAGTTTCTTCATCATCATTTTCCACTCAAGCTTCCCAAATTTGATCGCTTCCAAACCGTACTTCTTGTGTTGTTCGACGTTGTCACCGGCGGTCTCCATTTTCTGCTCATAAATTCGACTGATCATTCGTCATACACTCTGGATTTCAACGCAATTTTGCAATAGTTAATACTTAGATTGTAATGTTTAATGGCACGATGACGGTCTTGCAAGTCTTCGTAATAAAACGCACCAAGATCTTCGTGAATATTTCCTATGTTTATCACACAGTTCAAATCTATGTCAGCTAAGAATATTTTCCAAATCTTCAGAGAATGGTCGTATTGTAGCAATGCTTCTTGAAGATCAGATGGTTCCAATGTCCAAAGGCAGTTCTCGGCTAGACATTGATGTTTTGTGGCTAATATCCACTGTTGTTCAGAAGGAAATAAACAAGTCAATTCATTGAAACAGTTATGAATCTCTTCACTTGTCTCAGATGTCAGACAATCACAGAGATGATCGCAACACTTTTTCAAAAGTTTTCTCGGACATAAGTTTTCAAATGGCGGCTTCAATCGATTGGATAAAGTCAGTTCTGCTATATAAATATTCTCCTCGACACTATACGTGATCTTTTTTATTTTAAACTGTGTTCCAGCCATAAAGAGAATTTCATTTTCACTGGAAAATTGACTGAACATCGAAATATCTGCAAAGGGTAGAGCAAACGATTTCCCAAAGTCAATTTCGATCTCAAAAAGTACANCAGTTAACATCTTATCGAGTTGAACGCTTAACGAATTTAACGGATTTTTTAATTTATTCAGATGATTTAGCGAGAACGATTGGATGTCGACCAAATCTTCTGAAAATCTTTTTTCGTGAACCAAATCTATGGCTGAAATTGATGTGTGGACCATTATTAAATGCACATTATCGTCTAAATGGTCCACATGCTAAACCAGAACAAGCAAAAGAGATTATTTTACGAATTAAATGGGTTAAACAATCAAATATTTTGTATCTTATTATGTTAATATGTTATGCATTTTTTTGGATGATATTCGGAATCGAATCCTGTAAACCTGCTTCGTGGTATCCATTAGAAAAATATTCACTTTCTCCTTAGATGGACTTTTTCGGTCAATTGAATAAATAATATCAAATTTCGGTGAGGGTGTTACGAGGAAGATAATGGATAGAATCACCTCTACCCTTAAGAGAAGAACTTTGTTGATTTCGTTCGAAGATAAATTTAAATCCATTGCAAAATGCGAATGCTGTTCGAACCATATTTAGCGACTATTATGTCACACATGTCATCGAAATTGCGATGATATCGGTGACTACAATTGTGTATGGATATAACTGAACGAAATAGATGACATGATTAAAGAAGGTTCGATTGTCTGTATTGTATAAAATCCTGATACTAAGATTATCCGGCATTTATGGTGAAAACATCTACTACGGGGGTTAGTAGTTACTATCATTGTATCGGTGTATGGATCTATTGACATATTCTGTTTGATGATGTTATTAGTGAATAGTGCACAATTGAATGCGATGAGATGAAAACTGACGGCTCTACATTGAACTTTACCTAAACATAACATATGATATCTTCGAATACTCTACACTAACACATTGGAATCGCCAATGAACGATATTTCAATTGACGCATGTTATCTCCGACTATTGGCGTAACGAATACAACTAATTTACAGTATACGAGGACATGTTATGTTAATGAAACCGAAATTTGATGCACACCATCCAAGAAAGTTCGTATCTCATCTTCCGCCATACTAAAGAGATGTGACCTGGATAAGAAAAAAAAACAATTCAATTTGGCGTCTGTATTGGATTTGTCAATTACAAACGCGAAAAGCTCTTGTTTTTTAAATTAATGATCTCGCATAGAGCACTTCGGTGATATCAAGTCGAACTTGCAGCTTCTGAAGCTGTTGTTCTGTTCTTGGCATAAACATGAAACAGAAGTGCATATACACATCTGCACATGACAGTTCTATGAGATTGAAGAGTTATCACGTATATATACAATGAAGATTCTCCACTAGTTTTATATCTACGACATATCTATACACATAGATGAACAACAATAACAATAGTGTCCCTCCAGGTGGTGGTGGAATGAGACCTCCGCCTCCTCCTCCTGGGGGTGGTGGAATGGGTTCATCTGCTATAACACCTCTACAAAGGAATGTCGTTCTCTATGGTTATTTAATTCTTTTCCTCTTTGGTTTCTTCGGTCATGCTGGAAGTCTCACGATCTTTCATCGTGAAACTCTTCGCAAAGTATCGACAAGTACTCTCTTCATCTACATGGCAATATCTGATCTCATTTATTTACTCACATGTTTCTACATATTTATCTTCATTGGTCTCAATGTTTCAACAGCAAACAGGAACATGATGAATCAATTATGTCGCGCTTATACATTTCTGCAATACTTCTGTATGTGTTGCACAGCATGGCTTTTGTTAACGATCACCATTGACCGATGGCTTCGTGTTCGATTTGCATTTCGAGTGAAAGAACTGTGCACACGAAAACGAGTGACTATTGGTACATGTGTCATTGTGATCGTTTCTGCTGCTCTCAACTCTCATTTGGCTTCGCCATTCATCGAAGTTGTTGCGGGAGCAGCTGTTTGTTCTTCTAGCCGAACATCGAATCCATCATATGAATATTTCTATTCGACCGTCAGTTTCTTTCTTTGAAATATGGAAAATATCTCTGAAATTGTCTTTCGAAGATTTGGCCAATCTTAATAACAATTCTTCAAATAGTTCTACCAACGATACTCCTGTTGGCATTCAGCATCAGCCTATTTGTTGAACTTCGCCGACAACAACAACAAAAATCCCAGATGAAACGTGGTCGCCGTATTTTTATCGATCGACAAATCCTATTAATAATGATTTCGAGTATTTTTCTCTTTTTCATTACACAGATTCCATTGAGTCTATTCTACATTCTCATGACTTATATTTTACGATCAAAACTCACATTGGAACAATTGGTTCAGTTCAACAATTTTGCCGTCTTAGTCGCTTCAATCAATTATGCAGTAAGTTTTATAAAAAAAAAAGATTTTTCTTCGTAGTTATGCTCGTTATTTTAGGCATCTTTCTATATTCATTGTTTATCAAGTCGATTGTTTCGTCAAGAATTTTACCATGTCATCAATATCCTTCGTACTAGTCGTGTGGGTGTTGTCACACACATTTTGGGCACGGGCATCACTCAAACTCAAACAGTTCATTTACGTGAAACAAAATTGAATAAAAAATAAATGATTTTTTGTAATAATCTAAATCACAATTCAATATATTCATTCCTCATTCAACTTTGTGCTTCAACTCCTGAAAAATATATTGTTGGTAGATAGACACTGCGAGCATCATACCTTTGTGGAAAGCGAACCATAAGAACACAAAGGTTATGCAAGGAGCATCGGCTATGATACAATAATATAGAGAAAAAAACCGTGTAGAAAATATCTTTTCTTCGATTAAAAAAACGTGCTTGTATACTGTGAATTTTATTATGGAGCAGTTGGTGCTTTCATATAAGAATAGAAATCATTCTGTGATATTTTACTCTTTGCAACAGATGTATGTTTTGAATATTGATCACTCATTCACACATTATATTTATTTTCTAATATTCACGTGCTTCACGCATAAATAATCATTGTAATCGAGAGCAAAGATAAGTGTACACAAGTGTATTTTTGTTCTTTTCGTCATCATCATGACGTTGTCCATCGTCATAGCGCATCGTTTATTGCATATCTTCATCATCATTATTATATTCGATTTCAGAAAGTTTCTTCGGTCAATTCTTATACCACAAGAGTTATATACTTGTATTTCTTATTAGCTTTAAAAATCATTGTATTATTATTGTACAATCGTCGAATCGATGATCGGTGAAATTCATTGGTTTAGTATATTCACTGTATATTCGTTTCGAACAATTAAACTTGCGCAATATTTTTACTTCTATTGTTGCATAGTAAAACTTAGAAATGAAATCCTTTGGAAGTGAGATTTCGTTACAAGGACGGATAGTATTAGAGACCCAATTTAAAGAAAATGAACAATTACATTTTCCCATTTCAGATAATTACATTTCGAAGTATGGCATCCACTACTGCGAATTCTGACGTTCACGTTACGATGTAAGTCATTGTGATATACTGACACAACGAGAGGAGAAATACGAAAAAACTGACGTCCTTGATGTTTTAGATCAGCTATTCCAGAGTCTAAGTTGAACCTTGCCGTACGACGTAAGCTGAGAACATTGATCATTTTCAACTTGGTGATTCTAATAGGATGTTCAATTGTTTTCTTTGCTTGTACCTACATAAATGTTGTTAATGCACGCAAAAAGCAGAAACATGACAAGTGGAGTTATTTTGTGTATGAGATGCTCGTCACATCGCTGAGTAGTATCAATGCAGTACTTGGTCTTGTTCTGACCATTTATGAACGAAGAAAACATGAAGATCAAAAATCAAACTATAAATTGGTCAATATATTCCATCTCGTTTCGAACATAGTTTGTACAATTCTTTTTTCATTAGTTTTTATCGTTGATTTTATTTATTGGTCTGCTGATCTATCGAACACTGACCAGGTGTACAATGGCGTTCGATTGGCGGTTATGGTGCTTACTCTTATTATTGGTATATGTCAAACAGCATGTGCAATTGAAAATCGTGTTCTTGCTTGGAGTCCGAAATATCGATATTCTCGATTCGTGCTCTGCTTTTCATCGACAGTTCTCATGGCAGTCTCCATCGCTTCGATAATTTTTAACGCACGCATCGGTCGTCTACAGAAACGTATCGAAGCGAACAGTACTGTACCACTTTGGTGTTATACGACATTTCAAGCAAGTTCAAGTTATACACTTTTCTGTGGACTTGTTGGTCTTAGTTTAACTTTCGTCTATGGGAGAAAAGAAAGTGGACCGAATCAATTTCGAAAACGTCTTCGACAGCTTTTCAACGTCGTCTGCGGCATCGGCCTGGTGTTAATTGTCTCGTTTACGATCAATCTTTTGTGTTATCGTTCAAAATCTGGTAATGGAACCAATCGTCCTCATCTACACACATTAGTTCAGTCGGACCCAATTATTTCTGCTATACAATGTATTCTCTTGATATTCGCGATGAGATCGTTACATGTTTTAGTCCGTGCGACACGGCCTGCTCGAAATGGGTTAACAATCGAGCGGATTTGGTTGAATCAGACGTCTCCTGCTTGCATGACGCACTGGGCGGCTGGGATTGATGCGTTTAATGAAACATTAGACGGAATGACAGGTGAAGCAGCTCTACAGTTAATGAAAGCATATGAAAACGGCCAATTGGAAAGTACCGAATGTGTTGTTTTACGTATTGGTCGATCTGATCAACGAGTTCAACTTGCAAACGATCAATGGGACGACACGGAAGCACTTGTTCTTCTTACCATTGTTCATAAGTATGATGTGATGAGTAAAGCTAATTTCAATGGTTTTTGGGGTAACGTTCTTCAGCGAACACTCGGTTCGAAGAATTGTACTCCACGGTTTCGCCCACTTTTACTTCGACTGGGCCTCATTGGTTATCAATGGCCATTTCGAACAAGTATTTTCTTCACTACACCTCATAAAGATCCGTTAACACGTGCTGCTCACGTCTTGGAAGCAATTATCGATTGGAATGAAATGCAGAAATCCGACACTCATTGCAACGTTCTTCTCTTGCCAACTCTCAGCACAGAATTAGTAGCAAAAGCGATTCCTACAGCTGGGTTCTTTCCCTTTTCCCTACCACCCACACATTTAGTCGATGTGAGACCACATCATGGCAAAACATGGGCCGAATACATGAAAACACTGAAAAAAGGTAATCGACGACCTTATATTCAACAATTTCTGACCAAAGGCGGTACTATCGAAGAAATTGATCATTTAAGTCCGAGCGAGGTTGGCGACATTGTGTGTCAACAATTTGAAAACATCGTCCGAGTCCGACGAGAAAATAAAGAACCACCACCATTAGTAAAACCCTCAGCTAAATTCATTTCTTCGATGGGTAACAATATGAATGTACCGTACCGTTCGGTAGTTTTCCTTCGTTTCAACGGTGAAGTTATTGCCAGTTCGGTGATTTACAAATTTCCATATAAACTCTTGACAACTGATATTCAGGGCTTGACACATGAGAAAGCTCGACCACTGAAAGCTTACTTTGTCATGTTACAATGGGTACTCAGAGAAGCACTGGAGAAGAAGTTCGATTTTGTCGATTTTGGTCCAACAACACCGGGACCTAAAACGGATCTTGGTTGTGTCAGTGTCCCATTAGAAGCTGGTGGCTATGCAGGAAATCCAATTCTTGCTTTTGGCATCCAACAAGCCGGAAAAGTCGTAGACGTTATTCACAATAAAAAAGATAATGAGCAACATAAAACGTTGGATCATGATGGAAATCAACAGAACGATGCGCAGCTGAATACACAACCACCAACGGACAACATACAAACTTCAGACAATGCTCAGGCTTCTCGTACGGACAGTTCTGAAACTCGATCAGTCGTTCCTCCTTCGAAAAAGGTCAAACCACCGGCGAAGAAAGAACGTAACTCAACGGGAAACAAGAATCAATCCCATACAAATCTACCGAAAGATAAACAAATGATCGATGAACCGCAGTCTTTCGAGCCCACCAACATTGTTTCTAGTAATACTTTAATTTTGTAGAGAGTAATATCAATGAAACATGTAATCTTAACTAATCTTCTCTGGTTGTAACTTAATTATTCATATCAGGTCGACGAGAGAGTGCACTGAATATAAATATGCAGCTTATCTGTTCACACACATACTCTAGATTGCACCGATTAGGAAATCATGCTCAAAAATCAATTGAACAAAAGAAAAAGAACAGTGACTCGATGTCAAAGTGCATCGATAGACTTCAGTTTCTTCTCAACAGCTTGAATTTGTTTGTTCTTCTTTCGAGAATTACTTTCCACGTAAAGTGTCTTGGCCGTTATTAAATGAGTACAGGCTTGTTCATATTGACGAAGCTTAATATACACATCAGCCAATTCTTCGTGACTAATAGCCAATATTCCTTTTGCAAAGGCACTAGCTCCTTCATTGGTATCGGCAGCAGTCTTGTAAATATTCAGCTGCTTTTCGTGCTGGATTAACTTGTATTTTAGTGCTGCATCACAATTTTCTATATGCTCGAGATAGATTAGAGCGATACAGCCGCAAAGCGTTGCTTCGACTGTCATAGATAAACCTTCATATTCATCGTAGATTTCCAATGTTGTCTTGTAACTGACTAATGCTTGATCATAGAGAGAGATGCCTTCTTCAATACTTCCTATCCTGTGAATGCACTCAGCCGCTCGAGAAACTTCACAACTATCAAGCTTCTTCATCATCATTTTCCACTCAAGCTTCCCAAATTTGATCGCTTCCAAACCATACTTCTTGCGTTGTTCGACGTTGTCACTGAGGATCTCCATTTTCTGCTCGTAATTTCGACTGATCATTCTGAGTAGATACTCTTCTTCGCATTCGTCATACGCTCTGGATTTCAACGCAATTTTGCAATAGTTAATACTTAGATTGTAATGTTTAATGGCAAGATAACGATCTTGCAAGTCTTCGTAATAAAACGCACCAAGGTTTTCGTGAATGTCTCCTATGTTTATCACACAGTTCAAATCTTCAGAGAATGGTCGTATTGTAGCAATGCTTCTTGAAGATCAGGTGGTTCCAATGTCCAAAGGCAGTTCTCGGCTAGACATTGATGTTTTGTGGCTAATATCCACTGTTGTTCAGAAGGAAATAACAAAGTCAATTCGTTGAAACAGTCATGAATCTCTTCACTTGTCTCAGATGTAAGACAATCACAAAGATGATCGCAACACTTTTCCAAAAGTTTTCTTGGACATAAGTTCACAAATGGCGACTTCAATCGATTGGATAAAGTCAGTTCTGCTATATAAATATTCTCCTCGATACTATACGTGATTTTTTTTGACTTTGAACTGTGTTCCAGCCATAAAGAGAATTTCATTTTCGCTGGAAAATTGACTGAATATCGAAATATCTGCAAAGGGTAGAGCAAACGATTTCCCAAAGTCAATTTCGATCTCAAAAAGTACACTTTGTAAATCATCATCTCGTCATGCGGCTTGATTGAGAAATATCAACGCAGATTGGCGGTCGAGCGATGTCGAGAAGAAGCTGTTCGCGCCAATTACTCGAAGCCAATGGATTTCAGAAGTTTCCTTTAGATTTTGTATCTCGCTCAACGAGATCAGCTGACCTCGATAGGCATAAATCACTGATTTGTCAGTCGAACGAACAGATCTCGAAGATAGAAAGCAAAAAGAAGCAATAATTCACTGTTCTGCTGACGTAATGCTTGATTCAAAAGACGGCAGAGGACTGTATCCCGTGTATACCAGTGAATTGCTTGACTTGGAGTATAGTTTTCTTCGAATTCTTTGAGAATGGCAAGTGTCTCACTTCTGTTCCGATAATAGTCTTGAAGAGCAACAACTAATCGTTGACGACAGTTATCAGGATACGTCAAATAGCAGAGGCTTTCAGCAAACAGTCCCCAAGGCTGTGGTTGTCCTACCTGCGCTGTAATATCTTGTTTTGTCAATCCACTGAAAATAGGATATTTTTCTTGAGCTAAATAAATTTCGACGTCCTTTTCGAGATATTTCAATAAATCTTGTAAATATCCGTATTTTATCCTAGTCTGTGAAAGAAATTCATGCATCGATCGTTGAAGGTATTCAACCATGCTCTTCATCATTTCGACAGATGATATACATTGATCACAACGCGTCATCAATGCTTTACCCACCTCTCCAGAGCAGATCAGAAAAGTATTCGTCTTGCTCGTTTCCTCTAAATAGTCTTCACATTCGTTCACATCATTGAAGAATCGGGTGTAGTCGACAATCTTTCTCAGTCTGCTGCCGATCTCGGTCGTCTCTTCTTCGGCTAGGCTTTTGTCTTGAATGTCACACCAGACTACTTGATGAGATTCAAGATTAATTTCCTCGCGATCGAAAGAATAGCTTGGAATAGACGTTGTCAATGACACCGATACACTGACTTCATCCATTTTCAGTATTCCGTATTGTAGCAATCAATGGAATATATATTGTATGATATTTGATGGTCTTGAATATGACAAATACAATTATTGTAATGTCGTGCGTCTTATACCATTGTTGATCGACTCGTTTTTTCACAAAACTTAACAGAACAAAAAAAGGTTTTGAGAACGTGACACGTGTTGCTTTATTTCTCATCTTTTTTTCAAGTGTATACTGTGACTCATTGTTCGCTTTTCTCCTTCTCTTTTCCGCACAGCTAATAGACAAATAGGAACAAACATCACAACATCTAATCAAACTGGTTTCTTCGTTCTTGATTTAGTTCCTTTTAGGATTGTGAAAGTTGTAGCTCCGTATTTTCATCAGATCCAAACAAATGATATTTGCCATTGAAATCGTATAGTCCATGGCACTTTTCCAATAAAGTATCTCATTCTAACGGTCTTCCTGAGGATGTATGAGATCGTAATGGAAGAAACAACTTTCACTCTGATGAACTGTTTAGTTGGTTTTGTCGCAGTTAAAAGTAACTAAGACTTTTCATATTCGGCATTACATCTCCAAGATCTGTGATTTGACTCTCGTTTCATCAGCAAGCCATTATGATGTTGACAAATGATAATAGAAAAAAAAAACATCCAATTATAACGATGTGAAGAGATTAATGCTTTTCAGAAGAAAACCATTGATTTAGGTTGATGAGAAATGAAGTGAAAAGAACTTCTTTTGACAAACAGTTGCTCTACAGGGACAAACATGCCCACAAAAGAAGCATTGCATTTTATTAATTTCCTTCGGATTCTTAGACATACAGGAATGTATTCGTTTATGACAACATAAGAATGCTACAGAAAATGCTAAACTATGCAATGATTTACTCCCTTTCGTAACTCTTTTCAGTTCCATCAAGATAGTTCGGTCTAATCTAGAATAAATAGAAGATTTGACGTAAGTTTGTGTCCAACTTAACTACTTTCTTTCTGTACATTTTCGAAGTCAATTGGAAATGCATTCAAACAAATGTATGTAGAGACATGAAAGATTAACATTAGAAATAGCTGTTGATCATTACGTGTCCTTCGTGCCGTATTATCCCATTGTATCACGTCAATAGAGAAAATCGAAAACACACTAAAAATACGATGAAATTCACTGTCAACAATCATACATTGATTTATTGTTGGATCGATTTCATAGACCATAACAATAACCAACTAGGAGAACTACAGCCAGTTCGTCGACGCTCGTCTTATATAACCAAGCGATACTAACTGGAATCGTATTCTAATCAGGATCTTCGTTGGAAAGTAAAAGCTCATCTTATATGACGAGTATTGTTTTAAACGAATTTGTATTTTAGGAAAAGAATCTCCAGATTTTCGCTGACAAGAACAAATCAGTCGAATATTTGCGAAATAAAATGTAGTAAAAATCTTTTTAGTCAGAGTTTCCTGAGATTTGTACTTGGTCCACAACACTGAAAAATTCATTAACATAGCAAATAGGGCGAAATTTTTCCTCACAGTCAACTGAATAATATTTTTCGTGAAAAGATTTAGTAATTTTGTAGCATTTAGATTCTGCATTTTATATCTCAATACATTCGGAACATTTCTGTGCCAAGTTTTTAAAGCAAGATTGTCAATGATAGTGTCGTTTTTCGATTAACTGAATTACATATGTAACGCTGTCAAATGTTATCGTAGCGACGATTTATCTTAGTATTCAAAAAAAACTTCTCTTCGGACAAAGGGTGTGGGTGAGGGTGTGTATAAAGCGACGCATCTGATATTCTCACTCACGTCCTCAAAATATGCTTTTCGATTAACTACCAGTCAAAGGATCCGATTACACCCATATTTCTATTTCTTATTCTTATTCTGTGAATGATCAGTCGTAGTTCTCAATCCTGACTTTTACCGGTTTCCATTTATTCTAAAATTCCCTAGACAAAATTTGATTTCCAAGCATGTATACTCAATGCATTTAGTAAGATTCTTTATTCTTTCAGATGTGAGTACCTTCACAGAACAGCAAAAATAACTAACTAATTTATTCATGTATAAGATTTACGAATGTATTTTTTTTATGCAACTGCATTGCAGTTGATCAACAAGTTGAGTAACGAAGTTTTACGCCCAACGTTACAAGTGTGATTAACACATGTATATCTGTTTTTCAATATCCTGGTGACGTCCTCAGACGATGATTTTTACTTCTAAGACTGATTTATTTACATCTGCTGTGAAATTCTTATGAGTAGATATGCTAATGACTTTAGTAGCGAAAGCAGGTCGAGAAGCCCATCGGAATTTCAATTTCTCTAATACGTATGAAATTTGGAATAGAAAACTTCTATTGGCTTCCGAATGTACTTTTTCTGTAACTCAATAAATATGTAAGCAGGCGTTTCTAAAAAATGTAATTTTATTCATTTCTTGGTTGATGAAACAAAGTTCAGTAGTCAAACTTTAGTTGAATTTATTAATCAAGTATTTCGAAGCGACATGACAGACAAAAGCATGCAGTTCACGCGCATCTCCATGAATTCTTATCGTCCTCGTAATACTCGCTTACGACCAAATCAGGTTCCATCGATTTACAGAAAAAGCAACAACAGCGAATCTACCTTTACATCAGTGAGTCTACTTATCTGTTTAAAGAAAATTATTATGTGTAATTCTACATCTTGTTGTCTAGTCAACGGATACGGAGATGAAACGTATGCAGAATAGTCGATATACGAACGCTGAAGATACACGAAAGGAAAATATAAGGAACCCAAATACAAAAAGAAAGCTTCAAATGTAAGTATTGAATTATAGTCTTGAAAGATACATTAAGATAAAAATATTAAACTTATTGTACCTGATCTTCTCCTTCTCTATGAATGTTTTCTATTTCTGCCATATGATATTGCATATTTGCATGATGGTATTGAGAGACACATTAGTTTATTATCTCAATAATGAAGTGTTCTTCATTCATCTGATTATGATTCTTCATTGTAGGACATGTTCTGTCAAACAAATTACATGTTGTCTTTGCTTGATCATCACTCTTGCTCTTTTGGGAAGTGTAGCTATTGGTTCTATACTTGCCATTCTTTTACGTAAGGATTCTGTGTTTTATGAATTTATCTTTATACAGAGGTAATATGATCATTAGCGCATAAAACCACTCTGTCGACATCAACAACGACCGCTACCACAGCAACATCAACTAGTAAGTTATATACTTCAATCATAAAAACAATCTCTATGAAATAATTATTTTTGAACCGAATAATAGGATGGCGTAGATATGCACATTTTCACTGTAATAGAAATTTTGATGGTATCAATCTTTGCTTATTTATAATTATTCACGTAAAATAAATAAAAAACCTAGCGAGTGACGAGATTCTATTTTTATCAGACTAGAACAGATGCATATTCTGATTTTCAAGTTTACTATAGATCGAGATAAGATGACATCTGCGACACATCTCTCAAGATATTTTAACGCCCTGTGTTTGTCAGGCCACACAGGAATCAGATCCAAGGAGAAAAAAAGTCAAATCTTGAATTGTTTTTTCCCACTGTACCAAAATACATTTTAAAATCACTTAAATTAAAAAGAAATCGCTGAAGTTTAAGAGAATGTGTTGTAGTCACTCTAAATTGGATAGACTTACAGAAGAAAATGAATCTGTTTAATCTTGTGTCAAACTACTTATCGTATAGTCATTGTCAAAAGAGAACGAATCGCGACGTTTCTTAAACCTTTTCCTCTGATTCCACTTAATACATGAATCTTGTTTTTAATAATAGCATCAACGTCGACTAGTAAGAAAACACATTCGAGAAGTCACTATTTGTAACTACAATGTCTGCAAATGTAGCTTCAACTTCATCAACAAGTTCTACGACCAGTACAAGTTCAACATCGAGCACTTCGAGTACTAGTTCGACTTCATCAACAAGTACTACCAGTAGTACGAGTTCAACATCAAGCACTTCAACTACAAGTTCAACTTCATCGACAAGCACTTCAACTACCAGTACGAGCACGTCGACAAGTACTTCGAGCACTAGTTCAACTTCATCGACAAGTGCCACAACTAGTACGACTTCGACGACGAGCACCACAACCTCGACAAGCTCATCGACAAGTATGTGTGCAAAGCCAGCAAATGTTTTTGAACATCATGTATAGTGAAGCTTAAGAGTGAATGTAGGTTTTACTAAAAACTACCTTCAAGGATATCACCTAAACTCTCGTGAATTATTTATCGGAAACGAGAGGTTCCACTTTTCAATCTCGTTTACATTCCAAATGACAGTTACGTCTTTAGAAAGCATTTTGAGATGAAAGAGTGGATCCCCAATCTACACTTATCATGATGATTGTACATATTTCTCAATAGGTTCTACGTCGAGCACAAGTTCAACATCAAAGACAACATCGACATCAAGCACTTCAAGTAAGAACTTCTAATAAATAACAATAATTAATCAGGATCAAGCTAGAGAAGAAGCACTGATCATTAGAATTTCATGAAACATAACTTGATTAGATCGAGAGATTTGTCGGAAAAACTAGGACAGAACCTTGAGCTTATTTTTACCGAAAGATCTTTTGTTAGATGCTGACAAACAAGAATGATCACTTATCAGTAGATAGATTGTCACGATCTCGAAGACTGAAATAGACGAGTAAACACTTCGTTGCATGGAATTACTGGCTCCGTATCCGTACTGATACTTTCTCACATGCAAGAATTGCAACTTCAACTTATATAGCCGAATTTATAAATGCGTTAGAACTGATATTTTCTCTTTCATTTTCACAAGTCGAGTGGAGCTAATAATCGATTCAAAATTCTAGATCAATCACATTCTTTGCATCTTTTACAGCTCATGAGCTATTTGACGTGGTCAACTATTGATAATAATTTGTCTTCCATAGTAAACATGAGAATGGGTCACTCTTCTTTTTACAGAATGATTTAAGAAGCGTTACTAGTTAAGAATAATTCGGAAACAACTTCTCTGTCACTAACTTCCGGCAAAAAATTTTTCAATGCTGAGAACATCTAGTACCAACCCTATTATTGTGTATCTTTTTAGCTTCTACATCAACAACAACGAGTGAGTGTCGTATTATACAGTTAGTCTTTTGTATCGAATTTCATTTCATATTCAACAGCGCCATCATGTGCCAGTGTTACCAATCCTCCAGGAGAAATTTTGGATCTACTCTCGAAATCTGCGTCGGTGACATATACACATTACACTTATAATTTCACGGCAACTGACTCTTCATCAACTCTGTCTTTTATAGCAAATGGTGATTCTGGAGGGAAAGGTGGATTCTATTGGCTATTAGACGACGTATTTGTGAATGATCTGAACACAAGCACAAATGTTCTTACTAATGGAGATTTCGAAACGGGAGATTTAAGTGGTTGGTCACAGTATTGTAACAACGATGGCAATTGCAAAAATACGGGCTATTATGCCCATACGACAACAAATTCATGTCGTTCAGGAAACTATTGTGTTTACGATTCATGTGGCAATTATGATTATCTATATCAATCCTTTTCTACTGTGATTGGGAATTATTATTTCATATCGTATTATCTCCGATGTGGTGCTGTTGGAGGAGGTTCAGAGATATATGTCACATTAACCTAATGAACATGATCTTTATTAATAGACTGAAAATTTTGAACACTACTTCTTTTCTGCTTTTTTATTTTCATGGACATTGCTTGTTAAGGTAATGTACAATACAAAAACTGAGTAACCTGAAGGAGTGTGAGAGTATAGGTTTCAGGATTAGTATAGAAATCGTTAAATCGATTCGAGTATTAAACCTTCTTCGAGTTTTAAACTTCTAAATCTACAATTTGAAGCTTCGAGTTTTCAAATTTTAAACTTCCACAACTTCACCCACATCTTCACCCTCATCAACACTATCAATCGTATAGCTATTTAGGCTGTAATTCAGTACTGGAACACCGAATTCTCGAATCATATTTCATTTGCGGTTTATAAATGATTGATAGCATCATAATTTCTTTCTATCATTCCATTTCGATACTAATATATTATTGACATGTTAACAAATCTATGGACCTTTCTTAATTTTTCCTTCCAGATCGAGCAAGTTCATTTGGTGTTTTCTAACGGTTCTGATCCAGTGTGCACATCATATAATACACATAATTTGATTCTGAATCCATCGTAATAGCGAAAGAAATCTATTTCCACTCACGACACCTTCCAAATATAGATGTTGAGACCAATGATTCCTCGACTTTTGGCGTAAGACATTAACATATAGTGTGTCAAACAAAGAATGCACGTTTCAGTTGTATATTGCTTTTGTATTAGAAATACACTGTCTATTCGTCTCTTCGACGATTGTATCCATCAAGGTACTACTAAAAAATGAATGAATATAGTTTATTGAATTGATTCTGCAATTACCGAAATCAATTTCAAATAGTTTTGATTTAAATTGATCACTTCTCCATGTTCAAATCAGACTCATGAGAAGATACGATAAGAATTTTAAAAAAAGTCAGAATGAAATAAAAACTCCAATTAATGCAGTACGTGAAATTTTTTCAAACAAATCGAACGACGCACTTGCGATATGAACTAGTTGCACTCGAAACTCAGCTGCCCATTAAAAATACTCTTTTGTCATGTTCCTCGACGACTGAATGAACTATTGCGAATTCAATGACATGTTCTGTGAAAGCCAATGATTAGGTCGTCTAATATGTGATGATGTGATTTACTGAATTCTGTATGTATAAATCCCCGGCGTCTTTCTATTTGCTCGTGCATAAAGAAGAGAAATTTTCACTAAAATAGTTGTTAAAGTGTATCTAAGAATTTCTTTTCTAATTGCAGCCTCAAAGACATATATACACAGTTATGATCCCAAATGACTTAGTACATAAAATATATTTTTGATGTAAACTGCTTATTTTCGTTCTGTATTGATCCTTCAATGAATAGGAATATTTACCTTTTTTTCTTCATTATTCTATTCGTTTCACTTCATATTGTAATACAGGTAATATTTATTAGCGTTAATTACATTTTATATATTCGGAAGACAGTCTCTTATCTTCATTTATCAGAATGAGAAAATGCAAAATACCTTGTTTTTTTGTTTAGACAGTTCTATGTTCACAGTGACATATTCACAAACGGTATCCCTGAAAGTGTCCTCAAATGATAATATCCATTATTCAGATATAAGAGAACGAGTTAAATTGACCGCTAAAAAGCATTGTTATGTACATTGTAGAAGTTGTTCTCGCAAAACGGACTCGCTCTACTGGAAATCACTATGTTACCTTTTGACATCATAACGATTTTTGAATGTCATAAATGCGTACAAAGAAACATTCGATTAATGAACGATTAAAATAATCAGTATTATTTACGAAGGATAGACTTTAGGCTAAATTTAGTATGATATTTAAAAACAGGATGATGCAGTACATTGGTTTCATATTAATCGATATCATTTCATAATCAAGAATAGAAGGCTAGAAACTGTTGTAACACAATCATACATATGAGTAGTGCGCACTTTTGCGAGAACTTCAACAAAGTTTAAACGTAATTTGAAAAACGTAACAGAGTACTTGTGAGTCTTTTATTATAGGGATATCTAATAGGCAACCTACGTAGAAACAAAAATAGGAAAGCAAAATATCACGTTAATAAGAAAAAGAAAAATATAAGTAAAAGAAAGGTAAGTGGTATTAGTATATAAAGACTGTATATTGTAGTTTTCTTTCATTTAGTTAAATTAAATTGTGCAGCTCACATATATCACGGGTAAGTAATGTCTAATTATATTTTATCACAGGGAAGAGTAAAAAGAGTAAGTACATATTCAATATTGTAAATCTAAGCTATATTGTTAGTTGGCATAACTCTTGGCATGCGAATGACTGCGTTTTGTCTGTTATATACTTATAGCTGATATATACATAGAAATATAATTTTCATTCGCATACATCTTTCTGACGAAATTTAACGGCGCAGGGCACAGGGTACAAGGCAGGGCACAGGACAGGGCACAAGGTAGGGCACAGGACAGGGCACAGGTCAGGGCACAGGTCAGGGCAGGGCACAAGATAGAAAATGTACCCTGTGGACACCTGTCTTGCCAAATAGTAAAAGTGATAACAATATAACTTTTTGTTTATTCAAGTACGGTAACAAAAATGTCGGCTTTCAATACAAACAATAAAGATGAACAGCAATCTGTTGCATCCGCACCGTAAGCCGCATTTCTAATTTTAATTGGGAATTTTTCTTATTTTATTAATTAGTCGTAATAACTCGTTTGTGTTGATTGGATTATGTTGCATTGGCCTTATACTTTTCCTCATTGCAGCGACTATTGTCTTATCACTTATTCCACTCTATCTAAGTGCAAAGGACATTTCGGATAATACAGGTATATATAATTCATTAGACAAGAATAATATTATTCTTTAACTATTCATTGTTTAAATGTTCATTCAATGTTAGAACAAACTAGTAATTAGTTATTATGTTTCGTTCACACTCGTATTTCAATGAGAAATATAGAAGCTCATATTTTAACATTAAATCTTCCGTTTATCTATATCGTTTGTATATTTTTCTCTTGCAGACACTGTTTCATTGAATGTAACGTACAGAATCAATAATGGTACATTACCATTAGGGACACTTTCAACCGATAATTGCAAGGCCATTCTCACTGACGTAAGTTCATTGTTTACAAAACAGACATCTTTACAAATTTCTTATTCTGATTTTAGTTAAAAACACAGACTAAAGCAAATCAAGCTGTTTCACGGTTAACTCCATCTATCAGTTCGTGCACTGTTACAGGCAGTACAACTGTTCCTACAAATCTTGCTAGACGTCGTCGACAAACTACGTAAAGATTTTTTTTCATATGATTTACTTCAAATTCTAATCAATGTTGACAATGAACTTTCTTTGTGTGCAATAGGAGTGAAGGCAATGTGATTACGTACATTTGTTCTTTGAAAGGCGGTGGCAATTGTCGTCGTGGTAGTTGTTTAGGAGAACGAGCACAGATATTATTAGCATCGTTGTTGCAACGAGGAATATTCTATTTAACATTCACTGGCTCTAATGGAACTCGTTTTCTCTTTTCAATTTCGGCAATTTCAAGTAAATTAAATTATTCTTTGAATAATTTCAATACATTTTCGAATGTAATTTTGATTATTTCATAGGTAATTATAGTTCATCGAGTGACGCATCAGCAAATGATATAGCTGCATTAAATTATGTACTTTATCTAACAAGATTACAATCCAGTTTATACGAACGTTTCCAAAGTCAATTCAATCAAACTGCTTTTATTTCAGCTGGTTATGCAGCACAAGCGTATACTTACTTAAATTTGATTTTGTCACATCAACGTGCTCATGTTAACACACTCGTTAGTTCAATTATCGCTCTTGCCGGTAGTGCAATACCAGCATGTACGTATAATTTTAATTCAATAACAAGTGTAACCGGATATCTGAGTGCTGCTCAACAACTAGGACAAGTTGGAGCCAATGCTTATGTCGGTGTTATATCTGGTCTTACTGATCCATCATTGATTGAACTGTTTGGCCAACTTGGTGACAGTAAGTGTCACTTTTTCTCATTTTTCCCCAGAAAACTACTGGTCTTTTTGAATTATTTTCAGTTGAAGCTCGTCATACTGTCTACTTATCTCAACTTGTCACGAATTCATCCATTGGTACGTTTCCTGAAAATTTTACAAAAGACGCTTCGGTAGCTGACACTTACTCAGCCACCAATAGTTACATAACTTCATGTTCATTCACACTACCACAACCATTGACAATTCTACCAGGTGCTTTTACATTCAATGGTACTATTCCTGCCATTAGTTCAACTATTACCAATTATAGTCGACCAATGTATGACAATGATAATCGTGTACTTCAACTAGCACTTAATACGGAACAAATGGGTGTTGCTTTGTATCAAACATTCATAAACAAACTGACCAATACGATCTACAGCAATATGTTAACATATTTTCAACTTATCTATCAACATGAATTAGCTCATGTTGCTTTTCTTCGACAAACTCTTCAAAATCGAGGAGCTACACCTGTTGCAACATGTAATTACACATTCACACCTAATATAACTGATGCAGCTAGTTTCATTGCATATGCGAGCATTTTTGAAAATTTGGAGACCGCACTTTATGCTTACACTGCTAATGCTGTTGCAGATCCACTTGTATTAACACCTCTAGCTGGTATATTTACAGTTGAAGCCAAACATGCTGGATTTTTAAATAATCTCAATGGTATTAGTCCATTCCCAGATATTCTCAATCCAACTATGAATTCAACACAAGTTCTATCAATACTTGCTCCAAATCAAATATGCGGATATAAACTCGCTGAACCTGTTGTTTCTTATTTACTCGTTATAAATGCTACGTCACTTCCAAACAAAAAGAAATAACTTTCAAAATTCAAACAATCTGTTTGTTTTTACTTTTACTACTCGATTTATTTTAATCCATATTCCATAAATTTTTTTAGTAAATATAGATGATTAAACCGGAATAAATTTTATTTTTCAATTAAATATACTCCAGGTGAGACCGCGCACGGTTCCGAACACATTGTGAATCATTATTTTCAAATCGAATGGAATGTATTTTTCTCAGAAACGTGAAGATATCATAATATGACTTAGATTTATGCGTTAATTAAGATTCGTAAGAGTTATTTTTAACAACGAACGAAACGCTTTCAAAGCAAACATATTTCTCTATTCCCTTCTCCCTCTTCATTTGATGTATTGAGTGCGCAATTCATTGTCTTTTTCTTTATGTGATTGTTACCATACATCGTACATCACTTCTATCTCTCCTTGACTTTACTTTTCAGACTCCAATCGTACTGAACAAACCATTGTTGATCGTCGAACCAAAATCGACTTCGAAAAGTTTTAACAATTTCTTTGACTTTCTGTTTTTGAGTGTTCGTATCTACGAGAAAATTCATTTTAAATTGCAAACTTTTCAGCTTTGATAAATACGTCCTAATCATTTTTTTCCACATGTTTGCGTGGATAACGTTGTTAATTACATCTAATTTAAGATTAAACAGATTTGGCATTCGGCGTCGAATATCAACTAATCAACTCAGTTGTGAATTTCTAAATCATGGATTTAATTTCGTTATCAAGATTAGATTTGTTGATAAATCAGTAAATGAACCATAATCATCAATACAAATAGATAAATGTTGAACGTGAGGTGTGTGCCGAAGTAGATTAATTAGATTGCTGTTGGTGTTGTGATGAAATTACTATTGGTGTACGAAACATCGATATTACATCTCTCAAATAGTTAGGTGAGTCAGGGTGGTTAAAAAAGGCAAATCTCTGGGTGTCTTCTGAATGATATCATATGAATAAATATAAGACAGTGAAAGCGATTCTCGACGAATAAATTGAGTCAGTGTAAGACCATGTGTATAAAATTGTTTGATTTGATTGAGATTATGGATGTTATTCGACAAACGGATTGAAGTTATTTTGTCAAACAATGGCGGAAGGTAGGGCATTAACGATCAATAAATTTTCAAATAAAAGATGATCACTCAGTATTGTTATCGATAATAATATTTTAGCAAATATTGAAAATAATTCGCATTTTCCAAGTCGTTCATGTTCTTCCAGCGATGACCGTATTAGGTCTTCGATTAATTTGTTTCATAAGAGATAGACGAACTGGATCAGTGCCATTGAATAAAATAAGCATAATAATCAGTAATGATATACAAACAAAGACATAAGCAATACGAAAAGAATGTCCGGGTGGTTGAGTGAAGTATCCCATAAGAACAAAAGTCGCATATGGAATGCCAAGTGCTAATAAAGTTGAAATAAGTATCATAATGCGATAGACCATTCGTAATTCTCGTTGAGCACGTGAGAGCAAATTAGCTGGCATAGCACGTTTACTCATTTCTTTTACATATCGAACTAATTTTAGATAAATGAAAATGATTCCTTGAATTGGTATAATATAAGAATAACAAAGATTGTACACCGAAATCGCAGAAAGATGAAGAGACATTTGACATGTTTGATCAGCAGGAATATAAACAATTTCACCTGTAAATAGAAGCGGAAAGGCATAAAGTATTGCTGTTATCCATACGAGTGAAATCAGCAAGATCTGAACACGTTTTGATTGCCAAAACACTCTTGTCGGATGGATCACAACGATATATCGATAAATAGCTTGAAGTAAATAAGAATAATTTTGTGCACAATAGCCAACATATACAATATACCCTCGATAAATACACAACGAATCGGGATTTATGTTTTGTGTCAAATCATTTTGTAAAGTAAATTTTGTCATCCAAAGAATAACACTTGATAAGAAAAGTTCAGCGACACACGAATTACCGATTAACATCATGGGAATGGTATGACATGTTTTATNAGAGCAAACGATTTCCCAAAGTCAATTTCGATCTCAAAAAGTACACTTTGTAGATCATCATCTCGTCGTGCGGCTTGATTGAGAAATATCAATGCAGATTGGCGGTCGAGCGATGTCGAGAAGAAGCTGTTCGCGCCAATTACTCGAAGCCAATGGATTTCAGAAGTTTCTTTTAGATTTTGTATCTCGTTCAACGAGATCAGCTGACCTCGATAGGCATAAATCACTGGTTTGTCAGTCGAACGAGCTTTGAACTTCTCGTATTCTTCGGTCAGTTGAACGAACAGATCTCGAAGATAGAAAGCAAAGAGAAGTAATAATTCACTGTTCTGCTGACGTAGTGCTTGATTCAAAAGACGAAAGAGGACTGTATCGCGTGTATACCAGTGAATTGCTTGACTTGGAGTATAGTTTTCTTCGAATTCTTTGAGAATGGCAAGTGTCTCACTTCTGTTCCGATAATAGTCTTGAAGAGCAACAACCAATCGTTGACAAGAATTCTCAGGATACAACAAATAGCAGAGACTTTCAACAAACAGTCCCCAAGACTGTGGTTGTCCTACCTGCGCTGTAATATCTTGTCTTGTCAATCCACTGAAAGTATGATGTTTTTCTTGAGCTAAATAAGTTTCGACATCCTTTTCGAGGTATTTCAATAAATCTTGTAAATATCCGTATTTTATCCTCGTCTGTGAAAGAAATCTATGCATCGATCGTTGAAGGTATTCAACTTACCACTAATTGCTGTTCAGACCAATAACCATACTCTTCATCATTTCGACAAATGATATACATTGATCGTATTTCTCATTGACTATAACGCGTCATCAATGTTTTACCCACTTCTCCAGAGCAGATCAGAAAAGTATTCGTCTCGCTCGTATCCTCTAAATAGTCTTCACATTCGTTCACATCATCGAAGAATTGGGTGTAGTCAACAATCTTTCTCAGTCTGTTGCCGATCTCGGTCGTCTCTTCTTCGACTAGGCTTTTGTCTCGAATGTCACACCAGACTACTTGATAAGATTCAAGATTAATTTGCTCGCGATCGAAAGAATAACTTGGAACAGACGTTGTCAATGATACCGATACACTGATTTCATCCATTTACAGTATTCTGTATTGCAGCAATCAATGGAATATATATCGTATGATATTTGACGATTTTGAATGTAATAAATGCAATTATTGTAATGTCGTGCGTTTTATACAATTGTTTATCGACTCGTTTTTTGACAAAACTTAATAGAACAAAAAAAAAAGGTTTTGAGAACGTGACACGTATTGCTTTATTTCTTATCTTTTTTTTCAAGTGTATGCTGTGACTCACTGTTTGCTTGTCTCCTTCTCTTTTCTGCACAGCTAATAGACAAATAGGAACAAACATCACAACATCTAATCAAACTGCTTTCTCCATTCTTGATTTAATTCTTTTTAGGATTGTGAAAGTTGTAATTCCTTCTTCTCATCAGATCCAAACAAATAGATATTATCGCCATTGAAATCGTATAGTCCATAGAACCTTTTCAATAAAGCATCTCATTCAGCGATCTTTCTGAAGACCAACCAGATCGTAACGGAAGAAACAACTTTCACTCTAGTGAACTGTTTAGTTGGTTTTGTTGTGATTAAAAGTAGCAAAGACTTTTCATATTCGGCATCACATCTTCAAGATCTGTGATTTGATTCTCGTTTCATCAACAAGCCATGATGATGTTGACAAATGATAATAGAAAAAAACATCCAATTATAATTTCGATAAATTCATTTTATTAACTATAATACTCTAAGTTCAGCATGTGAAAAGATTAATGCGTTTCCAGAAGAAACCCATTGATTTCGGTTGATAAGAAATGAAGTGAAAAGAACTACTTATGACAAACAGTTGTTCTACAGAGACAAAGATGTCCATAGAAGAAACATTGCATTTTATTAATGTCCTTCGGATTCTTACACATACAGGAATGTATTCGTTTATGACAACAGGAGAATACTACAGAAAATGCTAAACTATGCAATGATTTACTTCTGTTCGTAACTCTTTTCAGTTCTATCAAGATATTTCGGTACAATCTAGAATTAATGTAAGATTTAACGTAAGTTTATATACAACTTAACTACTTCCTTTTTGTACATATTCGAATTCAATACATAAACATAAAATGAAATTGAGAAAACAAGTTGATATGGCAAAGTAGAAATATTAAAGAGAAATGAAAATGAATTCGGTTGATTTCAGCAAATGACAAGAAAAAAATATTGCCACTGGAAATGTATTCAAACAAATGTATGCAGAGACATGAAAGATTAATATTAGAAATAGTTGTTGATCATTACGTATCCTTCGTGTCATGATATTCTGTTGTACTATTGAAATTGTATGTGCGCCGATGCTGCTGACGTGAGGTGACGTCGATTTTTTTTTGTAAATTGAAAATTGTTAGGATACCAAAGATTAGCATCAGACATGATGATATCACATCAATAGACTAAATCGAAAACAAACTCAAAATACGACGAAGTTCACTGTCAACAATCATACATTGATTTATTGTTGGATCGATTTCATAAAGAATAAGAACATAACAATAACTAAATTAGGAGAAATACAATCAGTCCGCTGACATTCGTCTTATATAACGAAGCGATACTAATTGAAATCGTATTTTAATCAGGATCTTCGTTAGAAAGTAAAAGCTCATCTTATATGACGAATATTGTTTTAAACGAATTTGTATTTTAGGAAAAAAAATCAGCAGACTTTCGCTGACAAGAAAAGGTAGATTTTGAACAAATCAATCGAATATTAAAGATCTTTCTTTGTAATTAACATTCATTTCTGCAAGTTTGCCGTAAAGTAAAGTTTCATTTGTGGCATTGAACAATAATTATGGAGAAGAAATACTTCATACAAAATGTAATGAATAACATACTTGGAGTTCTAGTTTTGAGAACTGGATATAACGGTTACTCGATAAAAACGTTTGTACCATTTTGAACAAAAAGCAAAAGTACAATGACTGACGTCAAAATAAACTACATTGCTTTATTTCTTAGAAATGTTTTCCAGCTGTTTCTAGAAGAAAATTCATCTTCTTCTCGCTCTTTAGATTTGCGTCTCCATCCCTTTATCTACCATTGAACACAACAGCGAGAGTGTGTATAAAGCTATGTATCTGATACTCACCCACATCCACATGATGTGCTTTTCGATTAACTGTCAGTCAAGGGACCCAATTATATCCATATTTCTATTGCTTATTCTTATCGTATGAATAATCAATTGTAGTTCTCAATCCTGACCTTCACCAGCTTCCATTTGTTCCAAAATTCACTAGACAATATTTGATTTCCAACCTTGTCCACTGAATACATTTGGTAAGATTCTTTATTCTTTTAGATGTGAGTACCTTCACAGAACTGCAAAATAACTAATTTATTCATGTATAAGATTTACGAATATATATTTTTTATGCAACTGAATTCAGTTGCTCGTCAAATTGAGTAACAAAGTTTTACACCCAACGTTACAAATGTGATTCACATATGTATATCTGTTCTTCAATATCCCGATGACGTCCTCAGACGATGGTTTTTACCTCTAAGACCGATTTATTCACATCTGCAGTGAAATTCTCATGAGTAGATATGCTAATGACATTAGTAGCGAAAGCAGGTTAAAGAACCCGGCATCTCTATCGAGAAGCGTATCGGAATTTCAATTTGTCCAATACGTATGAAATCTGGAATAGAAAACTTCTATTGGCTTCCGAATGTACTTTTTCTGTAACTCAATAAATACGTAAGTAGGCGTTTCTAAAAATGTAATTTCATTCATTTCTTCGTTGACGAAAGAAAGGTTAGCATTCAAACTTCAATCGAATTTATTCATCAAGTATTCTGAAGCGACATGACAGATAAAAACATGCAGTTCACACGCATCTCCATGAATTCTTATCGTCCTCGTAATACACGCTTACAACCAAATCAGGTCTCATCGATTTACAGAAAAAGTAACAACAGCGAATCTACCTTGACATCAGTGAGTCTATTTATCTGTTTAAAGAAAATTATTATGTGTAATTCTACATCTTGTTGTCTAGTCAACGGATATACAGATGAAACGTATGCAGAACAATCGAATTACGAACAATGAAGATACACGAAAGGAAAATATCAGGAACCCAAATACAAAAAAAAAGCTTCGAATGTAAGTATTGAATTATAGTCTTGAAAGATACATTAAAATAAAAATATTGAACTTATTGTATCTGATCTTCTTCTTCCCTGTGAATGTTCTCTATTCTGACATATGATATTCCATATTTGTATGATGGTATTAAGAGACGTATTACGTAGCTTATCATCTTAATAATGAAGTGTTCTTTATTCATTTGATTATGATCATTCATTGTAGGAAATGTTCTGTCAAACAAATTACATGTTGTCTTTGCTTGATCATCACTCTTGCTCTATTGGGAAGTGTAATCATTGGTTCTTTACTTGCCATTCTTTTACGTAAGGATTCTGTCTTTTATTAATTTATCTTTTCAAAAGGATAATATGATCACTAGCGCATAAAACCACTCTGTCGACGTCAACAACGACTGCTACCACAGCAACATCAACTAGTAAGTCAAATTATTTCAGTCAAAAAAACAGCTCTATGAAATAATTATTTTTGAATCGAACAACAGGATGACATAGATATGCATATTTTCACTGTAATAGAAATTTTGGTGGTTTCAACCTTTGCTTAATTATAATTATTCAAATAAAATAAATCGAAAACCTAGCGAGTAATGAGATTTTATTTTTATCCGACTAGAACAAATGCATATTCTGATTGTCAAGTCTACTATAGACCGAGATAAAATGACATCTGTGACACATCTCTCACGATATATTAACGTCCTGTGTTTATCAGGCCACGCACGAATCAGATTCAAGCAGAAAACAAAATCAAATCTTGAATTGTTTTATCCGACTGTACCGAAATACATTTTAAAATCACTTAAATTAAAAAGAAATCGTTGAAATTTAAGGGAATGTATTGTAGTCACTCTAAATTGGATAGGCTTACAGGAGGAAATGAATCTGTTTCGTCTTGTGTCAAACTAGTCGTATAGTCATTGACGAAAAAGAAAGAATCGCGACGTTTCTTAAGCTTTTTCTTTTCATGACACTCAATACATGAATCTTGTTTTTCATAATAGCATCAACGTCGACTAGTAAGAAAATACATTCGAGAAGTCAATATTTGTAACTACAATGTCTGCAAATGTAGCTTCAACTTCGTCAACAAGTTCTACGACCAGTACAAGTTCAACATCAAGTACCTCGAGTACTAGTTCGACTACGTCAACAAGTACTACCAGCAGTACGAGTTCGACATCGAGTACTTCGAGTACTAGTTCAACTTCATCAACAAGCACTTCAACCACTAGTACGAGTACGTCGACAAGTACTTCGAGCACTAGTTCGACTTCATCGACAAGTGCCACAACTAGTACGACTTCAACGACAAGCACTACAACCTCGACAACCTCATCGACAAGTATGTGTGCAAACTAAGCAGATGTTTTTGAACATCATGTATAGCGAAGCTTAAGAGGGAATGTAGGTCTTACTGATAATTACCTTCAAGAATAACACATAAACTCTCATGAATTATTTATCGGAAACGAGAGGTACCACTTTTGAATCTCGTTTACACTACAAATGACAGTTACATCTCTAGAAAGCATTTTGCGATGAAAGAGTAGATCCCCAATCTACACTTATCATGATGATTGTACACATTTCTCAATAGGTTCTACGTCGAGCACAAGTTCAACATCAAAGACAACATCGACATCAAGCACTTCAAGTAAGAACTTCTGATAAACAACAATAATTGATTAGAATCAAGCTCACGAGAAAACACGGGTCATTAGGATTTCACAAGACGTAACTTGGTTAGATCGAGAAATTTATTTATCGGAAATAATGATACAGAATCTTGAGCTTATATTCACCGAAAGATCTTTTGTTAGATGCTGACAAACGCAAATGATCACTTATCAGTAGATAGGTTGTCACGATCTAGAAGACTGAAATAGACGAGTAAATATTTCGTTGCATGAAATTACTGACTCCATACTAGTAATTTCTCACATGCAAGAATTGCAACTTCAACTTATATAGCCGAACGAATAGATGCGTTAGAAACTAATATTTTTTCTTTCATTTTCAGAAGTCGGGTGGAGCTAATAATCGACACTAAATTCTAGATCAATCACATTTTTTGCATCTTTTACAGTTGATCAGCTATTTATCGTGGTCAACTATTGATAATAATTTGTCTTCTCTGGTAAACATGAGAATGAGTCACTCGTCTTTTCACAAAATTATTTGAGAAGCGTTACTGGTTAAAGATGTATCGAAAATGACTTCTCTGTCACTAACTTTCGGCAAAAGTTTTTTTTAATGCTGAGAACATCTAGTACTAACCCTATTATTGTGCATCTTTTTAGGTACTACATCAACAACAACGAGTGAGTGCCGGATTGTACGCTTAGTCTTTTGTATAAAATATCATCTCACATTCAATAGCACCATCATGTGGCAGTGTTAGCAATCCTCCAGGAGAAATTTTGGATCTGCTCTCGAAATCTGCGCCGAACACGTATACACATTACACTTATAATTTCATGGCAAATGACTCTTCATCGACTCTGTCGTTTATAGTAACGGGTGATGCTGGAGGAGGAGGTGGATACTATTGGTTATTAGACGATGTATCTGTGAATGATTTAAACACAAGCACAAATGTTCTTATTAATGGGGATTTCGAAATGGGAAATTTAAATGGCTGGTCACAGTATTGTAACAACGATGCCAATTGTAAAAATACGGGTTATTATGCCCATACGACAACAAATTCATGTCGTTCAGGAAACTATTGTGTTTATGATTCATGTCAAAATTATGATTATCTATATCAATCTTTTTCTACTGTGATTGGAAATTACCATCTTATATCGTATTATCTCAGATGTGGTGCTACTGGCGGAAATGAGCGAATATATGTCACATTAACCTAATTGAGATGATCTTTATTAATAGACTGAAAATTTTGAACACTACTTCTTTTCTGCTTTCTTTATTTTTATGCACACTGCTTGTTAAAGTAATGTATGATACAAAAACCCGAGTAGCTTGAAGGAGTGTGAGAGTATAGATTTCAGATATCCTCACATATTTTCCAGTTGAAAGAATCTGTGTCTAATAGCATGATGGATTGAATATTTTCTTGGTTCTGTTGTTCTTCGATATAAACACAAATGAATAAACATGACATTATCATTTTATGTTCATTACTGATTAGCGTTCTTTATCGTCAAATATATACACGTGCTCTTTCTTTCAACAGTTAGCTATTTTAATGAGCACTGCAGAAATCGTTAAATCGATTCGAATATTAAACCTTCTTCGAATTTTAAACTTTCAAACTTCCATAACTTCACCCTCATCAACTCTATCAGTCGTATGGCTATTTAGACTGTAATTCAGTACTGGAACATCGAATTTTCGAATCATATTTCATTTACGGTTTATGAATGGTCAATAGCATCATAATTTCTTTCTATCATTCCATTTCAATGTTAATAGATTATTGACATGTTAACAAATCTATGGACCTTTCTTAATTTTTTCTTCCAGATCGAGCAAATTCATTTGGTGTTTTCTAACGGTTTTGATCCAATGTGCACATCATATAATACACATAGTTTGATTCCGAATCCATCGTAATAGTAAAAGAAATCTGTTTCCACTCATGACACTTTTCAAATATAGATGTTGCTACCGATGATCCCTCGACTTTTCTTGGTATAAGACATTAACATATAGTGTGTCAAAAAAAGAATACACGTTTCAGTTGTACCTTGCTTTTGTATTAGAGATAGACTGTATCTATTCGTCTCTTCGACGACTGTATCCATCAAGGTACTGTTAAAAAAATGAATGAATATAGTTTATTGAATTGATTCTGCAATCACCGAAGTCAAATTCAAATAGTTTTGATTCAAATTGATCACTTCTCCATGTTCAAATCAGATTCATGAGAAGACACGATAAGAATACAAGCGAAGTCAGAGTGAAATAAAACTTCCAATTAATATAGCACGTGAAATTTTTTTCAAACAAATCGAACGACGCACTTATGATATGAACTAGTTGCATTCGAAGCTCAGCTGTCCATTAAAAAGACTTATTTGTCATGTTCTTCGATGACTGAATGAACTAATTATTACGAATTCAATGACATGTCCTGTGAAATCCAATGATTATGTCTTCTAATAGATGATGCAGCACATAAATAGATGATGATGTGATTTACTGAATTCTATATGTATAAATTCACGGCGTCTACCTATTTGCTCGTGCATAAAGAAGAGAATCGACACTAAAAACATTGTTAAAGTGTATCTAAGAATTTCTTTTCTAATTGTGACGTCAAGAACATAAAAATACGGTTATGATCCCAAATGACTCAGTACATAAAATATATTTTTGATATAAACTGCTTATTTTCGTTCTATATTCATCCTTCAATGAATAAGAATATTTACCTTTTTTCCTTCATTATTCTATCTGTTTCACTTCATATTGTAATACAGGTAATATTTATTGGCGTTAATTACATTTTATATATTCGGAAGACAGGCTCTTATCTTCATTTATTAAGATGAGTAAATGCAAAATATCTTGTTGGTTGTTTTTTGTTTAGACAGTTTTATGTTCGCAATGACATATTCACAAACGGTATTCTTTAAAATGTCCTTAAATGATAATATCCATTATTCAGATATAAAAGAAGTTAACTTGACCGTTAAAAACCATTGTTATGTACATTGTAGAAGCTTGTCGCAAAACGGACTTGCTCTACTCGGGATCACTATGTTACCTTTTGACATCATAATAATTTTTGAATGTCATAAATGCGTACAAAGAAACGTTCGATTAATGAACGGTTAAAATAATCAATATTATTTTCAAAGGATAGGCTTCACGCTAAAATTAGTATGGTATTTAAAAACAGGATGATGCAGTACATTGGTTTCATATTAGTTGATTTCGATTCATTAAAAGATACAATTGATTAATTAAAAAACATAATGAGTTTTTTATTCAAGACTCGAAGAACGCGTAGTTCACATTTCAAAATCAAGAATAGAAGGCTAAAAACTGTTGTAACACAATCACACATATAAGTAGTGTGCATTTTTGCGAGAACTTCAACAAAGTTTAAACGTAATTTGAAAAACGTAACATAGTACTTGTGAGTCTTTTGTTACAGGGATATCTAATAGGCAACCTATGTAGAAACAAAAATAGGAAAGCAAAATACAACGTTAGTAAGAACAAGAAAAATATAAGTAAAAGAAACGTAAGCGGTATTAGTATATAAAGACTGTATATTGTAATTTTCTTTCATTTTGCTAAATTAAATATTGCAGCTCACATATTTAACGGGTAAGTAATGTTTGATTACATTTTACCACAGGGAAGAGTAAAAACCGTAAGTACGCATTCAATATTGTAAAACTAAACTATATTGTTAGTTGGCATAACTCTTGGCATGCGAATGACTGCGTTTTGACTGTTATATACTTATAGTTGATATATACATAGAAATATAATTTTCATCCGCATACATCTTTCTGACGAAATTTAACGGCACAGAGCAGGGCACAGGACAGGGCAGGGCACAAGGCAGGGCAGGGCACAAGGCAAGGCAGGGCAGGACGCAGGGCAGGGCAGGGCACAGGGTAGGACAGGGCACAGGGCAGAAAATGTACCCTATGGACACCTTTCTTGCCAAACAGTAAGAGTAATAACAATATAACTTTTTGTTTATGCAGGTACAGTAACAAAAATGTCCGCTTTCAATACAAACAATAAAGATGAACAGCAGTCTATTGCATCCGCACCGTAAGCCGCATTTCTAATTTTAATTGAGTATTTCTCTTGTTTTATTAATTAGTCGTAATAACTCGATTGTGCTGATTGGATTATGCTGCATTGGCGTTATACTTTTCTTCATTGCAGCGACTATTGTCTTATCACTTATTCCACTCTATCTAAGTGCAAAGGCCATTTCGGATAATACAGGTATATATAATTCATTAGATGAAAATAATATTACTCTTTAATTATTCATTGTTTAAATGTTTATTCAATGTGAGAACAAATTATTAATTAGTTATTATGTTTCGTTCACGCTCGTATTTCAATGAGAAATATAGAAGCTCATATTTTAACATTGAAGTTTTTCGTTTATCTATATCATTTGTATATTTTTCTCTTGCAGAGACTGTTTCATTTAATGTAACGTATAGAATCAATAATGGAACATTACCATTAGGGACACTTTCAACCGATAATTGCAATGCCATTCTCACTGACGTAAGTTTATTGTTTACAAAACAGACATCTTTACAAATTTCTTATTCTGATTTTAGTTAAATACACAAACTAAAACAAATCAAGCTGTTTCACGGTTAACTCCATCTATCAGTTCGTGCACTGTTACAGGCAGTACAACTGTTCCTACAAATCTTGTTAGACGTCGTCGACAAACTACGTAAAGATTTTTTTTCATATGATTTACTTCATATTCTAATCGACATTAACAATGAACTTTCTTTGTGTGTAATAGGAGTGAAGGCAATGTGATTACATACATTTGTTCTTTGAAAGGTGGTGGCAATTGTCGTCGTGGTAGTTGTTTAGGAGAACGAGCACAGATATTAATAGCATCGTTGCTTCAAAGAGGAATATTCTATATAACATTCACTGGTTCTAATGGAACTCGTTTTCTCTTTTCAATTTCGGCAATTTCAAGTAAATTAAATTATTATTTGAATAATTTCAATACATTTTCGAATGTAATTTTGATTATTTCATAGGTAATTATAGTTCATCAAGTGACGCATCAGTGAATGATATAACTGCATTAAATTATGTACTTTATCTAACAAGATTACAATCCAATTTATACGAACGTTTTCAAAGTCAATTCAATGAAACTGCTTTTATTTCAGCTGGTTATGCAGCACAAGCGTATACTTACTTAAATTTGATTTTGTCACATCAACGTGCTCATATTAACACACTCGTTAATTCAATTATCGCTCTTGCCGGTAGTGCAATACCAGCATGTACGTATAATTTTAATTCAATAACAAGTGTAACCGGATATCTGAGTGCTGCTCAACAACTTGGACAAGTTGGAGCCAATGCTTATGTCGGTGTTATATCTGGTCTTACTGATCCATCATTAATTGAACTGTTTGGCCAACTTGGAGACAGTAAGTGTCACTTTTTCTCATTTTTTTCCAGAAAACTACTGGTCTTTTTGAATTATTTTTCAGTTGAAGCTCGTCATACTGTCTATTTATCTCAACTTGTCACGAATTCATCCATTGGTACGTTTCCTGAAAATTTTACAAAAAACGCTTCGGTAGCTGAAACTTATTCAGCCACCAATAGTTACATAAGTTCATGTTCATTCACACTACCACAACCATTAACAATTCTACCAGGTGCTTTTACATTCAATGGTACTATTCCTGCCATTAGTTCAACTATTACCAATTATAGTCGACCAATGTATGACAATGATAATCGTGTACTTCAACTAGCACTTAATACAGAACAAATGGGTGTTGCTTTGTATCAAACATTTATAAACACACTGACCAATACGATCTATAGCAATATGTTAACATATTTTCAACTTATCTATCAACATGAATTAGCTCATGTTGCTTTTCTTCGACAAACTCTTCAAAATCGAGGAGCTGCACCTGTTGCAACATGTAATTACACATTCACACCTAATATAACTGATGCAGCTAGTTTCATTGCATATGCGAGCATTTTTGAAAATTTGGAGACCGCACTTTATGCTTACACTGCTAATGCTGTTGCAGATCCACTTGTATTAACACCTCTAGCTGGTATATTTACAGTTGAAGCCAAACATGCTGGATTTTTAAATAATCTTAATGGTATTAGTCCATTCCCAGATATTCTCAATCCAACTATGAATTCAACACAAGTTCTATCAATACTTGCTCCAAATCAAATATGCGGATATAAACTCGCTGAACCTGTTGTTTCTTATTTACTCGTTATAAATGCTACGTCACTTCCAAACAAAAAGAAATAACTTTCAAAATTCAAACAATCTGTTTTCTTTTTACTTTTACTACTCGATTTATTTTAATCCATATTCCATAAATTTTTTTAGTAAATATAGATGATTAGACCGGAATCAATTTTCTTTTTCAATTAAATATACTCCAGGTGAGACCGCACGGTTCCAAAGACATTGTGAATCATAATTTTAAAATCGAATAGAATGTATTTTTCTCAAAAACGTGAAGATGTCATAATATGACTTGGATTTATGCATTAATTACGATTCGTAAGAGTTAGTTTTAACAACGAACTAAACGCTTTCGAAGCAAACGTATTTCTCTATTCCCTTCTCCCTCTTCATTTGATGTATTGAGTGCGCAATTCATAGTGTTTATCCTTGGGACTGTTACCATACATCGTACATCACTTTTATCTCTCCTTGACGTGACAACATTCTATATTAAAGTTCATCACAATCAAATTAGCCTTTCAGAAGCTCATGGAAACAACCGGACAGACGGAGATACAGATCGATTCCAGAAATGCATTCATTGTTTTGAGTACATTAAACAAATGAAGATGTTTTAGATTTGCTCTTTATGTAAGAGGAATTCCAATAAAAAATCTTATACAATGAACAAGTTGACGAACGTTCAATACACAAATGAGCTGCATTTTCACGTGTGTCTCTTATACGAGTGATCATTTTTCTACCAGTAAGTTTGCTTTGAATACTTTTTGTCTATTCAACGAGCGAAATCTTCATGAAATACGTTCGATCTTCAGTTTGAATCTTTTTCTCGACATCGAGCATTTAATATTTGAAGATTATGTATACATGACCAATTTTCAACATCAATAGTAAGAATTTTACATTGAATAACAAGTATTGTACGACTGAATTGATCGATCACATTGCTTTGGAGTGTAAAAATATCCGTAATTGTGCGTAGAGGTAAAGTCAAAACTGCCAATGACCATTCAATAAAGTTTAGTGAAGTTAAATGACGATGTTGTTCAAACAAAATCTGCAATTGAAACAAACAAATTGCTTCGTAAACGTAAACCCGTAGATCATTCCGTTAAATTTTTATATTGACAACTATTATCATTAGATAGTTTTATGGTCATATGTTGAATATTTGGAAAGTGAAGATAAGATAATGTTAAACATTTGTAAAGATCATTATAAATAGTAGCATATGTAAGTCTATGCACACAATTAAACGAACATTGAACATTGTTACTGGATGCACATGAAGATTTTGAACAAATGAGAAAAGCGATAGTAAAGTTTTCAAATACATATGGCAAAGTGTAGACATAATATTCTTTACTTTTTGGACTCCAATCGCACTAGACAAATCATTGATGTTCGTCAAGCCAAAATCGATTTCGAAAAGTGTTAACAATTTCTTTAACTTTCTGTTTTTGAGTGTTCATATCTATGAGAGAATTCATTTTAAATTGTAAAGAAATCCAATATAAGATTAAACAGATTTGGCATTCAACATAGAATATCAATTAATCGACTCAGTTGGAAATTTCTAAATAATAAATTTAGTTTTGTTATAAAGATTAGATTTGTTGTTAAATCAGTAAATGAACCATAATCATCAATATACAAATAGATAAATGTTGAACATGAGGCGTGTGCCGAAGCAGATTAATTTGATTGCTGTTGGTGTTGTGATGAAACCGATGAAGCGATGTGATAGTGTACGAAACATCGATATTACATCTCTCAAATAGTTAGGTGAGTCAGGGCGGTTAAAAAAGACAAATCTCTGGATATCTTCTGAATGATATCATATGAATAAATATAAGACAGTGAAAGCGATTGTAGATGAATAAATTGAGTCAGTGTAAAACCATGTGTATAAAATTGTTGGATTTGATTGAGATTATGGATGTTATTCGACAAACGGACTGAAGTTATTTTGTCAAACATTGGCGGAAAGTAGAGCATTGACGATCAATAAATTTTCAAATAAAAGATGATCACTCAGTGTTGTCATCGATAATAATATTTTAGCAAATATTGAAAATAATTCGCATTTTCCAAGACGTTCATGTTCTTCCAGCGATGACTGTATTAGGTCTTCGATTAATTTGTTTCATAAGAGATAGACGAACTGGATCAGTGCCATTGAATAAAATAAGTATAATAATCAGTAATGATATACAAACAAAGACATAAGCAATACGAAAAGAATGTTCGGGTGGTTGAGTGAAGTATCCCATAAGAATAAAGGTCGCATATGGAATGCCAAGTGCTAATAAAGTTGAAATAAGTATCATAATACGAAAGACCATTCGTAATTCTCGTTGAGCACGTGAGAGCAAATTAGCAGGCATAACACGTTTACTCATTTCTTTTACATATCGAACTAATTTTAGATAAATAAAAATGATTCCTTGAATTGGTATAACATAAGAATAAAACAGATTGTACACCGAAACCGCAGAAAGACGAAGAGACATTTGACATGTTTGATCATCAGCAATATACACAATTTCACCTGTAAATAGATGCGGAAAGGCATAAAGTATTGCTGTTATCCATACGAGTGAAATCAGTAAGATCTGAACGCGTTTTGATTGCCAAAACACTCTTGTCGGATGGATCACAACGATATATCGATAAATAGCTTGTAGTAAATAAGAATAATTTTGTGCACAATAACCAACATATACAATATACCCTCGATAAATACAGAACGAATCGGGATTTATATTTTGTGTCAAATCATTTTGTAAAGTAAATTTTGTCATCCAAAGAATAACACTTGATAAGAAAAGTTCAGCGACACACGAATTACCGATTAACATCATGGGAATGGTATGACATGTTTTATCATGAATAATAATCAATAGAAATAGGAATGCTAATAGAATAGTTAAAGAGAGACAAATAATACTAAGAATATCGATTGGAATAAACCATGTTTCACTACTGATCATTTGTGAATTATTTGGAGTTGTCATTTTCAACGAACTTCCAATATAGAATCTTCTAAAAAACACTGGTGAAGAGTTTTTAGTCAAGTAGAGTTATTTCGAAGGTAGTCGAAAGAGAAAAATTTCCATGTAAATCTTGCTTTGACATGATGTTAGACATGCAAGAATGGTTGCATACTAAAGATAAAACAGCAGAACGTGTTTAATGATAGATAACGAGCTTAGAAGTTAATCAAAAGGTTTGAGAAATTAAAGCTTCAAGAGCAGTTTGCACAAGTGTTGATCTCTGCATATCTTCTAATTGTCACGTTCGTACCAAACTAGTAGAATCTGTGTTGTAACACTTGAAATCTCATTCTTTCGCAGCTGAAAATATATTAAAATCTTGTAGGATGTGGTGCTCGAATGTTGTCTGTAGTCGAATTTATCCATTGATTGAATGAATAGACGAGAATTATGAGTTTCTTTCAAGTGTATATGTAACAGAAGATGCATAGGTAAACAGAATAACATGCAGAAAGAAGTTGCTGTTAATGGATTGAGATCATCGCGACACATCATTTGGTTTCTCTTATTAACTCTTCGCAAAGTTAAAGGCGAAATAATATGGTAAACATTATTGGTTGAACTTTATTTTATTGTGATAAATATTTAAAGCAATGCATTACACATACGAAAAAAGAAAAGCGAAGTATTGAATATAAATGAAGGTGCTTTTTGTTTATTCTAATTTATAATATGTCGATAGTTATAGTCAGATCCGAGACACTTAAAATTATCTTTTTTTAGCTGCAACAGCAGTAACAATACCCAGTTGCGCTGCGGCGACAGCCCCACCACTAAGACTCACAGTTACGCCTTCTAATGCAGTGGCAACAATTGGAGCTAAGTACGCAACTCCAGCGCACATAGAAAAAGCAGCTGCGCCTAAGAGGAAGACACCAGCGGCGTATTTTATATATTGAACATTGGCTTGTGCTACTCTTCGCACAGGATCGTTCTCATTCGGTTCTAATTCTTGGATCCGATTTTGTAGTCTCTCGCTGATTGGTAATAGTTCACGTATTTGTTGATTTGCCTGTCGAGGATCATGTGAGATATTTGTGGTAATTTGAATTTGTTGTTGTATTAATTCAGTGGTTCGTGAATCATTTGCTGTTCTTTCATTTTCTAATATAGCCGTCTGAAGTGTGCGTGTGTTTTCTCGAATTTCGTTTGCAGCTGTTGAAAGAATTCTTATATTATTTCGTATTAAATTCCCTCCTTCTGTATTCAATACTTCACGAGCTTCGTGTGACAGTGGTTCGTTGTGAAGAGCGCGGCCTATTCTAACCATACTTGCTGTGTTTTCGACACAACACAACATAGTATTAATATTAGCTTCTGATCCATCGTTGATTCTTTGTGCCAGAGGATTAGTATCAGTTATCGAATATAATCTAGGTCGCAAATTATCATGCATTTGTACAAGTGCTTGAATTTGACTCAATTCCAGAATCGGTCGATCACTGTTCATCAGTTCACGCGCCAAATGTTCAGCTTGGTCTTCGTTATTGTCTTCTATCACATTAAAACGATCCATCGTTATTTCCAGGATTTATTTGCCAAATGATTTTCAATCTAAATATGCGTAGCGTATATATGAACGATTACACAACGCAAGGAAAGAATACCCAGGTCGAACAATCCCATACTCGGATCCCATCGGATCCAATATAGGATTTTATCAGATCCTACAGAAATTCGACGGATCCGATGAAATCCTGGTGACGGAATCGCATTGGATTCCGACGGTCTCGGATCCGATCGGATCCGAAGCATGAATTTCCTGGATTTTCTAAGGGTCATCATAGAATATAGCTAAAAAGATCGCTCATAAAATTTGCAACAACCGACTGGATTTTTTTAGTCGAATTCCAATGCAATTCCGTTTCCAGGAATCCGATCGAATTTTGTCGGATGGTCGGATCCGGTCTGATCCGATCGGATCCAGCATCGGATTTGTTGACCTGGGTAATGAAACTTTTATTTCATTGGCTTGCTTTTATAAGAGAAAACACTCCTTTCTTAGAAATTTCCAACTTAATTGTTATACACATATTCTTTGAACTTGCTATTCGCTTCTTTCATGAGGCTTTTACTTCTCGACGGCGTACTATGCAAGCGAAGAAAGAGTTCTTTCTGCTCAAATTTAAGAATAGTTTACCGTTTGTTAAATCAATACTTCCACGATATAATTATGAGAACGCGTTTCAAAGAGAAAGAAAATAGGAGTGAAGAGATGGATGAAAAGCGACGAGTTCCTCAACGCCTATGTATATTTATTATCGTGTTCTTCGCTCGAGAGACGAAATTCAATCTGTTTATTAGAAACGATGTGAAAGAGAATGTGTATCGAAGATAAAAGAAACAGATGGAGAGGACGATGTGAAGGCATGTGTATGTACATGTCTGTAACAATATTTTTTTTTCTGTAAACGCATCTTAAATGGCGTTTGCGAAGGCGTTTACTCTCATGATGAAACATTAACACGACAGGCGACGTGTTTTTCTTCGTTTGAAAATTGCATAAGTGAAAGTATAAAAGTAATATAAACGCCACGACAATTAAGAAAATCAAAGAAGAAAATATAACAACAAATTATTTGATGAGAATATACGACAATGAACATTGAAATGTGAAACAGGTCAAAAACAGGTGTATCTAAAGAATGAACATGTATAATGTATAACTAAATATGAAATGAGACTATATGAATTTGATATTAACTAATTCAACGAAAATTGTATTCTTTTATTTATTCGTATTACAAGGACAAGTTGTGATGGAGTTTTTCTCCGTTTTCCATATTTTATTCCGATTCTTAGGTTTTCATAGCTAAAACGAAATTTTTATATTAAATGAAACTAATTTTACGCATCGTAGCGAACCGACGACTGAAAAATTTCGGTCATTAGCATCACATCAACCGCATATCATATTTTTGGCGTTAAATCTGTAACTCAGGATACCTTTAACTAATAGAGATCAACGGGATAGAAATTCCAAGAGCATCAAACATTTATACATCAGTGTAATCAGAAAAATGTTTCGTCTCAAACTCCTTCAAAAGTACTTTCGCACATGATCATTGGAGGAGGTTCATTCTCTGAATTTTAGTACAAATATTCTGAATCTAATACGGACATCGCAAGCTTTATATAGTCATCAAAGTGCTAATGCATCTTATTTTTCTATTCCGAATGGTTCTAAGCACTGGACTTGCTTTCGATAAAGATCGTCGATGTTAATGTCAAACCACACTCACATTCATGTTCATCGAATTCGAAGTAACGTTCAATATGGCTAACGATTCATCTAGAGCGGACTTTATTTACCAGCAAATGTTTGCTCTAACATTTGCATATACCAGTACATTATGCTACTCTCAATATCTGCACTATCACGCATACTTCATTCTTTTCCAAGGCTATTATGGGTTGGTATTAAAGACAGGATTTATTTTTATTGCCCAATGAAATTCACTTGCACTAACGTTTGTCGAAGTGAGAAGAACAGTTGATGAACAGTCATAAGTCACCCTCAAGATTGCTTCATCACATATGTATTCATTGCTTGTGATAGAGATAGTAGGCCAACAACCTATCATTTGGTTATTGCGTTCGAATACAATAGAATGTGAGAAAAAACTGCGTTTCGCTGAGAAAATTTGATCAATGATCGACTGAAATGTTTGAAAACTATTGGCGATGTCAATAGTTAGTATTTCACTTCATTTGAAGAAAGAATAGATCCATCTCGAATGATGCCTAGCAGGTGCTTTCTTAATTGCACCGACATATTGTTAGCGAACATGCACGCCATCGTCTAAAATAGTTTCACTTGGGAGAAAGTGCAGAGCAAGAAATGCCAAAATGATTCAAACATGACTATTTCCGGTACACAAGAAGAACGTTAGACAAATAAAGACAAGATACCGAATATTTCTTTGTTTTCGACTACACGCGTGTACATATGTTAACAATGTTCACTATTATGCGGAAAACGAAGGACAGACAATACTTATTATTTGATCAATGTCGTTATGGATATTTTAGTAATGCACGAACATATGGATAACGTAAGTATCCGTTAGAGTTAGTGAAACGATCGATGAGGAGTTTCAGTTACGGTCTTTCCCCCTATTTCCGGAAAAACACCCACATTCAACTGTGCAATCTCTCGTTTAACTTACTATTTATAAACAAAGAATGCTAATGAAATGGAAAAGACATCTTGTCGATGAGGATACCAGTAAACGATATATATATAAAGAGTAAAATTTTATTTCACTTTGAATGCATTCTGAATAGTTTGAGCAGCTATTCGAGAAATTATTTTCTGTTATGTTTTTAGATGATTTTCAAGAAATTTGTTACAATATACAAGCTAGGTTTCGAACATTCGTGGTTTTTAACGTTCTTCATCATCTTGTTTCAATCCGGAATTATGGTTAGACGATGTGAAAGCGTATTACTCTGTCCTACAGCAACATGGCAGAGAAACGCCACAACCGTTGCTGGATCCAGTGCAGCTACATCCGGTTCGAATTCAACAACACTCAACGGACCCAACGCCGTAGGTGTTGATAATAATTCGAACATATATGTTCTCGATAGTGGTAACAACCGTGTACAACGTTTCCTTTCGAATTCAGCTATTGGAACAACAATTATCAATGGTAGTTCGGGCAATGCACTCAATCAGTTTAATACTCGTAAGTTCAACATACTCTCATCACTAATCCACCATAAACACATTTCGTTTGTTTGCCAGTGGATGATATAAGCATAGATAACAATGGGAATATCTATATACTCGATGGTGGTAATGACCGTGTAATGAAATGGACACCAGGAGCGTCGTCAGGTGTAATTGTTGCTGGTGGATATGGTATTGGTAGTAATGTAAGTCAGTTAAATAATGCAAAAGGAATGCTCTTGGATACGAATACATCAACAATTTGGATAGCTGACACTGATAATCATCGTATAGTGAAGTGGATTTCACCAACAAGTAGTATGGTGGTTTGTGGTAGTTTTGGATCTAATAGCAATCAATTTTATTATCCATATGGATTATTTATTGATACAAGTGATTCAAATACACTTTATGTAGCAGATACATTTAATCATCGAATTCAGCAATGGTTAGCTGGTGCTACTCGAGGTACGACACTAGCTGGGATAACAAGTTATTATGGCACTGGTTTGAATCAATTGTGGTGTCCAACAGCTGTGATAGTGGATAATTATCGAAATATGTTCATCACCGATGCCACCAACAATCGTATTTTACGATGGTCTATTGGAACAAGTTCAGGAATGATCATCGCAGGAGATTTGACTTCTGGATCAGCACCAAACTTGCTGAATATTCCCATGAATATGGACTTCGATTCAAATGGATCTTTATTTGTTGTAGATAAATCGAATAATCGAATTCAAAATTTTCTTATTTCTTGTCGTATGTTTCGCTTGTAGATACTGTCATAAAAAATATCGTTTAACTCTTTTTTTTCTTTTCAGCGTATGTAGATAACACTTCAACAACAGTTTCACCATTGACAACATCTGGTAGGCACTTGAATTTTTGAGTCATACTATTATCGATATTTCTCTCATCACAGCATCTATATCGAATATTAACTCCTCGACGTCGCTTTGGTCACTTAATGGAACGACAATCGCTGGTTCATCTGTAGGTTTGAGTGGAAGTTCATCAACATATTTGAAACAACCTGTGGATGTTACCATAGATAAAAATGGCATACTCTATGTGTTAGATTCAAGTAATTATCGTGTTCAACGTTTTCTCCCAGGTTCTACAATCGGAACAACAGTAGTTTATGGCAGCGTTGGCACCGGACTGAATCAGTTTGCCTACAGTAAGGTCGTTTCCACACTAAGACTAAATTTTTACTATGGAAATTACTTTAGTGGATGGTTTCAATGTAGATGCCAATGGTGCTATTTATATTGTCGATCATGGTAATAATCGTGTCGTGAAATGGTTACCTGGTGCAACGAACGGAACAATTGTTGCTGGGGGTTATGGAAGTGGAAGTAGTGCAAATCAGCTGAATTCTCCATACGGGATATTCATACCAAACAACTCATCAACTATCTGGATAGCTGATACCGTCAATCATCGCATCGTAAGATGGAATTCTTCGACAACAGGTACTCCTATTTGTGGAAGTTATGGATCAGGTTCAAATCAATTCTACTATCCATTCGGATTATTTGTTGATACAAATGCGTCGAATACGTTGTATGTTGCTGATACATATAATCATCGAATTCAACGATGGTTGTCAGGAGCAATCAATGGAACAACTGTTGCAGGACAAACAAGAGTTTGTGGTAATGGATACAATCAGCTATGTAATCCAACGGCTGTTATTGGAGATATGAAAGGATTTATCTACATTGCCGATCGTTCTAATAGTCGTATTATGAGATGGGTGATAGGATCAAGTTATGGTACTGTTATAGCTGGAAGTTCAACAATGGGAGTATTGCCAAATCAATTTTATTATCCAAAGAATCTACGGATCGATGCCAACGGATCTTTAATTGTTGCTGATACTTCTAACAATCGCATTCAGAAATTTTCTCTGCTTTTTGGTATGTTTTTGTTATTTAATAGCTTTAAAATTGTTCTCCTCCCATATATTAGCATCATGTGTCAATATTACAACTCAATCACCGTCAGGTAAAAATTAAATGGTTTTGTATAAAATTATCTGTTTCTAATATAGATTCAACTTCAACAGCACCGCCTTTTTTGACTGTCATCTCTAGTTCGACACAGGGAACGCCGAGTGACACATTATTAGACTCATCAGTGATGTTCATTGTGCCTTCTATTGCGACCAGTTCTACACTAGGAATAACAAGTGCAGCGACGACAGCCCCATCAGTGATATCCGACTCTTCTACTCCAACTTCGACAGAAGAAATGACAACTGGAACAACAACCGATGCGTCAGTAGTTTCCATTTCTTCTTCGTTGAGTTCAACAAAAGAAATAGCAATCGGTACACCAGCAGGTTCGTCAATACCATCTGCTTCTAATGCAATTACGGACCCCACACCGGAAATCATAAGTGGAACAGCAATATATTCGTCGATAGTGACCACGTCGTCTCTTTCTTTGAGTTCGACTACAGGCTCACCGGTGGAATCCGATCTGTCTACCTATTCCACTTTAATATATGCGAGAACAAATGAAGTAACAGTAGCAGATTCATCCATGATACTCTCTTCTTCTGCTACTCCGACATCAGAAGCGGTGAATGAAATAGCGACAGGTTTGCAAGCGGTATACGACTCTTCGACTACTGCAGCTTCGGCGTTGACCATGAGAAGTTCAACAACAGAAGGCTTATTAATTCTTCCCCATTCCACACAGGGAACGTCAAATGACGCAATATCAGATGCGCCAGTTATGTCCACCATTTCTTCTGCTGCTACCAATTTGACACCAAGAACAACAAGCGCAGCGACAGCGGCTTCATCAATGACATCCGACTTTTCTACTTCAAACTCGACAGCAAAAATGACAACTGGAACAGCGACAGGTCCATTAATAGTTTCTGCCATTCCTCCCACGCCTACTAGTTTAGCATCAGGAATGACAAGCGGTAGAATACAAGATCTATCAGTAGCATCTACTGCTTCTACTTCTCCGAGTTCGACAGCAGGTTCATCAATAGTATTCGTTCCTTCTGCAACTACCGGCTTCGAACCAGAAACGGCAAGTGCAGCAACAACAGTTTCATCAACGGTGTTCACTTCTTCCTTTTCACGTTCGAGTTCGATTCCGGTGACAGCAAGTGTTTCTTCAATAGTATCTACTTCTTCTTTTATTGCAAGTCCGACATTCAATATAACAAGCATAGCACCAACACACGCATCAACAATATTCACTTCATCATTCTCTTCAAGTTTAAAACCAAATATAACAAGTGGAGCAGCAGCAAGTATAGTTGCCGATTATATTACTATAAAACACTTATGCAGATGTCAACTAATAGTGCTCCTTTCAATTCTTCATTTTATCAATAATTGATCGTTTCCTTTTTGACTCAAACTTTGATAAGTCACTTTTTTTTGTCTCTTGTCTTTATTAACAAGTGTCTCCAAATATGTCAACTCGAGGGTGAGGGTGAGAATATGGATGAATGGAAACAGAATACCTACGACCACATCCTGATCCTCAAAAGATGCTGAAACTAATAAAAAAACAGACAAGTAGCGTATCATACAACGCCACCTGTTAATAACAGTATATATGTATTTATACTACAACCAATAAGACTTTTTACAGAGTCATCAATATATATTTCTTTTCGTTCGATAACTGCACCTAAAACAAAGCCTTATCTTCTTCCCAGTTACTCTTTACATAACTCAACAATCAAAGCTGAAACTTCGTGAACGAGCGAATCAACATATGTCAACAAATACGAAAACACTTTTGTCATTACCATTAGAAATTCTTCACCAAATTTTTGATGATCTCGACGCAAAGACTATATTACTTTCAGTGCGACGTACTTGCAAGCAATTGCACTTGGCTGCTAACACATACAATCGATTGAAACTAGCACGGGTGTCAAAACAGAAATTAACCAAGATTCGTCAAGTTCTTGTACCCGAAAATGTTCTTTCGCTACGTATCGCACGTGGCAATAATTTTTGGAAAATCAATGATTTAGCTTCTTTTATCGACCGTCTCTATCAGTTCACCTACCTTCGCTCTTTAACAATAGATGTATCAAATGATACTGAACTTAACATTCTATTAAAGTATCTTTCCGCCAGTCAAATAACTGAACTGACAATCGGCATTGAAATTGAAGAGAGTTCTCCTGAAATTGAGTCGATCAATCATTGCCTATTACAAAGTCTATCTTTGAATCGGTGCACATTCAAACAGTTTGCATCGATTATACGCCACTGTTCTAATTTGCAAAAGCTGAATGTATCTTACATAGTTGACAAAACAAAGAATCAGACACTTCAAGAATATTTTATTCCGATGGTTTATTCAAACATGACAAATCTTAGCTTGGAATGCTCGAATATGAGTACAGATGGCTTCGAAATATTAATTTCGTGTATGCCTTCAATTTCCTGTTTAAGCTTGTATGCATTAATCGTTTCAGTAAATCGTTGGTTTGACGGTTTATTCTTAGAAAAAATCATATCGAACAAATTATCGCGACTCAAATATTTGAAGTATCATTTTACTATCAAAGCGAACAACTATGATCAATTAGAATCAATAATAGCTCCGTTTCGGACGCCGTTTTGGCGCGAAGAGAAAAGATGGTTTTTTAGTTGTACGCGGTCCGCTCGTTTTCCTCGAGTTCTGCTAACTCTTGAATCACCACCGACACAACTAACCGATTTGAATGAGTGCAGCGACAATCACTATTTTTCACTCTTCAGTATACCAGCCGCAGCCAACGGGAGAGTCGCGATTGGTACGGTACGTTCGATTTCCTTTGGTTTGGCTGATATGTTGATCGAGGCCAGTGACACAAGGGTAAGCGAAAACAAAATCTTTCATGATATTAAATTGAGCAGATCGTTTTTTGCCATTAAAGGTCAATTATGCAAACTATTATTACTTCAGCCATCCAACTGATCTTTCACTTTATATTCATAATGTATGGAAATCCGGTTGGCTTCAGTCACTTTTATCGCTGATGGAACTTGTGCATCTGAAATGTCTTTGTTTTCAACATTCTGGCGATCACACGCATGTTCCAGATTCTTTATTATATAATATCGAGATTCTGCTCGATCAAGCACCAAATGTTGACGATTTACGTATAATTAGTAATGATATAAGCATGAAGCAAATATGTTCAATTGTTCCATGTCGAATAAAAAGTTTGATGGTTTCGGTGAAGACCTACGAAGACATGAAAATTATACTAAAACAGCTCGATCATTTGACAAAAGTTATCTTCAAATATAGTAATTCTCGAAGTCAATCAAAATTGTTTAAACAAATTATTCGATGGGTTGCTCATAAAAAAAAAAGATTTGCACATAAAAAGCGCAAAGATTCATTGGAAATATACTTTTAACAGGACGACACCTTTCATTGAATTCAAAACTTCGATGTAAAGAACATATCTTTCATTTTAACAGTACTTTTTAATCTTGAACAGAAATAGACGTCATTTATAACTTATGAGTTATAGAAACAGTATGAGAGTGGAAATGTGGTTCATGGACGAATTTCAAACGAACCATTGTGAAGCATACTTACATCTCTATGTCATACAGCATTTCAATGCGAGATAGTTTTCATAGAGACGCACATAAAATAGTAAATAAAAGATTTGTATTTAGATAGTCTACTCTCATGTTTTCGTTTCCTGCAGACGTCGTCTCTCTCTATGATGATATAATGTACTTTGATAGAGGTCTATAATACATAGACGCCATTGGCCAATTTCTATTGTGACTAATAGTATGCGTACCTAACCGAACTAATGTGTCGATCGTGTACGGATGACGAATATGTCGGCATGAATGTATATACTACTTTCCTCTCCACGTTTTACCAAAATTGTAAATACATTTGTGACTATGATGACGAGGCAAAATATGTGGTTATATAAACGCTTCGAACGAGATCATATACATTAGTATAAGAAAATATGGCCAATTTATTTTTATACTTTCTTCGTCAACCAGAAACAAGAGCGTTACTCACACTTTTGTCTTCGATTGTTATCTTTGTTATTTTATCATATATTCGTTCATCGTATTTCTTTATTGGAGTCTATTTTCTTGCTGTTTGTACACTTGTACGACGAATTGCTCGTGGTGGTCAATACGATGCTCTCAAAACAAAGGATCTTAGTGGAAAAACTTATTTAATTACGGGGGCTGCAGGTGGTATTGGCAAACAAACAGCTCTCGAATTAGCAAAACGTGGTGCTAAAGTTGTGTTATTTGCACGACCTAGTAACTTCCAAGAAGCCATCAATGATGTTAAAAAAGTCGCACGAGATTCTAAACTTGTAAGCGGATATCCAATTGATTTGAGTGACTTACGTGCGATTAAAACCGGTATTGAACAATATAAAAAGGGTGAAGGAGAGTAAGTATTGTAATGATGATGAAGCCATAATCAACGATGAATGTATGGTTTGAATTTTCAGGAATGCTCCAATTACTGCTCTGATCAACAATGCTGGAGTTATGGCTTGTCCATACGCACTGACTAAAGATGGTTTCGAAATGCAAATGGGAACCAATCATTTCGGTCATTTCTATTTAACTAAATTACTCCTTCCTCAATTACTTCAATCCAAATCGCGTGTTGTTAATGTTTCATCATTAGCTCATGTTATGTGGCAAGTACCGTGTACATCCGATACATATTCTCAACAACTGAACAAAGAAACGTACAAGCCTTGGAGTGCATATTCTATAAGCAAAACAGCGAATATTTATTTTACACGTGAATTACATCGTCGTTTTCATTCACAAGGTCTCAATGCATATGTTCTTCATCCCGGTGGAGTTGATACAGGATTATCACGGCATACACCTATGTCTCAATTACTGTTTGCTCCGATTCGATGGCTTCTTTTTAAAACACAACTCGAAGGTGCTCAAACAAATTTGTATTGCGCTGTGGCAGACGAGGTCGTGTCCGGAAAGTATTATTCCGATTGTCACGAAATAGAACTGGGAAATCCTCATGCAGATAATCCTGAACGGGCTCGAGAATGGTGGGATTATTCCGAAAAGATCATTGCGGAAAAAATCAAAGATTTGAATTAACTGAATCAAATAGAATAGAAACATTACTTTTTTATGTGCACAAAAAGATTTTGAATAAAGTAAACTTTCGACAAATTCTTGATTGTGAACTTGCCCTTGAAATTTGATTATCACATCTAGCACCTGTGTAGCATCTGTCAGTCAGCTCAACGGGTAACAATGTTTTCTATTCATCGACAGTCAATTCGTCAAGATGTGGGGATGGGTGAGGGTGATGATGAAGAACACTACTCTCACATTTCTTAAACAATAAATAGAGAAGTACCATCGTCAGTTGAATTACTTCAATGTTCACGTGTGGTTGTGAAACCATCGTTTATACACAATGAATAGAGTTCAATTGAATAAATGACCTGCGTATTCACTTGCACCTTTCTCGTCAAATTGTTCAATACAATTTATTATCCATTGAAAGCGAAAATGACTTGTGGTAATCTATTTAAAATAATCATTGAAGGAGTTGCATAGAATTCTTTTTGACTTGTAAAATATTGTTTAAGATACATCGTAGGGTTAACGAGAAGGTTTACGAGAGGCTATTGGAGAACAATTTTTATAGTACTGCTGAAAGATAATGGAATTGAGAGAAAAATCATCTGTAGAATAACATGACACTTATTATTCGTTTTTTTAATGTTAAGGGATGCATTTGTGTTGTTACATACATTGTCGAAAAAGATAAAAGAAAAACTTAACGAATTCGACGATTCTTAAGGTAAAGGTTTATTGTTCAGATTTTCAACTTTAGCATTATCATAAGATAATAATAGAAAAAAGTGTAAATGTCTTTCATCATAAAATAAATGAATTTAAGAAGTACAAATTTGTGCTCGTTGTTTTTTGACAAATAATTGACAATTTTGTTTCATTTTCGATACAACATGAGATGGTAAATGTTCGAGGTATTTATAAACATGTGTATAATATCTCTTTGTTTTCTCCGATGCATTGACAACCAGAAAATCGGAATTATCAAATCTTAAAAGATGTTCTTCGCTTCTTTTCAATCCCAATGTTTTATTACATTCGACATTGAATGTTTGACAACAACCAACAAAAATATCGATGTACCAACCTCGATTACTTGCAACACTCACTGCACCTTGACTGTCTGTGTTCAGAATAACACGATAATAATTGGATTCAAATCGATTTGCATAATTTGAGAGAATATTGAATTGACTATAACTTTGATTTTCATAAAATTTCAGAAAAACATTATCAAAATGAGTTTCATTCCATACTGATGTTATATAATTTCGTAGATTTTGAAAAGTTTCATATCGATACCACATTGGCATACGATTCGACCACATAAAATCCAATGTTGAATTAAATTGCAAAATCCTCTACATAAATCATCGAATATTTTACTATTAGTTCGAATGAAAACTCAAAATACTTTATCTTGATGATAATTTTCAGCAATAATTGCTTTCAAAACAATTCGTCGATCATCTTTCGATGTAAAAATGCTGAAAATCGGGTGCATAAATGTAAATATCATTGCATCAGCATCAATAACACCGATATAATCACTATTCGTAAATCGATCGATATAAAATGTTGACCATTGTTGTCGATCATAACCTGGTAAAGTACTTTGATTGTTGTCAAAGAGAAGTGGTGATTCATATTTAACTGAATAATTGTGTTGTGTTAAACAATCACCTAATTGATGATCTTTACTTGATTCGTTATCAAGAATAAATAAAATATCGAAAATATTTCGATCAACAAACATATTTATTGTGAGAAGATACCTTTGAGATTCATTTAAATAGAAATCGAACAGATTTTGAGCGACTTACCAACGATTCAATTGAGTTAAATGACCAGAAAATGTTCGAATGACTAAAGAATATTTGTGAGGAATTTTCGGGAATTGATATCCTATTTGGTTTAGTTCTTCTAACCAAAGTTGGACAAGACGAAGATCGAATATTTCGATAAAATGATGTTGGGAAAGAGAAATAAATAATTGTTTCATAAATTCGATGAAGTTCCTCTCTTTCGATGACCATTCTTTTAAAAATTGGGTAAGATTTCTTTCTATTCTATTCTGATGATTTCTATTCTTTTTAACAACATAAGAATCAACAAATGCTGTCTGAAGACCAACTTCCCACATTAATCGCTTTGAAAAACAATCAAATAGACTTGAATTCATATGAAAATTAGAGAAAACTTACTTGCATGACATAACTTCGAAAGAGATGAGATCTTTTCTGATCAATTGTCACTGGTAATAGAAGTGCCCATAGAGCTGATTGAAGATGAAGAGTTGCTTGATGATCATAAGGTGAAAACGTACGACGAGGTGCAATTAACTTTACATAATTTTTATAATTTCTGGAAATTTTCTTCGATTGTAATGAAGTTTCGTCAAGAGAATGAATAACAGCAAGATTTTGACTTGACCAAACACCATGTAATATTGGGAAAAGGAAATTTGCTTTTGATATAAAGTATTGATGTGGATTGAAAAATGTTCCATTATGATTGGGAATAGTCAATGATTCAATTTGGTCATTTAAGAGAAGTTCAAGAATTGTTTCATTGACGAGCATTTCTTCGATATTATCAAAATCCCAAATCATTTTTGCATTGTGATAAATTGCCCAAAGATAACCGAGATTTTTCTGTGCGGTATGAAGATGATTGGATAAGGAGAGAATTTCTTTATAAAACAAAGATATCTTTGCTAATTCAGATTGAATTGTTTTATTGAGAATGAAGATATTTTTCGAAATTTTCATATGGTGTTTTGAAGAATGAGAAACAACAACTATACACCAATTAGGAAGTTGTTTAGCTGTTTTGAGAACACCATCTGACATATTCACAGTAACAGCCCAATAATTCGAACAGATTGATTTTGTCTGGAAATGTGGAGATATCCGTTTGAGAAATTTCTGGATTTCTGCTAACCAATCGTTATTCTTCTCTATATTGCTTAATTTTCGATCATTCTTTGGAGATATTGTTGGAAAACTTGTAGGATAACCGTTAATGACCGATATTTCTTCGAAATCATTATTTTCATTCGATATCGATCGATTCATTCCTATCCAGATGGAAAATACGGTTACAGTACAAAGTGCCATTATTGTAAACAAGAATCTCTGTCTCCGACGTGGATTTCTATAGTGATTGATTATTTTCCACATATTGCCGATGTGACCTTGTGATGTGTGACAGTAAACGTTTTGAATTATGTATTTTAATCTGTCGTAGTGAAACTATGCTACCTTGTTCTTTAAAAAAAAACTCTTTCGAAACAGCAAATGATTGTACAATGCGATTATTTTTCAACACGTTTTTGCTTTTTCTTTCACAGAGAAATCTGACAACAATCAGAATGTTTTTTCACATGTTTCGTCCTTTGATGTTACATCTATATGTTGGCTGCATGAAAACGTGTAATATACTACAAGTCACGCGGCTCAACTACCGTCGACCTTCTAAACTGAAAGAATGTGATCTATATATCTCTGATATTTCTCGTAGTTCGATGAAAATTCAACAAACGGTGTTATTTCTTTTATAGAAAAAAGGCAATTAAGAATTTAAAAAAAAGTGGAAACTAAGGAATGAAATTGGTGTTAATATCCAAAGAGGTTATCAGAGTGCTAAATGACTTTGGTGAAATTGATACTGAAAGAAGAAAATTCAAATATTAAACTTTTAAACTCGAAGCGTTAAGTTCTACATTTATAACTTCAGAATTCGAAGGATTAGTTTAATACTCGAATCAAGTTAACGATATCTACATTACTCATTTCTTGAGGATATAAATAACTTTCGTTCATACAAATATACATCTTCATTTATATTGTTTAACAGAACTAAAATATTATAAACTATCGCCATCTAGGAGAAATAATCAACAGACTGTTTACAATTGGTTCTATTCATTATAACCTATAATATATATGTTCTGTGTGTGATTTTCTAAATATCAATAATTTTCTCATCAAAGTACGGAAAAAAATAATCGAAATATGAAAAGGTAGATAATATATAATCTGTTGAATATAGTACATCGATTTTGTTTTTCTATAGAAAACGTTTATCTAGCGTTATACAAAATGAATCATCTTCCAGAATAATGATGAACAATCGTTTTGTAAACAGAAATTCTTTGGAATTGGAAAATGTTAAAAGAAATTCAATATTTGATTATGAAGATTCACCGTCACTCACATTAGAGCAAGCTGTAAAGAAAATAGTTCCATTCGTCCCAAATGTCATGGAAAGTGTTTCAATAGCCAAAGAGAAATGTAATCGTAGTCCATCGTCACTAACAAGTGATGAATCAGCATCAATATACATTTATTCAATGTCGTCATCGTCATTTTGTTTTCGTTTGAACGCTGCTCTTCGAAATGAAGAACGAAATGCACTACAACCATGGCTTGCTTACTTGAAAATTTTCATAAATGCTCTGGAAAGATTACCATCAGAGCGCTGTGTAGTTTGGCGAGGGATTAATTGTGATGCGAGTTTGACATTTGTCGACAATGATTCACATTCTTGGTGGAGTGTAATCTCCTGTTCGAGAAATATCGAAGTTGTAAAACCATTTGTTGGTGACAAAGGTACTTTGTTTGCTATTGAAGCAATCAATGGTAAAGATATCTCTGAATTTTCCGCAAATAAGGATGAACAAGAAATTATTCTTATGCCTGGCACTTGTTTACGTCGTAAAGCAGAACCATTCAATCATCAAGATGGTCTTTTTATTCTTCATTTGATAGAAATTCTTCGACAAAAGTAAGTCTATAATGAAATTCTTAAACAAATAATACAAATTGATATTTTCAGTGAATTGTATGAACAAGTTAAAGACGAATATCGAGAAAATAGTCGGATCGAANAAATCTTGCTTTGACATGATGTTAGACATGCAAGAATGGTTGCATACTAAAGATAAAACAGCAGAACGTGTTTAATGATAGATAACGAGCTTAGAAGTTAATCAAAAGGTTTGAGAAATTAAAGCTTCAAGAGCAGTTTGCACAAGTGTTGATCTCTGCATATCTTCTAATTGTCACGTTCGTACCAAACTAGTAGAATCTGTGTTGTAACACTTGAAATCGCATTCTTTCGCAGCTGAAAATATATTCAAATCTTGTAGGATGTGATGCTCGAAAGTTGTCTGTAGTAGAATTTATCCATGGATTGTATGAAAAGACGAGTATTATGAGTTTCTTTCACGTGCATATGTAACAAAATATGCATAGGTAAACAGAATAACATGCAGAAAGAAGTTGCTGTTAATGGATTGAGATCATTGCGACACATCATTTGGTTTCTCTTATTAACTCTTCGCAAAGTTAAAGGCGAAAGAATATGGTAAACATCATTGGTTAAACTTTATTTTATTGTGATAAATATTTAAAGCAATGCATTACACATACGAAAAAAAGCGAAGTATTGAATATAAATGAGAGTGTCTTTTGTTCATCTATAATTTATAATATGTCGACAGTTAGAGTCAAATCCGAGACACTTGAAATTATCTTTTTGTAGCTGTAACAGCAGCAACAACACCCAGCTGCGCTGCGGTGACAGCCCCACCACTAAGACTCATAGTTACGCCTTCTAATGCAGTGGCAACAATTGGAGCTAAGTACGCAACTCCAGCGCACATAGAAAAAACAGCTGCGCCTAAGAGGAAGACACCAGCGGCGTATTTTATATATTGAGTATTGGCTTGTGCTACTCTTCGCACAGGATCGTTCTCATTCGATTCTAATTCTTGGATCCGATTTTGTAGTCTCTCGCTGATTGGTAATAGTTCACGTATTTGTTGATTTGCCTGTCGAGGATCATGTGAGATATTTGCAGCAATTTGAATTTGTTGTTGTATTAATTCAGTGGTTTGTGAATCATTTGCCGTTCTTTCATTTTCTAATATAGCCCTCTGAAGTGTGCGTGTGTTTTCTTGAATTTCGTTTGCAGCTGTTGAAAAAATTCTTATATTATTTCGTATTAAATTCCCTCCTTCTGTATTCACTACTTCACGAGCTTCGTGTGACAGTGGTTCGTTGTCAAGAGCGTGGCATATTCTAGCCATAATTGTCGTATTGTCGACACAACACAACATAGTATTAATATTAGCTTCTGATCCATCGTTGATTCTTTGTGCCAGAGGATTAGTATCAGTTACCGAATGTAATCTAGGTTGCAAATTATCATGCATTTGTACAAGTGCTCGAATTTGACTCAATTCCAGAATCGGTCGATCACTGTTCATCAGTTCACGCGCCAAATGTTGAGCTTGATCTTCGTTGTTGTCTTCTGTCACATTAAAACGATCCATCTTTATTTCCAGGATTTATTTGCCAAATGATTTTCAATATAAATATGCGTAGCGTATATATGAACGGTTGCAGAACGCAAGGAAAGAATAATGAAACTTTTATTTCATCAGCTTGCTTTTATAAGAGAAAACACTCCTTTCTTGGAAATTTCCAACTGAATTGTTATATAAATAGTCTTTGGACTTGCTATTCGCTTCTTTCATGATGCTTCTACTCCTCGACGGCGCACTATGCAAGCGAAAAAAAGAGTTTGTTCTGCTCAAATTTCAGAATAATTTACCGTTTGTTAAATCAATACTTCTACGATATAACTGCGAGAACGCATTTCAAAGAGGAAGAAAATAGGAGTGAAGAGATGGATGAAAAGCTACGAGTTCCTCAACGCATCTTAAATGGCGTTTGCGAAGGCGTTTACTCTCATGATGAAACATTACATGACAGAGACGTGTTTTTCTTCGTTTGACAATTGCATAAGCGAAAGTATAGTACTATAAACGTCACAACAAATAAGAAAATAAGAGAAACAAATTTAACAACAAATTATCTGATGAGAATATACGGCAATGAACAGTGAAATGTGAAACAGGTCAAAAACACATGTATTCAAAGAGAGAACAAGTATAACTAAATATGAAATGAGGCTATGAATTTGATATTAGTTGATTCAGCAAAAATCGTATTCTTTTCTTTATCCATATTACAAGGGCAAGTTTTGATGGAGGTTTTTCTCCGTTTCCCATACTTTATTCCGGTTCTTAGGTTTTCATGGCTCAAGAGGGTGGAATTGTTATATTCAATGAAACGGATTTTACGCATCGTAGCGAACCGAAGACTGAAAAATTTCGGTCATTAGCATCACATCAACCGCATATCATATTTTTGGCGTTAAATATGTCACTCAGGATGCCTTTAACTAATAGAGATCAACAGGATAGACATTCCAAGAGCATCAAACATTTATACATCAGTGTAATAAGAAAAATTTTTCGTCTCAAACTTCTCCAAAAGTGCTTTGGAACATGATCGTTGGAGGAGGTTCATTCTCTGGATTTTATTCAAAATATTCTGAACCCAATACAGACATCGCAAGCTTCATACAGTCTGCGAGACGCTAGTGCATCTTGCTTTTGTACTCCGAATGGTTCTAAGAACTGAACTCGCTTTCGATAAACATGGTTGATGTTAATGTGAAACCATATTCACACCCTCACCCATCCAATGAAATTCACTTGCACTGACGTTTGTCGAAGCGAGAAGAACAGTTGATGAACAGTAATAAGTCACCCTCAAGACTGAAATGTTTGAAAACTATTGGCAATGTCAATAGTTAGTATTTCACTTCATTTGAAGAAATAATAGATCCATCTCGAATGATGCCTAGCAGGTGTTTTCTTAATTTCATCGACATATTGTTAGCGAACGTCACGCCATCGTTTAAAATAGTTTTACTTGGAAGAAAGTGCAGAGCAAGAAATGCCAAAATGATTCAAACATGACTATTTCCGATACACAAGAAGAACGTTAGACAAATAAAGACAAGATACCGAATATTTCTTTGTTTTCGACTACACGCGTGTACAGATGTTAACAATGTTCACTATTATGCGAAAAACGAAGGACAAAAAATACTTATTATTTGATCAATGTCGTTATGGATGTTTTAGTAATGCACGAATATATGGATAACGTAAGTATCCGTTAGAATTAGTGAAACGATCGATGAGGAGTTTCAATTACGGTCTTTTTCCCCTATTTCCAGAAAAAGGCCCACATTCACTTCAACTGTGCAATCTCTCGTTTAACTTACTATTTATAAACAAAGAATGCTAATGAAATGGAAACGACATCTTGTCGATGAGGATAGCAGTAAAAGATATATATAGAGAGAGAGAAAGTAGAATTTTATTTCATTTTGAACGCATTCTGGATAGTTTGAGCAGCTATTCGAGAAATTATTTTATGTTATGTTTTTAGATGATTTTCAAGAAATTTGTTATGATATACAAGCTAAATTTCGAACATTCGTGGTTTTCAACGTTCTTCATCATCTTGTTTCAATCCGGAATTATGGTTAGACGATGTGAAAGCGTAGTACTCTGTCCTACAGCAACATGGCAGAGAAACGCCACAACCGTTGCTGGATCCAGTACAGCTACATCCGGTTCGAATTCAACAACACTCAATGGACCAAATGCCGTGGATGTTGATAATAATTCGAACATATATGTTCTCGATAGTGGTAACTACCGTGTACAACGTTTCCTTTCGAACTCAGCTATTGGAACAACAATTATCAATGGCAGTTTGGGCAATGCACTCAATCAGTTTAATACTCGTAAGTTCAACATACTCTCATCACTAATCCACCATAAACACATTTCGTTTGTTTGTCAGTGGATGATATAAGCATAGATAACAATGGTAATATCTATATACTCGATGGTGGTAATGGCCGTGTAATGAAATGGACACCAGGAGCCTCGTCAGGTGTAATTGTTGCTGGTGGATATGGTATTGGTAGTAATGTAAGTCAGTTAAATGATGCTAAAGGAATGCTCTTGGATATGAATACATCAACAATTTGGATCGCTGACACTGATAATCACCGTATAGTGAAGTGGATTTCACCAACAAGTAGCATGGTAGTTTGTGGTAGTTTTGGATCTAATAGCAATCAATTTTATTATCCATATGGGTTATTTATTGATACAAGTAATTCAAATACACTTTATGTAGCAGATACATTTAATCATCGGATTCAGCAATGGTTAGCTGGTGCTACTCGGGGTACGACACTAGCTGGAATAACAAGTTATTATGGCACTGGTTTGAATCAATTGTGGTGTCCAACGGCAGTAATAGTGGATAATTATCGAAATATGTTCATCACCGATGTCACCAACAATCGTATTTTACGATGGGCTATTGGAACAAGTTCAGGAACGATCATCGCAGGAGATTTGACTTCTGGATCAGCATCAAACTTGCTGAATATTCCCATGAATATGGACTTCGATTCAAATGGATCTTTATTTGTTGTAGATAAATCGAATAACCGAATTCAAAAATTTCTTATTTCTTGTCGTAAGTTTTGCTTGTAGATACTGTCATAAAAAATATCGTTTAACTCTTTTTTCTTTTCAGCGTATGTAGATAACACTTCAACAACAGTTTCACCATTGACTACATCTGGTAGGCACTTGAATTTTTGAGCCATTCTATTATCGATATTTCTTTCATCACAGCATCTGTGCCGAATATTAACTTCTCGACGTCGCTTTGGTTACCTAATGGAACGACAATCGCTGGTTCACCTGTAGGTTTGAGTGGAAGTTCATCAACATATTTGAAACAACCTGCGGATGTTACCATAGATAAAAATGGCATACTCTATGTGTTAGATTCAAGTAATTATCGTGTTCAACGTTTTCTCCCAGGTTCTACAATTGGAACAACAGTAGTTTATGGCAGCGCTGGCGCCGGACTGAATCAGTTTGCCTACAGTAAGGTCGTTTCCACACTAAGACTAAATTTTTACTATGGAAATTACTTTAGTGGATGGTTTCAATGTAGATGCCAATGGTGCTATTTATATTGTCGATCATGGTAATAATCGTGTCGTGAAGTGGTTACCTGGCGCAACGAACGGAACAATCGTTGCCGGAGGTTATGGAAGCGGAAATGGTGCAAATCAGCTGAGTTCTCCAGACGGGATATTCATACCAAACAATTCATCAACTATCTGGATAGCTGATACCGCCAATCATCGCATCGTAAGATGGAATTCTTCGACAACGGGTACTCCTATTTGTGGAAGTTATGGATCAGGCTCAAATCAATTCTACTATCCATTCGGATTATTTGTTGATACAAATGCGTCGAATACGTTGTATGTTGCTGATACATATAATCATCGAATTCAACGATGGTTGTCAGGAGCAACCAATGGAACAACTGTTGCAGGACAAACAAGAGTTTGTAGTAATGGATACAATCAGCTATGTAATCCAACGGCTGTTATTGGAGATATGAAAGGATTTATCTACATTGTCGATCGTTCTAATAGTCGTATTATGAGATGGATGATAGGATCAAGTTATGGCACTGTTATAGCTGGAAGTTCAACAATGGGAGCATTGCCAAATCAATTTTACTATCCAAAGAATCTACGGATCGATGCCAACGGATCTTTAATTGTTGCTGATACTTCTAACAATCGCATTCAGAAATTTTCTCTGCTTTGTGGTACGTTTTTGTTATGTAATACCTTTAAAATCGTTCTCCTCTCATATATTAGCATTATGTGTCAATATTACAACAACAATATCGATTATTTCTACAACTCAATCACCGTCAGGTAAAAAATAAATGGTTTGGTCTAAAATTATCTGTTTCCAATATAGATTCAACTTCAACAGCACCGTCTTTCTTGACTGACATCTCTAGTTCGACACAGGGAACACCGAGTGACACATTATTAGATTCATCAGTGATGTCCATTGTCTCTTCTATTGCGACCAGTTCTACACCAGGAATAGCAAGTGCAGCGTCACCAGTCCCATCAGTGATGTCCGACTCTTCTATTCCAACTTCGACAGAAGAAATGACAACTGGAACAGCACCCTTAGTAGTTTCCATTTCTTCTTCGTTGAGTTCGACACAAGAAATAGCAATCAGTACACCAGCAGGTTGGTCAATGGCATCTGCTTCTACTGCAACTACGGGCTCCATATCGGAAATCATAAGTGGAACAGCAATATATTCGTCGATAGTGACCACGTCGTCTCTTTCGTTGAGTTCGACCACAGGCTCACCGGTGAGATCCGATTCGTCTACCTATTCCACTTTGATATATGCGGGGACAAATGAAATAACAGTAGAAGATTCATTAATAATACTCTCTTCTTCTGCTACTCCGACATCAGAAGCGGTGAATGGAACAACGACAGGTTTGCAAGCGGTAGTCGACTCTTCTACTTTAACCTCGACGGAAAAAATGACAACCGGAACAGTAACAGGTCCACCAATAGTATCGGCCATTCCTCCCACGCCTACTAATTTACCATCAGGAATGACAAGCGATAGAACACTAGATCTATCAGTAGCATCTACTTCTTCTGCTTCTCCGAGTTCGACACAAGGAATGGCAATTAGTTCAACGGCAGGTTCATCAATTTTAGTCACTTCTCTTACTCCTCCTAGTTTCGTTCCGACGACGACAGGCGCAACAACCGAACGCTCACTAACACTTACTTCCTTTTCTTCTTCGAGTTCGATTCCAGTGACAGCAAGCGTTTCTTCAATAGTATCTACCTCTTCTTTTATTGCAAGTTCAACATCTAATATAGCAAACATAGCACCAACACACTCATCAACAATATTCACTTCATCACTCTCTCCAAGCTTAAAACCACATATAACAAGTGGAGCAGCAGCAAGTATAGTTGCCGATTGTATTAGTATAAAACACTTATGCAGATGCCAATTAATAGTGCTTCTTTCAATTCTTCATTTTATCGACAATTGATCGTTTCCTTTTTGACTCGAACTTTGATAATTCACATTTTTTTGTCTCTTCTTTCTTAACAAGTGTCTCCAAATATTTCAACTCGTAGAGAGTCCATCTCGATTTCCGAACCTTGGAAATCGGCAAATTCAATTTCCGGAAATTTATTCGTGGCCGTGTTTCCACACAATTTCCCGGCAATCGCTATAACGCATCATATGCATACATCTATAGTTCGAGGTAAGCATTTCAATAATTGACTAGATGAGAGAAAGAAAAACAAGAAATAAACTTGAATTTCTGTACTAACACTCCATGATGGAGCATTAAAAGAAAAAATAAATTTTGGTTTCCATGATTGTATAAAGAATACATTTTCAATAAATGATTGTTTCGTATTATTAACATATATAAAATCTGCTTTGTAAAACTTATGAAAAATATGTTGTAAAATAGCAACAATAATTAACGAGAGCAAATGTAGAGGATATAATCGAGAGAATCGATTGATAGTATATTCTTTCAAATTAATTTGTCCTTCACGAATTCTATCGTTGTAAACTTTCATGAATGTTGTTCCACTTAGTAACCAAAAGGTTGGAACACTATATCTTGCTCCGAACTGTCTGTAAATCCATTTGATATAACTATAGTAAGGCATCGATATTACGCACTCATCTATATTTGTATTCCGATTAAAGAATATACAGAAATGCTGATAATGAAAAATACTTATCGTAAAAGCTAAAATAAATCGTAAAACTTCTAAACCTTTTAAGTGAACGATGTTTACTCTCGCTGAATTTGAGTTTTGCAATTCATCATGTCGAGAGATACCTGCTGAAGAAGCAACACTTTCATCCATACACGAACGTTCCACACCACACACGTATCGTCGTATGTTTACATTTTGTATCTGAAGAAAAAAACATGAGAGATTTACTTGAATGCTCACAATTATATATAGTTTTCTACATTAATTAAAAGAAAAAATGCGTGAAACAAACACAATTATTCATAATGAATGTCAAATGGAATTGAATTGAAAAACAAATCAACATTTTGAACTCATGCTATGATTTCGCAATTAAAATCTTTTAATTTCGGGTTTTTGTCTCACAAAAACTGATTAAGAATATTCAATTATTCTCTGGCAAAGTCGATTTTCAATAATATAAAGAATATGAAATATCCGATAATGATTAGCGATATCACTATCAGATGACGATATTTTTTATGTTAGTGACACAATCAATAATCGAATCCTCTTTGTTGATCTTTTACCAATCATAAGCAAGAATGCTATTGGTACTGGAAATGCATCTCATTGGCGAAATCCGATTTGCATTTTTAATACATCGCTCTATATTCTTGAACAAGCAAAGGAAATTATACGAAAAATGCGGCTGATTTAAGTGAATTGATTTCACCAATGTATTTTTCATAAGTGTATAACAATGACAACATATATGGTAGCGATGCTCATCTTCATCAAGTAAACGTTTTTCGATCAAATTCAATAAAAGGTATACTTATCACCGGTAATGGAACTAATTGATCTACTTATGAACAACTTTATTCACCTTATGGAATATTTGCGAATGATATTGAAGATATTTATATTACAGATTGCTACAATGATCGAATCAGGAAATTCGCGAATAACACGATGGTTTCCTAGTTCAGCATATGGTGTATGGATAGTTGGTTGTACTGGACAATCTGAATTTACAACAAATCAGTTGAAAAGGTCACATTCATTGGCATGCGATAGAAATCGTTCACTTTACGTATGTAATTGAAGAAGTCATCGAGTACAAAAATTCCAATTTCTAAACTCTCCCAGTGAGTAACTTTGTTCAAAATTCAATCCAAAATCTCTTTAAATGTGACATTCTTCATTCGCAACCTCGTAGTATATGTATTAATTCAAATGATACAATCTATGTATGTGATTATGCTAAGAAACAGATTCTCATTTGAACTAAATACGATGTCGATCTACCACGACGAAGGAGTGCTCCCTTGTAAGTATTATTTTAGTTTTAATATATACAGCAAATTTAACATCATTGAAATACCATTTAGTCGTGTTATGGTATTCTTGTTAATTCATCATTTGAAGATTATTTTTTACGTGAAATATCTTATGAAAGTCGAACAAGAAGTCTACAATATGTTACAAATACATTTCTATTGCGATTTTAACTTTAGCTGAGACAAATTTTAATCCAAATATTTACGCAATTGTTATTCCAAAACAATGATTATTTACACACGTACGTTAAAGATATGAAGATTTTACAATTAAAAGAAGGTGGAACATTAGAAAGTTTAAAAACGAAATGGTCTGAAGGACAAACATGTTCGAATTCATCCTCAACGAATCAATTTCGACTAGCATTTCTTCACTTACTGAATTATTTGTTACTTTTGTATAGTTATTACTATGATTGATTTCATATTGAAAATGATTTGTTTCGATGAAAAGATTTAAAAAGTGAAGAAGTTAATGTTCAAAATCAAAATGACAAAAACAAACTCCGATTGAATTTCATATTGATTCATTTGGTACACATCTTCAAATAATAAATTGACTTCGAATTTTGTTTACTTATCTAAGTACTAACTCATTCAATTTTATTTCAATAAAACTATAAACACACATTTATATGATATGAATTGTGTAAATTATTCTTGATTGTTGTTCAACTGATCGAAAAACAAGTCTGATCTTGAATCGGTTACGGGGTGCCCGTCGGAATCTCTACGTAATGATACTCATTATCTGTAAGTTATAGTATAATGATAAAAGAAAGAGTCGTAATACTAAATTAATCGTTTCTCTACGAGACATGCTATTTTTCATGAACTTATCAATTGATGGCGTTATTTTCGTACTCTTAGTACGTCTTGTCGATGATTTAGTTGTTGTTTTCATAGCATCGATCGATATGTTTGTATATATAGGATTGTTTTGTAATGGTGATAAATCATAATATTCATGAAGAATTCTTTGTAATTCGAGAGTATTTTCTTCACTATTGCATTTGTTACCATTACATCGAAGTTGAAACGATCGATACTCTGTTTTATTAATTGTATTGATCTTTGAATTAATTTCTAAATAATGTGGTAAGCCAGGTTGAGGAGCACACATTCGCGTCGAGTGGTTTTCTTTGGTAGGATAAGAATATACACATACTTTATTTGAACATTTCTTTGCAGTATTATTTTTATTGAAACATTTTACTATAAAATAAGTATGAGATATGAGAGTTATTTAACTTTACACTTACTGTCAAAATCAAACGACTCTGAAAATAAAGAACGAACAGTTTGTTGTACTTTTTCAAAATATTCCATTGAAAACCAATCAATATTTTTGTATATGAATTGTTTTTCGCAACCATCTGGCTGTGAACATGAATATAACAAATAGTTTTCAGCGTTTGTTTTTCTCTTATTATTCATGGAAATAATCGTTTGAAAATTAATCTGACCATGAGCAACATATGCATAAGAAATTAAACCATTGAATTCCAAAAGTAGACGCGATGAGTCAGATGTTATACGCATAAGTACTATACAGCGACCAGTACCATTTACTTTACTAACATTATAACGATCGAGATGTTTCTTAATATCATCAGCATTCGCATCATCCTTCTTAATATATTTCTGATCGTAGAGTGTAATGCACGAAAGACTAGAAATTGTCGTGAAGGAAACGATATCGATCAATATGATGAATAGAATATCCATAACTATATCGAAAAGAAAAATCTATCTAGACAATTTATATTATCAGTTCTTATCAATTCCGACATTTAATTAATGTGACTGACACTATCAGTAGTAAATAAAAAGATTAAATTTAATAAAATAACACTAGACTAATATTCAGATTCTCAGTTTGTCAATAGAAAATCATGTATACGCTACGAGTGATGAATCTTGTGAGATTATGTTTTATGATATATCTATTAAAACGAATTGAATGTGCATCACCCTTTCCGAATATGTATTACACTGATACAGATATGTTTACTGAAGTACAAGATGGCTATTGTCTTTATTATCATACATATGCGAAAGTAACTATTGAATATTCACTTCAACATCATTTACATACGTATTGTTTTCGATCAAATAAATATTTAAAAGAAAATCTTACAACAAATCGACCATTTATATTATTTAGTCAATTACGTGAACAACATGTTACAAGTGAACAATTATATTCATGGTCAACTCCGATCGATCTTGCTGAAAGATATGAAATGTATTTATTGAATATTAGTCAAAATAATTCTCTAATGGATTCAATACGTTTATATAATTGTACTGATCGATACACATTTGGTCCACTATGTCAATTTCAAACTGCCGTACTTCAGAACGCATTCATTGATATTGTTGGAGAATCAATGGAAATACCTTTCGTATCTCCAGAAGATTTAATTATATTTAGTGAATACTCTCCTTGTTATATTAATTTAGACTGTGATTATATTTATTCTTCACCATTGTGCTTGACTTGGCGTGATATATGCGATGGAAAAGTACATTGCCGTAACAATGCAATTGATGAACATCATTGTTTCGAACTTGAATTAAATCAATGTAATGAAAATGAAGAATATCGATGTCACAATGGACAATGTATTCCCTATGAATTTTTTCATGATATTCCACAATTTCCTGATTGTCTTGACCGTTCGGATGAAATACTTGATTATTCATCGATATGCTTTACGGAACCATCGATGCGCTGTGAAGATCATCATTGTCGACTAGATTCAGGCAAAGTAAATTGTGGAGATGGACAATGTAATGATACTCATTGTTCGAATGGATATTTTGATCGATTAAAAACTTCGATAAGATCTCCTTCAAACGATACAAAACTTCTTCCAGATTGCTGGAAGGCGATAGAGAAACTTGCAAGTATTTACACATCATGGATGGATGACATGATGCTGAGTCTAAGTATACAAAATTCATATATCAATAAGATTCGAAAGTTTTGTCCACCATTGTTCGCTTATCCGGCATATCCTATTGCACTTGGTCATGTTTATTTTGTATATACTAGCAATCAATCTAATATAGATAAATATATGAAATATTTTCTTCCAACTTATATTTGTTACAATGAAACATTATGTCCGGGTATGGAATTTTTGTCTCAATTTCCTCGTCCAATTTATTTCTCGATTGATTCGCGAAAAAATTCGGCTTGTCATGAATTAAAATTCATATCAATGATTAATGTAACGTATCTTGATGAATGGAGTGAATTACAAGAACTTATAGAAATTATCTATTCTAATGCTTGTCCAAGTGTCAGTCAAACATTCGATAATCTTGATAAGGATTGTTCAACGAATTCACACTTATATCAATGTGAAAAATCTCGTAAATGTATTTCAAAATTTCGTATTCTTGATGGTGTTATGGATTGTCCTTTGGATGATGATGAAACATATGAAGATACTTGTTCATTAACAAAAACTCATCATCAATATCAATGTAAGATCAATGGAGTATTAAAATGTGTCTCACCAATGTTATATTTTAAGCCTCAATTTAAATGTACTAAATCAATTCCAAATATTGATAATGTTAAACCAAATAAATTCTCCAAATTTCCAAATAATTCGTTGATTTCATTTCAAACTTTATGTGATGGATTTGTTGAACGTGATCCACTCTCGTATGAATATGAGTATGAAACTGATGAAACTAATTGTGATTATGATATCTGGCCATGTAATAATACTTATACATATTGCGATGGATTCTGGAATTGTGAAAATGGTTTCGATGAATTACATTGTCCTTGGCAATATAAATACGATCCTGAGAATGTTTTATGTAATGAATTTCAACATGTTTGTGTATCTCCTGATAATTATGAATTGATATGCGTTGATTTATCGGATATCAATGATGGGCATGTTGATTGTTTAGGTGCGACTGATGAAAGATATATGTGTCGAAGGCCAGCTTCTCAATACCTTTGTTTGGATCAAAATGCTTGTATTACAGTAGAAGAATTATGCGACGGTAAAGTGGATTGTTCTTCGAAAGAAGATGAGGGAACTATGTGTTCTAAAGCTGTTAACGCGGATTCTTTATCTGTCAGTTATTTACCATTATGTAGCAGATATATGCTCGAACGTAGTCCTATAGCAAATATCGTATGTTCTCTTGATAAAACAGATAAACCAACTGTTGTACATTTTTCTTTGAAAAATTTTGCGCCGTATCCTAGAACGATCTCTTTTAGTTCGAAATCATTTGTGACATTAAATGAACTAAGAACTATGAACGAAAATAAAGACGTGATTCGAGCCTCACCAATGTATCGACGTTCATGTCATCGTGGTCTTCCTATTTGGATTCGTTCAGGTCTTCCAATGGATTTCAGTAGAGACGAATGTTTATGTCCTCCAGCATATTATGGATCTCGTTGTCAATATGAAAATCAACGCATTGCCCTAACAATTCAGTTTCAAGTTGATTCAGAATGGCGTACATTATTTACATTTTTTGTCTTATTAATTGATAATGAAAATACAGTTCATTCACATGAAAAATTATCATATATATCAATTCGAGATTGTAATGCAAAATTTCATATTTATCTTCTATATAATTCACGACCAAAAAATCAAACAAAGACATACCATATTCGTATACATAGTTTTCTTGGACTGACATCAGAATATCGAATGAGTTGGTTATATCCAATACAATTTTCATTTTTACCTGTTCATCGTCTTAGTCTTCTATTGAAAATTCCACAAATATCAAATAAAGACAAGAAATGTTCATTAAATTGTGGATTACATGGTGAATGTATTCAATATGAGAATCATCCCATATCTGTCTGTCGTTGTCATTCCGGATGGCATGGTATTAACTGTGATATTCCATACGAATGTTCATGTGCTGATGATTCTTTTTGTATTGAATCATCTAAAATCTGTCTATGTCCATTACATAAGTTTGGTAGCCGATGTTATTTAAAACAATCTATATGTCAACAAAAATCGTCACCCTGTCTTCATGGAGGTACTTGTATTCCACATGATATAAGATTTATTGGTTATACTAAACCATACACATGTTTATGTTCCGAGAATTTCTTTGGTGATCAATGTCAACATAAAAAATCTTTAATTGAATTATCTATTCGAAACGAAATGTCCGATGTTTCCAATATTTTATCAATGCATTACATTATTGTTGATGATAAACGCCAACATGAAGTCTTTAGCACAGCTATTAAAATTCGCTTCGATCGATCATCAATTGAGATATATACATCACGAGCATTTAATATATTAATTATAGAATTAACCAATCATTATTATTTAATGTCCGTTCTACCAAATGTTACGTATTTCGATCGTATGAAAGTTTCATTAACAACATCTCAACGATGTTTACATATCAAAGAAATATTTAGTCAAACAGTCATTGAATATCATCCATTACGTCGGGCGAAATATTATCATTTAGCATGTCGTGAAAAACGAAATTTAAAATGTTTTCATGATTCCGATACATTCATGTGTTTATGTACAAGTGATCGTCATGCTAATTGTTTAAATTTTAATTTCACTACAAAACACTATAAATGTCGTAATCGAAATTATTGTTTGAATAATGGACAATGTTTTCAAGATCATATTCAATGTCCAGCGACAAGTGTTTGTTCATGTATCGGTTGTTTCTATGGTACATTATGTCAATTTTCTACTGAAGGTGTTCGTTTATCATTAGATTCAATTCTTGGGTATCATATACGAACAACAGCTTCGATCATGAATCAACCACAGATAGTGAAAATAAGTTTTGCTATTGTTATAGTCATATTTATCTTGGGTGTAATTGGCGGTGTTTGTTCAATGATAACGTTTGCTTTTACACCCAATGCACGAGATAATGGTTGTGGTATTTATATTTTAACATTATCAATTATTAATCTATTGATAATGCATGTATTTCTAATCAAATTTCTTCTGTTGTTTTTCACTCAAAATGGTTCTATGACACAAGTTTGGGTGTTACAATTGAATTGTAAGTTTATTGATTATATCGTTCGAATTCTTGTTAACATAGCGGATTGGTTAAATGCATGTATTGCAACTGACAGAACAATGATGATAATTTCGAAAACAAAATTCAATGCAAAAAGAAGTAAAAACGTATATTGTTTTTCATACTGGAGGAGATGAGATTCGAGATTATGTATCGTTTAGATATCGAAATGGATAATTCTCTTGGTTATTATCATTAGTGCAACAACAGCAATTCAAGATCCATTAAATCGCTATTTATTGTATGTTGAAGACGATAAGAAAACTTGGTGTGTTAGTCATTTTAATTCTCGACCAATGGTACAACGAGTGGATTCGATATTACACGTGATTCATTACATCATTCCATTTTCGATTAATATTATTTCATCGATTATTATTATTGTATTAACATCTCGTGTTCGATATCTTCTCGTCGGTCGAACTAAACTCAATGAGAATCTACGAAAACATATGCGACATTATTCTCATTTAATCATTTCTCCATGTTTATTGGTTTTATTAGCATTACCAAGAATTTTGATTGTTTTACGTAGTAGTTGCGTGAAATCATTGAGCAATCCTCATTTTCCTTTGTTTGGATATTTCATATCATTTGTTTCACCTGCTTTAATTTTTATTATTTATGTCGTACCATCGATGAAGTATAGAAATAACTTCAAAGATGTTATTGGGAAATTTATGAAGATTTGTTTAAGACGATGAATTCAATCTTTTCAGCATGTGATAATATATCAATCAAAGAAAACTCATAAAAGCTTATTTTGTTGTAATATTAAATAAACAAAAAATATCATCTTGAGATAAGGGAGAGTGCGGATGTTTCCCTTTACTCTTCCCATCGATTAAATCAGCGCAATACGGACATAGAAATAAGTAAGAAGAGAATATATCGGCTAAATCATTTTGTGTTGGTGACGTGACCGCGTGCGAGTAGTTCACCGAAAAAATACTCGTATAAGTAGAAAAAAGATTCAAAACAATTCATATAAACATAGATCATTCTTCAACATCTTAAGATTATAACGAAGTACAAATTTCTCTTTTACTACTTAGCAGGAGCTCAGGGAAGGGCATTTTTTGAGGGAGATCTCACATCTTCGATTTTGCTCAAAATTGTATCTTATATACAAGCTGGGTCGTCAAGTTTATCCTGAAAGTTTCAAACTTTTCCATTGTATCGTCAAGAAGATATTCGCTAATTACCTCTTAATTTTAATTAAATAGGATCAGAAAGAGCGAACAGTTTTAGATATGTTTATGACAAACGAATTTGACCAGAAAAAGTACTGTCGTCAGAAGATAAAATGAAATGAGAGAGGTCAATGTTCTGTTTCACGCGATTTAGCCCATATATTTGTAGAAATCATCGAATGGATAAAAATTTCCTTATAGCAATTTGTTGTTGTCGAATAACTTTCTGAAATTCTTTTCTATATACATCCGATGGTAAAACAAACACAATGAAAATTAGAGCAGGTGGAATAAATGAAATAAAATATCCAATTAAATATAACCAAGGATCACGAAATGATTTCATACAGCCACTTATAAAAGCAATAATTAGACGAGGTAGAGCAAGAAGAACAAGAATAATAGGTGAAATAATTAAATGTTTATATTGATATAATTGTTGAAAGAAATGTGTTTTATAAGAATGATTTTTTCGAGCAAGAAAACGTATTCTTGTCGTATTAATAATAATAATTAAAGCTGAAATAAAATTGATTAAAAATGGAACTATAAAATGAATTATATTTATAGTTGAATTCAATACTTCAATTGAATTTCTATATTGAACTAAACACCAGATTCTTTCTTCTCCTTGATCCGTAACTAATTTTCGATATAATGGATCATAGATCATTGAAATAAACGTCAATAAAATAATAATCACTATAATCCATCGAGCGATTTGTTTGCTTTGTCTTTTATTAAATTTCACACCATTTATTACAGTGAATATTCGTTCAATAGCAACACAAGCATTGAGCCAATCTCCAATAATCACTATTGATCGTAAGAAATATTCAATAAACATACAATGAAAATGAAGAAAATTGGAATTTTCAATTAAAGACATTTGTGACAAGAGAAAAATCCAAAATTTCCAATTAAATACAATCATACACAAAAATGAAATTATTGACGTAGATAAAAGATAAAGTCCACAACCAACTCGGCGTAAGTTTTCCGATTGAAAAGTTAAAAATGAAAACAGACTGTTGAGAAAACCTATCATAGAAATGATAATTATTAAGATTATACTAATTTTAACGGTTATTAATTGTCGATGAATAGAAATACGTGGACGTATTTGATAACCAAGAATTGCATCAAGTGAAAGGCCAAAACCTTTTGTTGAAAATTGACATCGTGTACCATAGAAACATTCCGGACATATACATATTGTTGAATGTCGACAAACTGAACGATCTTGATAACATTTTGCATTATTTTTACAATCATGTTTTCCATTACATTGATAATTTAAACTAAAATCAAATGGAAAACAATTTGCATGTCGTTCATTGGTACATAAACACATAAATGTTGCATTATCATGAAAACAGCTAACATGTTGTGCTGCTTTCTGACATACAAGATGATAGTATTTGACACGTCGAAGGATTGGATATGATAAAATCGTTGAATTTAAATACTGGTTAATTGATGGACAGTATTGAGATGATTTAACTTGAACTTTTAATCGAGATTGATATTGATAGATTTCTTGAATAAATATTAAATAAAAATTCACATCAATCTGAATAAAAATCATATGAAATGGTGTTTTCGTATAAACTATTGTTGATTTTTGATCAAATGAAATTTTATTTCGAAATGTTGTAAACCATGGATGTTTCATTGCTTCTACAGTTATCAAATAAATAAGTAATAACTGTGGAATTTCAATATTCGAAAATGAGATTTCAATTTGAGAATAAATTTCTGTCGAATTCATTTGTAAAGATTCTTGATAATATAAACATTGAAAAGACTTTTCAGATATTCTTTCATCATCTGCAATACATAAACCATTATTTGGGCACGTATTCGATTGATCACATATATTACGAAGGAAACAACGTGGACCAAATTTATTCAATGGACAAATACATATCGATTCATTATGAACATATCCAATACATAGAGAATCTGATGAACAATTACATTTCTTATGAATACTACAATCTCGTCCAAACCATTCGGAATAACAATGACAATATTTTTCATTTGTATTTTCATATTTTGTACAAATACCATGTTTACCACAAGAGAAAGTTTCCTCACAAAGGTTTATCGTTGCTTCTGATGGGATTGTTAATTGAACAGATAGACGATAGACTGGTAAGAATAGAAATTTTACCGGGAAAATCCAACTAGAATAATACGTTAAATCCGTGCGATTATATGCATCAATACGAATATGATAATTTTTTGTTCGATTTTTCGGACGAATTTTATAAAGAAGATTGAGATTATATTTCATATTACAATCTAATGTTGGACTATAAGTTAAATATTCATATGAATGAATGATTTCTTGCTCATCATCTTCAATAAGAAGAATACTAATAGAAAATATTCCATGACAATTCGGTGCACATAATCTTTGAAATCTTAAAGTTAAACTAATTCGTTCATTTTGGAATTGACATCGATTACCATAATAACTTGGTGGACAAAGACAATCCAATGTATTTGGAATTAAAATACCACGATTACAAAACCAAGCATCGGAAAAACTCACATAACGTATCATTGATCTTTTTGTATTGAATTGATTAACTAAGTTTTTTTCTTCATATCTATCAAAAATAGAAGCATTCGATGTCTGATTGAACATGAAATATTTTGGCCCTTTATGTAAAAATAAACTTTCATCATAATCAAGATCTATAAGAACAGAAACTACTGATGTACTTCGATTTTGACATTGTTTTGCTATATTTTTCGATGGACATGTATTGTCATGTCTACAAACAGCTGAAACCAGTTCACATATTGTTTCATTCCAACATCGATATAAATACAAATATTCTCCTGCATTTTCTCGACAATATAAACGTTCATCTGTCGCTCCAAGACAATCAATTTTTCCATCATTTGCTTTATCTATAGGTAAACAAACAACATTATATGTATCCGGTGATATACATTCGTGATAACCAGGTTGAGGACAGACTTTTGATAGACCACAATAAGCTTCGTCAGCACCATTTAAACATGACCATGCATAATCACATCGAGTATATTGATTGCTACATGGCCAAATCTTATTATCACAATTTGTTTCATCTGTTTCAATTTCACCATCGATTAAAATCGGTTCAACATCAACAAAACCATTACAAATCTGTGGAAAAAACCATTCTTGTTGTCGACTTTCTTCATATTTGATTTCAATGTCATCTTCATTATAAAAACAATCTTTTTTGACCATCTTGATAAAGAATACGTGAAATACATTTTGTTTCATTGATTCTTGATGAACATCGAAAACGAAATTTCACATCATTTAATTCACATGAATTGGAATACATTTCATCACTACCATCATAACAATCGTTTATTCCATCAAGTATTCGATGTTTGGAAATACATTTTGTTGTATTCGGACAATGATAGAATAAAGTTGATGATAAATTACAAAAAGATATTTGATTTGTAACTTGATCAATTGATAAACAACTTTGAAAGAATTCAATAATATCATCCATAGTTTTGAAATTACCCAATTTGTTAATTAATTGACAAGATAAAGATGACGAATGATTGTTCATCATTCCAAGAATATCATTCATAGATAATAGGGAATTTGATGGAAGGAATGGACATCGTATTGTATCGTAACAAATATATGTGGGAAGTAATAATGCTTGTGGTAAACGTGTTTTTTTATTTGAACGAATTGTAATTGTTCGATTTGTTGGATAAACAAATTGAATATGATCTTGTAAAATTGGTTTATGTGGAAAAACAAAAAATAACTTTGTTAAATTACACTCTGTTTGAAAATCTATTGTACAGTCGTCTTTGGATGTTTTCTCACATAAAATTGATGAACAATTTATTGGAAAAGTACTTGTTAAACAAATTAATAAACGCCAACATTGCTTTGTTAGATAATTCGAATGAGTAGAATAGGAAAGAAATGCATTTTCTAATAATTGTTGACGACCATTGAAACAAAAAGGTTCATTTAAATATTGCGGATAATTTCGACGAGCTCGTTCACCATCACCACAAACGAAATTTTGTAATCGAATCGGATGATCTGCTTCTTCACAACGGAATGCTGGATCACGATAACAAGTTATAAATCCATCTCTTCTTACTTCTTTCATGTAGAATATATCTTCATCTGTACTATCGAGACAATCAGGATTCATTGGATCATCATTGAACAATTCTTCGGGTATACACATTCCATTTCGACATCGATATTCATTCTCTTCACATTGATTTATTTCTAATTCATAACAATTTAATTCATCTATACCATCATTAAGACAATTGATAATTCCATCACATATTTCACGCCAATCGATAAATGTTTCCAATGAACCACGTTCACATTTGAAATGTTCATAGAATGTCACATTTTCAACTGATTTTTTATGAAATCCATGAATCTTTACCGTAAATGTATCTTTAACAATATCATGAAATGATGTTTGAAAATATTTGTCAAATGAATATTGACATAATTTTCCAAACCAACCTGATGTACAATTATAAAATTTTGTATCTTTAAGTTCAAGATTTTGTCCATTAAGATAAGTTTCATAAAGTTCAATAAGATCAATGGGTGCTTGCCAAATAAATAAATCATTTGAATTTGTAATTTTTAATTCAAATTTTAATTCTTCAAATGTATATTCCGAGAAAATGTCACCTTTTACAATAAGATTTTTCTCTTCTAATATTGATGGACGTATACAATATGAAATAATTTGATAAGGACTCTGAAAATTTGGTTCATAATATGTGTATAACACAATATCATCAAGTACTTTGTAGTATAAACAATCATATTGTAATGTCATTTGTTCGGTGTAATATAAACGAAATGAATCAGTTGTTTTATTCAATAAAAGTAAAATGAAACATAATTTCAATAACATCATAGGAGATTTTTATGAAAATGATTTGTATTTATTAAATATATTATCAATTTTATTTATAAATCTCAAGTTTAGTTTAATTGACAGTGAGAAAATATAGTGTCAATCATGAGTCTCTTATCTCCATCTGGTCTTTTTATTTATGCTTTCTCTGGACAATAAATACAATAAATTTTGCACATTTTAATTAATGTTCCCTCGACTGAAAGGAGGGTGACATGGAAAAAATAGTTTGTCTGTTTGTGTCAGGGTCAAAGGCCAAAAAACATTTTTTCCGAAAATGCTTAAAACATTGTCGGGAAAGAGTGTTCGTGTTCCAAGTCGATTGGAGACAAGATCAAAAGGAGATCCGTCCATATTGAGTATAGGAGAAAAGAAACTATGGATGATAGCGGGCAATCTCTTATACTTCGCATCGGTTTCATAAATAAGATTCTTGAATCAAAGACTCGTGATGTTTCAAAGGTTTTGGAAGAATATGAGTTATGAATGTAAAGAATCTGTAATGAGAAACTGCACGCAAAAGAAATCATCGATTAGTTCTAACAATGTTTTGATTTGAAAACATATCCTTGAAACATATATGCTTTTCAGTTAAAATTAGCGTAAATATATTTCTTTACTCATCAGTCGAGGGTGAAGCAAATGATTCTCGACGAGCGTTACTAGTTTAGATAGTCTATTCTCATGTTTTCGTTTCCTGCAGACGTCGTCTCTCTCTGTGATGATATAATGTACTTTGATAGAGGGCTATACTACATAGACGCCATTGGCCAATTTCTATTGTGACTAATAGTACGCATACCTAACCGAACTAATGTGCCGATCGTGTACGGATGACGAATATGTCGGCATGAATGTATATACTACTTTCCTCTCCATGTTTTACCAAAACTGTAAATACATCTGTGGCTATGATGACGATGCAAAATATGTGGTTATATAAACGCTTCGAAGGAGATCATATACAGTAGTACAAGAAAATATGGCCAATTTATTTTTATACTTTCTTCGTCAACCAGAAACAAGAGCGTTGCTCACACTTGTGTCTTCGATTATTCTCTTTGCTATTTTATCATATATTCGTTCATCGTATTTCTTTATTGGAGTCTATTTTCTTGCTGTTTGCACACTTGTACGACGAATTGCTCGTGGCGGTCAATACGATGCTCTCAAAACAAAAGATCTTAGTGGAAAAACTTATTTAATTACGGGGGCTGCAGGTGGTATTGGCAAACAAACAGCTCTCGAATTAGCAAAACGTGGTGCTAAAGTTGTGTTATTTGCACGACCTAGTAACTTCCAAGAAGCCATCAACGATGTTAAAAAAGTCGCACGAGATTCTAAACTTGTAAGCGGATATCCAATTGACTTGAGTGACTTACGTGCGATTAAAACCGGTATTGAACAATATAAAAAGGGTGAAGGAGAGTAAGTATTGTAATGATGATGAAGTCATAATCAACGATGAATGTATGGTTTGAATTTTCAGGAATGCTCCAATTACTGCTCTGATCAACAATGCTGGAGTTATGGCTTGTCCATACGCACTGACTAAAGATGGTTTCGAAATGCAAATGGGAACCAATCATTTCGGTCATTTCTATTTAACTAAACTACTTCTACCTCAATTACTTCAATCCAAATCGCGTGTTGTTAATGTTTCATCATTAGCTCATGTTATGTGGCAAGTACCGTGTACATCCGATACGTATGCTCAACAGCTGAACAAAGAAACGTACAAGCCTTGGAGTGCATATTCTATAAGCAAAACAGCGAATATTTATTTTACACGTGAATTACATCGTCGTTTCCGTTCACAAGGTCTTAATGCATACGTTCTTCATCCCGGTGGAGTTGATACAGGACTACAACGGCATACGCCTATGTCTCAATTACTGTTTGCTCCGATTCGATGGCTTCTTTTTAAGACGCAACTCGAGGGTGCTCAAACAAATTTGTATTGCGCTGTGGCAGACGACGTCGTGTCCGGAAAGTATTATTCCGATTGTCACGAATTAGAACTGGGAAACCCTCATGCAGATAATCCACAACGGGCTCAAGAGTGGTGGGATTATTCTGAAAAGATCATTGCGGAAAAAATCAAAGATTTGAATTAACTGAATCAAATAAAATAGAAACATTACTTTTTTATGTGCACAAAAAGATTTTGAATAAAGTAAACTTTCGACAAATTCTTGATCGTGTACTTGTCCTTGAAATTTGGTTATCACATCGAGCACCTGTGTAGCATCTATGAGTTAGCTCAACGGGTAACGATGTTTTCTGTTCATCGACAGTCAAATCGTCAGGATGTGAACTTAAGAGAAAAAATATTGACGATTCCCGTAAGGGAGATTGAGAAAACTACGGTTTAGCGTTCTGTTTTTACAAAAATCTTTGGAAGTTTTGATGAAATACAAAGCAGATGGAGTTTATTTTTCTCCCAAGAAGTTTTGTTTCATTTTGTAAGATTTTTCTCGACTATTATTTCATCGAAAATCTATTTTTTAATGCAAGAAAGAAGGAGAAAAACAAGAAAAAGAAGATCTATGACATAATCTAAAATATTGACATAACATTCCTTATCTTATAAACAACGTAGAAAAAAAATCTATTTTATTTTCACGTGTTTGCTTTTTACATAGTTTCATCGCAGTCGCAAGAATTTGCTAAGTAATTACGACGCATTTAGATGTAGTTGCAACACAGTTTGATCGCAATGAGAAGCACAAGATGTGTGAAGGTTAGAGCGTATGTAAAAATGTAGTTGCGCGTGTAAGTGTAAGTGTTACGTATCTACCTGCATTTATACCCTCACTCTCAAAATTCACAGCTATATAATCCTTACAAAATAGTCTAATAGATTTTCGTTTTATATTATGCGAAAAACCATTATTATACCTTTCAGATTTGATTTACATTTCATCAATAAATCTGAAGGATGGCAGCATCATTTTCATCTGGAAATAGCTCGCGATTTGCCGACGACGTCGAAGATCAGAAAATGTTAGCGCCCATTGCCGGCTTTGCGACTATGCCATTAGTATCACTGGAAAAGGCAGTGGAGCCGTTAATAGATATATTACCAGGAATTCAAACCTACGTTCATGTTACAAAACATCGATGCGACAAACCTCCAGCTAATGGTTTGACAGTAGATGAATCAGCATCGATTCAAATCTACACAATGGAGTGGGAACCTCAGGATGAGTGTCTCTATGTCGTTTTAAACCGAGCGCTTCGTTCCGAAAAGCGTGGTGAATTAAGACCGTGGTTTTTATACATGAAGCTCATTATGACAGCTCTTTCGAAACTTCCATCAACTCATTGTACCATCTATCGGGGAATCAAACTTGATTTGACCGCAAATTATCGAGAAGGCACTACTTTCATTTGGTGGAGTTTCAGTTCCTGTACTAAAAGCATGAGTGTGCTACAAAATGATCAATTTGTTGGAACATCGGGTAAACGAACAATTTTTGCCATTGAATGCAACACGGCGAAAGACATTCGAGAGCATTCGTTTTATAAAAACGAGGACGAAATGTTACTACTTCCTGGGCGACAATTTCAAGTAGTTGGATGCCTGAAACCCGGCAATGGTTTGAATATAATTCAAGTCAGAGAAGTCGAACCGCCTTTTCCTCTTATTTCGTTCGAATCTGATTCCGTGACGAATCGTCAATCTACAACTGCTACGTCATCGATGAACGGTTCGATCGCCTCTTCACCGTCATCAGACAAAAGGTAGGTCTCTCTTTAATAGTAGTGAAATTGTTGAATACTGTGATTAAGAAAGGACATTAATTTGCAACTTGGACATTGTAAAGAGCGCAGTCCGTGGAGTTGAGTGAAATATGTTTTCTACTATTGAAATATTTCCAGATCCATTTTGAAAAGCTTAAATTTTAGGATGAATAGCGTTTCAAAAACGAGAGCTGTTTATCAGTATATGAGATAAAGCGATATAAAGGATAAGCAACACAAATATACACTTACTGTCGCTTTAAATCCGATCTTGACGTTTTGAATATTTGTTTTTTCTATACTAAAAACTGAGTTGGAAAAGTTCAGTTGTAAGAATTTTTATTGCTTAATATAGTTCTTGGCGTCTAAGGTTAACACTAAGTCAAACTTCATAACCCGTATCCGGAAAACGTATAGATAAAATCAACATCGTATTTCTAGTATAGTGGAACCCGAAGGTAAACATATTATGATGTCGTACGAACTAGCCGATCAAGATCTAGCTAGCGAAGTGGTAAACCAATTAGAAAACATTGGATATATAGCTTGGACCTCCCAAGATAGTGGAGGACATAACGAAGCAGAAGAGTATGTATTATTGCTATTTGATTTTTCGAAATATATTTATTTTCTGTTGTTGATTCTAGCATGGCTGAAGGCATAGAACAATCATGGGCTGTTATATGTTTTCTGACACCAAATTACCAGACTTCAGATGATTGTCGAAAGCAACTTCGTCATGCAATAAAACACAAGAAAAAGATTATTCCTATAATTGCTGTACGCAATTGGAGTCCAAGTGGTTGGCTCGATTATTCCATCACAGATGTACAATGTTTACATTGGGCATCTACTCATCCTAGTCAAATAGCTGAAAAAATGCCTGAACTTCTGTTACGACTTCGAACTTTGGCTACAGGTACTAAACCTAAGCCTACAGAAGTGAGAGCGGCACGGCGAAAACCTGGAGAACCTACAGCAAGCATGCCCGTCTCAAGTGCTGATTCATCCCATGTGTCTGTTACTACTGCTGAAGGTAGAAAACCTGAAGAATCTACAACAAGCATGCCCATTTCAAGACCCAATTCGTCCCATGTGCCTGCCGCTATTCGAAGTAGAAAACCTGAAGATCTTAAGGGTATGTGTCATGTCTTGTAGTGAATGAAGTGTTTATTTTGAAAATAAACCCAAATGACTAATAACATGGAAAAACTGTCGACTATAGATATACAATCAGAAGGGGAAAACATCCTGATAATATTTCTTTAGACTATTTTCTAAGGAGAAAAAGAAAATATTGCATTGATGACACTATGTCACAATATGTGTACGTAGATTTGAAGATGTGATGAAATGAAAGCAATTTGATTCCCTTCAACGCAGATCTACTTCTATAATTGTACAAAAAGAGTGACAATGAGAATGAGTACCAATGCAAGAATACATTTGGATAGGTAAATGTAATGTAGCAATCCTCTACATGCGCTCACACCTATGTCACATCATAAAATGATCCTAGAAATCTTCATATTCACAAGAATCAATTTATCTACTTTTCATATAAGTATTTCTGTGACATGTAATACTGCGTTTGTTTTGGTCTTACCATTGTTTCGGGATATTTTGAATAAGAGCTGAAGTACAATGAGTGTGTATAATGTCTGCTACAAGTCAACCAGCCATGTTTATTTCACAAAAAGTGCTAATGGACTGTACTAATGTCTCTTAACTATAGTACACCTGTCGTTACACCTCAATAGCTTTAAAATATTCTATATTTTTCTTGCAGCTAAAGTAGAATTAACCGATTTGCGTCACATTTGACTGAAAGCAATTTTCCTAATAAAAAGATTCTTATTCATGTATCGATCTTTTACGATTTCAGATCCGAGTGATTTTTACAATGCATGTCGAAACAATGATATCAATTTGGTTAAACATTATTTGGAAAACATGTCGGCCAAAGAAATCAATCAAATGGAACCAAATGGTTCTACTGCACTTCATGTGGCTTCCTATCGAGGACACGAAGAAATTGTTGCGCTATTATTACAACATGGTGCTGTTCATTCAATGACAAATAGATACAACCAAACTCCACTAGATGAAGCAAGAACGGAGAAAATAAAACAGATGATTCGTCGTTGTATGAGCAAAACTCGTTTTGTTAGTGATTCTCTCGAGTGGATCCTTTCGACAAATGATGCAGATTTTCAAGCACATAAATACTTAGAAACATTAAAAGCATACGGAACTACCCCTAGTTTTACTCGACTAATCGTTTATATAAAAGAAAATTATTTGAAAAAAGATTTACAAAATGTCGAAGATATTGGATTAATAAAAGAATATTTTGATATGGCAATTAATCAAAGAGATCCTGTTTATCTCTTAAAAGCTTATACAGCTGAAACTGGATTTTATTCTGCACTTAACATTGATCTGGCAAAGATACATTTGGAAAACTTAACTGACGAATCAAATCTTAGTCGAGCATATTATACGGGAATAATCGCACACCATCCCAAATTCGAAACGTTCTCTTTTATTGGTACTGTGTTTCGTGGAATGATGATTACATCCGATGATCTCAAGCAGTATAAAATAGGTACACGAATCTTAACTAAAACATTTTCATCAACATCAAAACAACAAAATATTGCCTTCGGATTTCTTAATGACAAACACAGTAGAGATGGTCGATTAAGTACAATCTGCACTTATGAAATACGTAATCAAAGAACTGCGCTAGATATTCATCAAATATCATTATTTGAATATGAACAAGAGGTTCTAATATTACCCTACTCGGCATTTAAAATCATTGACCTTAAGACGAACTCACATAATTTGCCTAAAGTTGAAATAACATTAAAAGAATGTGAACCATGGTAGAGATTATACGTGATGTCTTTTCCTACTTTTGAATGAATACTTTTTTTTTTGAAAGACTTTAAAAATGCAAACACAAATTATACTGCGCTTTTGTAAATATGAGCAAAGATACTACGAAGGGTAACGTCGAAACAGGATGAGGGTGATGATGAAGAACACTACTCTCACATTTCTTAAACAATAAATAGAGAAGTACCATCGTCAGTTGAATTACTTCAATGTTCACGTGTGGTTGTGAAACCATCGTTTATACACAATGAATAGAGTTCAATTGAATAAATGACCTGCGTATTCACTTGCACCTTTCTCGTCAAATTGTTCAATACAATTTATTATCCATTGAAAGCGAAAATGACTTGTGGTAATCTATTTAAAATAATCATTGAAGGAGTTGCATAGAATTCTTTTTGACTTGTAAAATATTGTTTAAGATACATCGTAGGGTTAACGAGAAGGTTTACGAGAGGCTATTGGAGAACAATTTTTATAGTACTGCTGAAAGATAATGGAATTGAGAGAAAAATCATCTGTAGAATAACATGACACTTATTATTCGTTTTTTTAATGTTAAGGGATGCATTTGTGTTGTTACATACATTGTCGAAAAAGATAAAAGAAAAACTTAACGAATTCGACGATTCTTAAGGTAAAGGTTTATTGTTCAGATTTTCAACTTTAGCATTATCATAAGATAATAATAGAAAAAAGTGTAAATGTCTTTCATCATAAAATAAATGAATTTAAGAAGTACAAATTTGTGCTCGTTGTTTTTTGACAAATAATTGACAATTTTGTTTCATTTTCGATACAACATGAGATGGTAAATGTTCGAGGTATTTATAAACATGTGTATAATATCTCTTTGTTTTCTCCGATGCATTGACAACCAGAAAATCGGAATTATCAAATCTTAAAAGATGTTCTTCGCTTCTTTTCAATCCCAATGTTTTATTACATTCGACATTGAATGTTTGACAACAACCAACAAAAATATCGATGTACCAACCTCGATTACTTGCAACACTCACTGCACCTTGACTGTCTGTGTTCAGAATAACACGATAATAATTGGATTCAAATCGATTTGCATAATTTGAGAGAATATTGAATTGACTATAACTTTGATTTTCATAAAATTTCAGAAAAACATTATCAAAATGAGTTTCATTCCATACAGATGTTATATAATTTCGTAGATTTTGAAAAGTTTCATATCGATACCACATTGGCATACGATTTGTCCACATAAAATCCAATGTTGAATTAAATTGCAAAATCATCTACATAAATCATCGAAATATTTTTTTAATTATTTCAAATGAAAAAAATCTTGAAAATACTTTATCTTGATGATAATTTTCACCAATAATTGCTTTCAAAACAATTCGTCGATCATCTTTCGATGTAAAAATACTGAAAATTGGATGCATAAATGTAAATATCATTGCATCAGCATCAATAACACCGATATAATCACTATTCGTAAATCGATCCATATAAAATGTTGACCATTGTTGTCGATCATAACCTGGTAAAGTACTTTGATTGTTGTCAAAGAGAAATGGTGATTCATATTTAACTGAATAATTGTGTTTTGTTAAACAATCACCTAATTGATGATCTTTAGTTGATTCGTTATCAAGAATAAATAAAATATCGAAAACATTTCGATCAACAAACATATTTATTGTAAGAAGATACCTTTGAGATTCATTTAAATTGAAATCGAACAAATTTAGAGTGACTTACCAACGATTTAATTGAGTTAAATGACTAGAAAATGTTCGAATGACTAAAGAATATTTGTGAGGAATTTTAGGAAATTGATATCCTATTTGGTTTAGTTCTTCTAACCAAAGTTGAACAAGACGAAGATCAAATATTTCGATAAAATGATGTTCAGAAAGAGAAATAAATAATTGTTTCATAAATTCGATAAAATTCCTCTCTTTCGAAGACCATTCTTTCAAAAATTGGCTAAGATTTCTTTCTATTCTATTCTGATGATTTCTATTCTTTTTAACAACATAAGAATCAACAAATGCTGTTTGAAGACCAACTTCCCACATTAATCGCTTTGAAAAACAATCAAATAGACTTGAATTCATATGAAAATTAGAGAAAACTTACTTGCATGACATAACTTCGAAAGAGAGGAATTTTATCGAATTTATGAANTTCTATTCTTTTTAACAACATAAGAATCAACAAATGCTGTCTGAAGACCAACTTCCCACATTAATCGCTTTGAAAAACAATCAAATAGACTTGAATTCATATGAAAATTAGAGAAAACTTACTTGCATGACATAACTTCGAAAGAGATGAGATCTTTTCTGATCAATTGTCACTGGTAATAGAAGTGCCCATAGAGCTGATTGAAGATGAAGAGTTGCTTGTTGATCATAAGGTGAAAACGTACGACGAGGTGCAATTAACTTCACATGATTTTTGTCATTTCTGGACATTTTCTTCGATTGTAATGAAGTTTCGTCAAGAGAATGAATAACACCAAGATTTTGACTTGACCAAACACCATGTAGTGTTGGGAAAAGGAAATTTGGTTTTGATATAAAGTATTGATGTGGATTGAAAAATGTTCCATTATGATTGGGAATAGTCAGTGATTCAATTTGGTCATTTAAGAGAAGTTCAAGAATTGTTTCATTGACGAGCATTTCTTCGATATTATCAAAATCCCAAATAATTTTTGCATTATGATAAATTGCCCAAAGATAACCGAGATTTTTCTGTGCGGTATGCAGATGATCGGATAAGGAGAGACTTTCTTTATAAAACAAAGATATCTTTGCTAATTCAGATTGGATTGTTTTGTTGAGAATGAAGATATTTTCCGAAATTTTCATGTGGTGTTTTGGAGAATGAGAAACAACAACAACTATACACCAATTAGGAAGTTGTTTAGCTGTTTTGAGAACACCATCCGACATATTCACAGTAACAGCCCAATAATTCGAACAGATTGATTTTGTCTGGAAATGTGGAGATATTCGTTTGAGAAATTTCTGGATTTCTGCTAGCCAATCGTTATTCTTCTCTGTATTGCTCAACTTTTGATCATTCTTTGGAGATATTGTTGGGAATCTTGCAGGATAATTCTTAACGACCGATATTTCTTCGAAATCATTATCTTCATTCGATATCGATCGATTCATTCCTATCCAGATGAAAAACACAGCTACAGTACAAAAAGTCATTATTGCAAACAAGAATCTCTGTCTCCGACGTGGGTTTCTGTAGTGATTGATTAGTTTCCACATATTGCCGATGTGGCCTTGTAATGTGTGACAGTAAACGTTTTGAATTGTGTACTTTAATCTGTCGTAATGCAACTACGCTACCATATTCTTTAACTTTCGAAATGGCAAATGATCGTACAATGTGATTATTTTACAACACATTTTTCTTTTTCTTTCACAGAGAAATTTGACAACAATCAGAATGTTTATTCACATGTTTCATCTTTTCAAGTTACATCTATGTGTTGGCTGCATGAAAACGTGTAATGTACTACAAGTCACGCGGCTCAACTACCGTCGACCTTCTAATCTGAAAGAATGTGATCTATATATCTCTGATATTTCTCGTAGTTCGATGAAAATTCAACAAATGGTGTCATTTCTTTATTCGAATATTAACCTCGAAGCTTTTAGTTCTAAATTTATAAGTTTACAATTCGAAGGATTAGTTTAATATTCGAATCGAGTTAACGATTTCTACACCACTCATGATACTTTATCCGATGTATAACAATTTTTCAGAGTTTTCCCATGCTTTTCAAGAAAAATGCGTTTAATAATTGATCGTGTTCACATGCCGGTGTTGCAATGCATTCTTCACCGACTTCGTCGGCGTTCTCAGGTTCTTTCAAAAATCATTTTTAATTTAATCAACAGTGGAATAGATTTTTTTCACATAATAAAAAAGACGAGCTTTAAACAAATGAAACTTTTTGGAGAAATGGTGAGGAAACAAAGCAGAGTCCTTCTTCTGACTGTCGCCATCGATCGGTTCTGTCGAGAAACAACTAAAGCTTCTATTTTGCTGGCAAAAAACAATAAGATATCATCGTTAGTTTCCACATTAGTGCCGTCGTTTCTTCAGCTTTTTCTTTTTCCAGTTCTAACAAATAGAATACGCTGCCAATTAAAAGAACTTGTGTCAGTCAATCGTTCGTAAGTTTGATGAAAAGTTTTATAAATTCGTTCAAAATCGAAATTGGATATAAACACATATTAGATCCTAAAAAGAAGATAGATTCGTATATTGACAAATTCGAAAAGATGCTTAACGGCATTTTGACTAAGTAGAAATGAAATTACTCGAGGAAACTGATTGCACTAAAAAAGTGAAAGAAATACTTCAAGTTTCATTCGAAATTCCCGCTGAAAATATGGTAGAAAATTATCATCAACAAACGAAACAATACTTTATGAGTGATTTGTATTCAATCCTCCTTGATATATGCTACTTGAACGTATTGAACCATTACATCCTACGCGTGTATCGACTTTACGACACTTATGTGAACCATCGGATAACACGAAAGCTTTAACAAAAACGCAAATCAAACAAAAATATCTCGAAAACGATTAAAATTTTTGAAAAGGTTGCTGAGGAATTTGAAATACCACTACCTGATCTTGTTCAGTATTTAACGAATAAACACCAGAGAGATGATGAAGTACACAAAGCTGCAGTTTTCGTCAAAAACTATTCACAGTTTTGTTCATCAAATGCAGAAGAAAGGAACATGAGAGAACTGACGGCATTTTTGAAGAATCATCCACAAGCATCGCAGTTGCCACAATTCAATACCAAAGAAATTCAAAACACACACCGAGTGTCCTTCAAATATAGTCAGTATGCAGATTTAAAATGAGAGAAAAGGTAAACTAGGCATGATGAAATTTAAAATTTCAGTTAAATTATATACTTATATCGATAGAAATAGTCAAACAATTGATTGTCAACTTACTGTTGTATTATCCATACTGAATTCATCGAAACTTTAATATTTTCTATTGTGAATTTCAATCTGCATTCAGCTGGATAACATATATCTTATCGACTTACAATTGTTGAGTTTCTTGCAAAGAATTGAAAAGAGAAACGGGAGCATATTATCGATATTTTCTTCAATCACCAGCAATACACATAAATCATTAGGGATTGGAAATTGTTTATTCCTTTTTTTCACTCTCTCTTGTCTAGTATTTCTAGGCTAATAAACAAGTTTTTCAAATAACATTGGTTTGTTGATAGGTAAATGAACATAGATCCCTCAATACACGTATTCTTTCTTTGATTATTGTGTTCAATGACAACTTGGTCATTTGAACTTAAGCAAGTGCATTTGTAGCATCTTTCTAAGTCTTCATTCATTTTCTGCACAAGCAATTATTATATGCATCATTTCGTTTTTATCTTCAGATATGATTGAAACGAATAAGGATACATCTTGATGTAATAATACCATGGTAAGTATTCATGAGGAACTCCAGTTATCAATACGGCTTCTACGAGAAAGAGTTGGATGAATGTCCCGACTAGATTTTCTTTTTTTTGTAATGAAAATTAATTTTAATGGAAGTTCTTGCTCTGATGTTTGAAGTTCAAATGGTTTTTGACTTGAAATAATTATTACTCAAGGATTTATTTGTANGTTCTTGTAATAATGCTGACTTTCTATAAAAGCTTGATGAGGTATTATCTTTCTCATAAGAAAATCCTCCGTGAGACTAGAATAAAATCATGGCGTGTATTTATCATTTGTTTTCTATATTTTTCTGATTCTAACTTGATGTTGAAACTCGATGTTTATAATTAACAAAAAGATCTTGTGTCGGCACACCTTATCGATATCAATTCACTTCTTTTGAGACACTTATCAACTACAAAGCAAAGCTAGCTGTGAATTATTGGAAACATCTAAAACGATGAATGATCGGCAATCAGCATTTTTCTCCTTAGTTCACCAGTCGTATTTCTATCCAACAATCGCGGATAATAATACTTACTTTCGTTTTAGTTTTGCCATTCAGAGAGATAAGTGTGCCGGCAATGACAGCACAAAGAAGAATTACAGTGCAACTAGAGACAGAAATAAACATGAAGGTGAGCATCCTGAACGGATATGGAAAAGAAAATTTAAAGATTCTCTCGCAAAAGTTGATTTAGATATGCTTTAAATATCAAATTCATTTGAAATTCCTATACTGTGTATCATCTAATAGGAAGATGTGTTTGCTGATAAAGATTTTGTCTAACGAGATTTGAAATACTAGTCTCGATCTTTTGATATGCATGCTTGGTTTGGACTCCACCTTTCAGAATACCTTCTGATTGGATATTCTGCATAGAGTAATTGAGGTTTCTTATTTACTATGGCACGTATTACGAATAAATAGTTTTTCGAGAGAAAGAAGATGAGATACGTGAAAACACTCGTTATTCCATGCACAAATATCTATCACCGTATACACTACTCTTGCCGAAAGTGAGAGCTTTTTAAGTTCAATCGATCTGTTGTCTGTTGATGGTCGTGTGGATAGTACGAGGGTTTTTTTCCTTTTCCTGTGAGTGATGATACTTTATCCGATGTATAACAATTTTTCAGAGTTTTCCCATGCTTTTCAAGAAAAATGCGTATGTCGTCTAATGAAGCATTGAGAAATGCTGAGGAAACAAAGCAGAATCCTTCTTCTGACTGTCGCCATCGATCGGTTTTGCCGAGAAACAACTAAAGCTTCTCTTTTGTTAGTAAAAAACAATAAGATATCATCGTTAGTTTCCACATTAGTGCCGTCGTTTCTTCAGCTTTTTCTTTTTCCAGTTCTAACAAATAGAATACGCTGCCAATTACAAGAACTTGTGCCAGTCAATCGATCGTAAGTTTGATGAAAAGTTTTATAAGTTCGTTCAAAAACGAAATTGGATATAAACAAATATTAGATCCTAAAAAAGAAGATAGATTCGTATATTGACAAATTCGAAAAGATGCTTAATGGCATTTTGACCAAGTAGAAATGAAATTACTCGAGGAAACTGATTGCACTAAAAAAGTGAAAGAAATACTTCAAGTTTCATTCGAAATTCCCGCTGAAAATATGGTAGAAAATTATCGTCAACAAACGAAACAATACTTTATGACTGATTTGTATTCAATCCTCCTTGATATATGCTACTTGAACGTATTGAAGCATTACATTCCACACGTGTATCGACTTTACGACACTTATGTGAACCATCGGATAACACGAAGGCTTTAACAAAAACGCAAATCAAACAAAAAATGTCTCGAAAACGATTAAAATTTTTGAAAAGGTTGCTGAGGAATTTGAAATACCATTACCTGATCTTGTTCAGTATTTAACGAATAAACACTAGAGAGATGATGAAGTACACAAAGCTGCAATTTTCGTCAAAAACTATTCACAGTTTTGTTCATCAAATGCAGAAGAAAGGAACATGAGAGAACTGCCGGCATTTTTGAAGAATCATCCACAAGCATCGCAGTTGCCGCAATTCAATACCAAAGAAATTCAAAACACACACCGAGTGTTCTTCAAATATAGTCAGTAAACAGATTTAAAATGAGAGAAAAAGTAAACTAGGCATGATGAAATTCAAAATTTCAGTTAAATTATATACTTATATCGATAGAAATATTCAAACAATTGATTGTCAACTTACTGTTGTATTATCCATACTGAATTCATCGAAACTTCAATATTTTCTATTGTGAATTTCAATCTGCATTCAGTCGGATAACATATGTCTTATCGACTTACAATTGTTGAGTTTCTTTCAAAGAATTGAAAAGAGAAACGGGAGCATATTATCGATATTTCCTTCAATCACCTGCAATATACACATGTAAATCATTAGGGATTGAAAATTGTTTATTCCTTTTTTCACTCTCTCTTGTCTAGTATTTCTAGACTAATAAACAAGTTTTTCAAATAACATTGGTTTGTTGATAGGTAAACGAACATAGATCCCTCAATACACGTATTCTTTCTTTGATTATTGTGTTCAATGACAACTTGGTCATTTGAACTAAAGCAAGTGCATTTGTAGCATCTTTCTAAGTCTTCATTCATTTTCTGCACAAGAAATTGTTGTATGAATCATTTCGTTCTTATCTTCAGATATGATTGAAACGAATAAGGATGCATCTTGGTGTAATAATACCATGGTAAGTGTTCATGAGGAACTCCAGTTATCAATACGGCTTCTACGAGAAAGAGTTGGATGAATGTTCCGACTGGACTTTCTTTTTTTTGTAATGAAAATTAATTTTAATGGAAGTTCTTGCTCTGATGTTTGAAGTTCAAATGGTTTTTGACTTGAAATAATTATTACTCAAGGATTTATTTGTATATACTTTGATCGTGATAATCTTTCGATACATTACAAAACTGTTTAACGTGTGAAAATATTTGAGTAGATCAATCATTATTCAAGTTACTTTGAATAAAAATAATTGCATTGTTTTATGTTCGTTTTCTCAATCGACTTATTCCTCAAACAGAAGTCTGTGCCTTTGGTGAACATTCGTTTAAGTTGATTTAGTAGTGAAATAAACGTTTTTTTTGTTTATTTATCATTGTTTGAAAAAATAATATGATGAGAGGTTAAATCCTTTAACAAATAACTTTTACTTGTTCTCCAAATCATGAAGAAAAACATAAAACATATACTCTAATTTAATCGTATCTTTCTCTATTGTTAAATTTATATGTGCAGTGGGCATCGATATATTTCGAAAAAGAGTTTTCCATTAATTTTTCATTTAATACTTCTTCAATTTGTCGTTCTATGTAATCGTAATCGATCTGTTGCAAAGTCTTTTGTGAATTATTGATAATGCTTTCATATAGGAGCAACATCAACCATAGATGATGAACATGATATTCTCGATTTTCTAAAACATTCCGTACCTACATGAAGTGAAGATTCCGTGTGGTGTCTATACGTTACAACTAAACGTTTGTTTTATGCACCAAGTAAGAGATGTTGAAAAATTAATGATATTTTGTATAACTCTTTTCCACGTATTCGTTAAGATTATATTCATTCAAACGCACGCCAACTGCTCATCAACTGATACTCAAGCCTACTTCTCGACTGCGTATGAATATGACAAACATCACATGTACTTTTCTGCAGTGATTTAACCAACTGTGACAACGCGCTACTGTATGTGTTTGCATTTTTATTTTGACGATACTGATTTTTCCTCTTGTCACATGTGCCTTTACCTTAATACAGTAATTAACTATAGAAGAAAAATACGATCGAAGTCGGAAAAAGCCAACAAAGAAGTATCTACTATATAAATCAAACCAATCTGCTTGTTTTTATCAACGCAGCTTTCAAACAATCTCATATACTTATATTTACACATTAATTCATGGAAAAATTGAGCTTGATAGAAGCCGAGTCGTACAAGCAAACAGAGAAGATCAAAGAACTGCAGCGTATCAATTATGACGATGATATTATGCGGCGACGTATCAATCTTCAAAAGGCACAACACACTATCTTTATTTGGTTGAAAACGAATGATACAAATTGTCAAGATACATCTACACAACTTCAAGACATTGTTAGTACTGCCTATACTTTTGAAGATAGTGATGAATGTGTCGATTTTATTACCACCGTAACAGATAATAAAGTTTGTCTAATTCTCGCAGCTTCTCTTGAACGACATACAATACCTTGTATACACGAAATTTCTCAACTGCATTCAATATTCATTTTTGGTAACTCTATCACATGTAACGATGAATGGAAGAAAGCATGGTCAAAAGTAAGAGGTATTTTCACAGAAGTCACAGTTCTCTGTCAAGAACTCAAACAACTGACTCGACAACATGACCAGAACGACATACCAATTAGTTTCGTAACGCCCGGTGAAAAATCGGATAAACTGGACCCGACTTTCATGTATACACAAATTATGAAGGACTTTATGTTGACTATAGAATACAACGAAGAACATCTCAGTGAATATTGCAACTACTGTTGCGATACAGTTGCCGACAATTTACAAACTGTCAACAGTATTCGACAATTCGAGCGTGATTATAATGAAAAATCCCCAATATGGTGCTACAGTTACCATACTTTTCTCTATTCGATGCTCAATCGTTCTTTGCGGATACTGGATGGAGATATTATTCGGCGAATGGGATTCTTCATTACCGCTCTTCATCGCGCTATTGAACAACTACACAAAGAACAAAATGTCGATAACCCGTTTCCCCAGTCGTTTACAGTATATCGAGGACAAGCGTTGCCCAAAGCAACGTTTGATCACCTTAAAAAAGCCAAGCACGGATTGATATCATTCAACAATTTTCTATCTACCTCTACTGACTCTCGTGTTGCGCATACATTTGCTGAGAGCAATGCAACAAATCCCGACGACGTAGGAATTATTTATGTTATGAACATAGAACCCACTCACACAACAACACCATTCGCTTCGATACAGGAAATCAGTAATTTTTTCGAAGAAAACGAAATCCTCTTTTCGATGCATTCCATTTTTCGCATACATGACATCGAACCAACTGATGACATTGATAAAATATATAAGGTTCATTTATTCCTTACCAGTGACAATGATCAAGATTTACATAATTTAACTGAATACATTAAGCACGAACGTTACACTGCGCTGCAGAGCTGCTATGGGCTACCACAACTGCTAATCGACATTGGACAGCAAAATGCAGCAGAACCTCTTTGTCAATCTTTACTGAGAAACACAGATGGCAATGATGACCGGATTTTCTCAACACACATGATTTCATACCTACTTGGAAGAATAAAACAAGCACAAGGGAATTACAACGAAGCTCTTGCATTTTGTCAGAACACACTTACAAATGTTGCAGAACTATTTCCACCAAATCATTCAGATTTGCCTGGATCCTATACTAACATTGGACTGGTGCATCGTGAGATGGGCAATTACTCTCAGGCACTTGAGTATCATGAAAAAGCACTTTCGATTCAAAAACAATCACTTCCATTAAATCATCCTAATTTGGCTGGATCCTATACTAACATTGGTGTGGTGCATCATGTGATGGGCAATTACTCTCAGGCACTTGAGTATCATGAGAAAGCGCTTTCTATTCAAACAGAATCACTTCCACTAAATCATCCAGATTTGGCTCTATCCTATACTAACATTGGTCTGGTGCACGATGAGACGGGGAATTACTCTCAGGCGCTTGAGTATCATGAGAAAGCGCTTTCGATTCAAAAACAATCACTTCCACTAAATCATCCTAATTTGGCTGGATCCTATACTAACATTGGTGTGGTGCATCATGTGATGGGCAATTACTCTCAGGCACTTGAGTATCATGAGAAAGCGCTTTCGATTCAAACACAATCACTTCCACTAAATCATCCAGATTTGGCTCGATCCTATACTAACATTGGACTGGTGCATCATGTGATGGGTAATTACTCTCAGGCACTTGAGTATCATGAGAAAGCGCTTTTGATTGACACAAAATCACTTCCACTAAATCATCCTAATTTGGCTGCGTCCTATACTAACATTGGGCTGGTGCATGATGAGATGGGCAATTACTCTCAGGCGCTTGAGTATCATGAGAAAGCGCTTTCGATTTACACAGAATCACTTCCACTAAATCATCCAGATTTGGCTCTATCCTATACTAACATTGGTGTAGTGCATCGTCGGATGGGCAATTACTCCGAGGCGCTTGAGTATCATGAGAAAGCGCTTTCGATTCAAAAACAATCACTTCCATTAAATCATCCTAATTTGGCTGCGTCGTATGTTCGTATTGGGTTGGTATTGGAGAGGAACGGTGATGTTTTAAGAGCACGCTACTATTACAGAAAGGGGCTTGAAATTTGGATGGCTATTGTGCCCCTCGTGGACGGAAGAATTGTATGGATTTGGGAAAAATTAGGCTATGTGTATAGGAAGGAAGGAAAACATGGACAGGTACTTGCATTTTGCCCAGCTACTTCAGTACGTATGGAAAAATGGCGCTGTCATGGGAGACGTTCGGAATGATCCTGAAAGGTCGAGTGTTGGTTGAATAATGCTATAGCTGTCGGAATCCGGGTTGCTTTGTATTCATGTTCATGGTATATCTATTTTTGTTATCGAAATGCTTTCATGTAAACGTCTGCGAATTTTTCTCTAAGAGAAAGTACATATAAGCAGGGATATCGGAGTTCATTCGTTAAATTATTTCTTCTACGCATAAGTTTGTTGCATCAATAATGAATCCAACTACTTTTCTTGAATTCACCCTCACTTTCATCTAGAAAGTTATAAAGACGGTTGTGAACTGAGATACCAATCACTAACACATAAAGTATTTGTTTGCCAAAAGCAGTGTTTCGATCGTGCCATCACAATCAATGCAGATACTTGCAGATCGCTCAACGTTTCTTTTTAATGGATGTGTACATGGAACACTGGTACTGGGTGTACTTAAAGTGTGTGAATGTTGCATCCATGAAACTATTCGTGAATTTGACGAATCTCATAGAATCACTCTGAATATTGATTAAATGCCAACAACTGTAAGATAATATGTATTCTTGTACTGATTCAAATATATATTAATGGAGCAACGTTAATCGTAGTCTACGTCATTATAATACGAACAAGTGCATAGAATCTCTAATTTTGATCTATACTTACATCCTGAATGTGTGTTTTCCTTTCGTTTTCGACCGAGATATATTTTGAAAGATCAAAACCGGACTTTAAATTTCAAGTAGTTCGTAAAAGTGATGTTAGAATGTCACTCCCAATCGATGTACGAATTACAAGCAGGCCGCAGATAGTTTCTGTTTTGACTTCTCAAAAAATTGAAAAAGAAAATAAAAAAGCGTTAAATGAAAGTTGCCGGATGTGTCTGTAGTGCACGATACTTTAAGCATGTTGACATGCACAGGATTAAAAGCTAACCTGGAGCAGATATATCTTTGGAGAGAATATTGTTATTAAAGAAATGATCTTGACATCAGCTATCTGTTTCTATAGTATTAGAACACCATTTTATTACATCGGAATTTTCATGTGTAAAAATCTTATTCGGCAACATAGGTAGAAATATCAATTCTCATGAAAACAGTTTTTGTGAAACACGATCCGAAGGAGAGTGTTGAAGTGTTTAAGGGCAAAAATTTTAACCACCCCCCCCCCCCCGCGCCCCCCCCCCGCCCCCGCCGGCCACCCCGCCCGCGCACCCGCGGGCGCC